TAACCCATCCATAGTCTCCATGGTATTTCAATCCTTCTATTTGCCAAAATCTAGACCGAGCTTGCAGAAATCAAATCTTCGGTGAAATTTTCCATTATTATTAACGGCTAAAACGAGTGACATATAGAAGAGACCTGCTGATTCAATAAACTATTTTTTCCCTAGCAATGTCTTGCTTTCTATCAGTAACAGAAAATAAACCAAAGGCGTACACTGCAATCCGAGTAATTTAATCTTGTGCATTAAACATGCATTATGCAAGAGCTAAATCTGCCTATTGCAGGTCTTTCTTTAGGCCTGAAATGTTTTCTAAAGTATTAATTAGACATTAATTAACTGATCCAGGCCTTAATCAACTCTCGATGGCATCAGATTTCTCAGATATTAAATAGATTCGAATGGTTCAGCGATACTTTGATTTAATCAAATATGGAGGACCGAGACTTAGCTTCGATCAACCAGTACAGTGGTTGAAATTATTGCACACGTCTGTCAAATCTTCAAAGGCTAATATCTTCACTTGCAATAGAGTAATTTGAATGAAATTTTCAAATTATCCATTTTACATCATCTACTTTCGAAATATTATAGCAAGAATGGCTAGTTTTTTTTATCTAAATCTTACATAATGTATCTTTAAGCACTAATTTCTTTCTCATTCATTCAATATCAAATCTTTGTTTAAAAATTTGTAAAAATCGTTTAAAATCACCAAAAATCATCTAATGCTTATTTGTTTCCAATTTAAAGCTGACCATCCAATTTTGATAATGATTGTCCAATATACAAGCGTTTAATTTCTCGATCACTGTTCAAAAATAAACAACCCAATTGATTATAATGATTAATTTTTAAACAGTGTTCAGTAAATTGGACACTCATTATTAAAATTAATCAGTCAGCTTTAAACTGGACACAAGTGAAAGAAATTAGTGCTAGTTACATAAGATTAAATGATACCTGAATTACAGTGAAAAATCAAACATGTGAACAGGAAATCCCCCCCACTGCACAAAAGATACAGTATTTACTGTGGTATATCGATGAGAGTACGTCAAAACAAAATGAACCGACAATAAATCAAAGTATTAATAATATATTTGAGAACTGTCTGTTAATCTTACATAGGTTTTCCTTCTTTCTGCAATTCTTTCTTTCTAACTTCATACGCTGCTGCCTCTTCTGTTAATAAATAAACGTTATATAAACGAAATGAAATGGGGTTTAACGTCCTACTGTTCTGCTCCTATGCTGGGCTAATGAAGACGGGCATACGCCAAACAGTGTGCTATGAGGGAAATTTTGCCTTGGCAGCGGCACTATCGCCTACTCTTATATCGAATTCCAACTGCCAAGGGATCTTTTACATGCATTCCAATGAATACACGGGACCTCGGTTTTTCGTCTCATCCGAAGGCCTAGACAGCTGTCCTTATCAGGCCCTCCGTCCTGCATCACTGACAAGGGGGAACCACGCCGGAAAATCTGGATGAACTTTCTCGGCCAATGCAGGGATTGAACACCCGACCTCCAGGCTAGCGAGCCAGCGTCTTACCCACTTAGCCACGTGATCACCATACATTATATAACTATAGGCTTCATATATACCTAAGGTTATACTATGTTTACTGGTAAGAAAATTGTAATTTGTGTTGTGAACAAGAAACACTCCTTCAAAATAACTGAGCAGGTGGAGTGGTTAAGGCGGCCAGATGTGGCTTCTTGCATCTGGGTCCTTCGTCGCTCTTGACAACCCTGCACAAGTGGATGGCGGCCTGAACTCATGAAAGATGTGGAATGCATTTCCACTCAGATCTAAGAAACATATACCATTATTAGTGGTTGTCAGGTTTTCTACCTTTATTAAATGAAATAAAATGGGTTTAACATCCTACATGTATGCACCGATTCGGCTAATGAGGAAAATTTTGCCCGGACAGCAGCTCTACGGCCTACTCTTATATCAACCCCAACTGTCAAGGGATCTTTTACGTGCACGTCAATGTGTACGCGGGACCTCGGATTTTCGTCCCATCCGAACGACTAGACAGTGGCTCTACGGCCTACTCTTATATTAATTTCAACTGTCAAGGGATCTTTTACGTGTACACAGAACCAGTTTTTTGTCCCATCCGAACAACTAGACAGCTGTCCCTTGCTAGACCCTTTGTTTTGCAGGACTGACGAGGGGGAATTAAGCCAGAATATCCAGATGAACTTTCTCGGCTGCTGTCTGGTAACCTAACCTTCATTAGTACCTTACCTGTATTAGTATCTTACCTTTATTAGTACCTTACCTTTATTAGTATCTTACCTGTATTAGTATCTTACCTTTATTAGTACCTTACCTGTATTAGTATCTTACCTGTATTAGTATCTTACCTTTATTAGTACCTTACCTGTATTAGTATCTTACCTTTATTAGTACCTTACCTGATTAGTATCTAACCTGTATTAGTTTCTTACCTTTATTAGTACCTTTATTAGTAGCTTATCTTTATTAGTACCTTATCTTCATTAGTACCTTATACCTTTATTAGTACCTTACCTTTATTAGTTGCTGCCTCTAACGGTACAGGTAACGACAGACAGAATTCTTCTCTATTTTTGTATTGTACTTTCTTAGACTGGGAACATTGCGTCCTTCCCTCTACCTCAAACCGGAAACATTCACTAGGATTCTCCTGTCCTCGACTAGATTTCTGAAATTAAACATACCTTAATTCATTTATATGAGCAGCACTACTACAGTTCATATATTTCCATCGTAGTTTCCCCTTGTCAGTGGTGCAGGATAGAGGGCCTGACAATGACAGCTGTCTAGTCATTTGGATGGGACGAAAAACTGAGGTCCGATGTCCACATTGGCCTGCATGTCAAAGATCCCTTGGCAGTTGGAATTCTATATATGAGTAGGCCATAGTGCCACTGCCCCGGAAAAAATTTCCCTCATAGCACACTGTATGGCGTATGCTCATCTTCATTAGCCCAATCAGGACCAGAACAGTAGGACGAAACCGGAGGACCCAGAGAAAACCCACAAGGTTGGACAAGCAACCCAACTCCATGTCACGTACAACCGGGGAATCGAAACCACGCCAGTTGACTCAATGACAGACCTTATGATACAGCGCGCACACACTTACCAATCGGCCATGCCCTCTAGTTTTAATAGCACAAATCGGAAAGAGAAAAATATCCTACCTCTATAACATTTATTAAATGTAGAAAATATTCCTGGGCATCCTGTTGACGTTTTGTTGAGAATTCTGGATGACCTCTTCCTATTAATGATTTAAACATCTGTGGTCTGATCCCGGGTGGTGGCTATAAATACAAAAAGTGCAATGAAATGCAATTGAGTTTACTATAGCGTCAACAAAATACTTTGACCATAGACAAACATATTGTAATTTGGCCACAGGCAAACATATTGTAATTTTCCATTTCTATCGTAATGTGTGTAATTGGGGGAAGGGAATGAAATGAAATGAAATGGGGTTTAACGTCCTACTGTTCTGCTCCTACTGGGCTAATGAAGATGGGCTTAAGCCATACAGTGTGCTATGTAGGAAATTTTGCCCGGACAGCTGGACTACGTCCTACTCTTATTTCAAATTCCAACTGCCAAGGCGTCTTTCATGTGCACACCAATGTGTACACAGGACCCTGTTTTTTTGTCCCATCCGAATGACTATGTGAGGAAGGAGAAATTTGCCCAGGCAGCATTTCCACCTTCTCTTCTTCGATTTCTAACTGTCAAGTTTCTTTTACGGGGGGATCGATATGTATACGCGTGGATGATATATTTTTTTTATCCCATGGCAGCTGACAGTTGGAATTCAATAGTAGGCCGTAGCGCCAATGTCTGGGCAAAATGTTCCTCATAGCACACTGTATGGTGTATGCCTGATTCATTATGGCAGTCGGTGGAAAAAGTAGGACGTTAAACCCCATTTCATTTAAATTCTCAACCCAAGAGAGAGATGGGGCTTAACATCCACTTGACACAAACTAGGTCACTTTGGGACTAACATATGGTTCAATAATTCGATTGTGCATAGGGGTCGTTAGCTGAGGAAGGGACCTACAGAAAACCCATGGGGTTGGTCAAGCGACCCTACCCCTTGTCAAATATAAGAGGGGAATCGAAACAACACTAATTGACCCAATAACAAGCCTTATGAAACAACGCACACACGATAACCATTTGACCATCTACACACCCTTGCCTATCAATGAGCATAAAGGCATAAAATTGAAACTATCAATATTTTAATTTATTTTTACGTCTATCAAATACATTTAGGGTATAAACTCACTGCGATATTATCCCCAGAATCTTTTGGTGGATGTGAATACTCTCCTGATAATAAACCATGACCTAGCTTCGCCCTGAAACAAATATAAGTTACATTCACATATTTGAGAATTCGATCGAGAGAGAGAGAGAGAGGGTGGGATTTAACTCCACTCGACACAAACTAGGTCATTCTGGGACTAACATAGCGTTCAATTTTATTTCAATAATTCGCTTGTGCGTGTAGGGGTCTTTAGCAGTGGGAGGAAACCGGAGGACCTGGAGTGAACCCACGAGGTTGAACAGGCGACCCTACTCCTTGTCACGTACAGTGACGGAGGGAAAGCGTCTAGATGTTCGGGTGGGACGTAAAAAGGCACCCCCTGTATACCATTGGAGTTTAACATCCACTGGACACAAACTAGGTCATTGCAGGACTAAAATATGGTTCAATTTTTAAATCAATAATTTGCTTTCATGTAATGGTCTTTAGCAGTGGAAGGAAACCGGAGAAAACCCACAAGGTTGAACAAACATCCCTACTCCTTGTCACATACAAGTGGAGAATGAAAACCACACCACTTGACGCGGCAACTCAACCCCCCAGATGTCTAAACATTTCACCATATGTGGGCTTTCTGTAAAAACTGATCGTAGTTGTTATCTGAACAAATGAACAAGTTTCTAGTTGATTTGTAACTTACATCTGAACATTGAGATCATCTGGAATATGTCCACCTGCATTTCCAAATATTTCTTCTAATTTATCATAGTACCTATAAAAACAGGATAAAAAATCAGTACTTAAAATAAACAATGGAGCAACAGTCCGACTTGAATGTATAGTCACATAAACTTTTGATGGATTTTTAATCTCTTGGAAACTATAGTAAAAGTTGCATCTCTAAAAGGAATATCAGTCCAGAAATGGTTCAAATCCTTTTAGTATTTACAACGATATGCAAGACGATATTATCAGGTATTCGGTAAAAACTTTGATCGGTCTCTTTTTAATTTGATTGAATCGCAAGTCAGGTGATTATCTATCATTGATACTTTGATGTTCTTTTCTTAAACATACATTATACAAGAGTTAAATGTAAAATCTGTCTATTTCAGGTCTTTCTTTACGCCTTAAATGTTATATAAATTATTAATTAGAAATTAATTAACGTATCCAGACCATAATCAACTCTCGATGCAATCGGATGGCTCAGATTTTAAGTAGATTAGAACAGATCAGCCATTTAATTTAAAAATGGATAATCAAGACTTTGTTTATTATCTTAAAAACGGTAGCAATGACAATCAAGGCTACACTGTTCGAACACTGATAACTCGGCTCAGTGAGAACTGTTATCTCTTTACCTAATCTTACATTATGTCCCTTTATATAAATGTTAATTAATAAATTTGAGTACATTTTAGCGTGGATCAAGTTTTGAAAAATTTTCTCCGAAAAAATATTGTTCGAAAAATGAGAAAGGACATATTTTTTTATTTTTTGTTTCTGATCAATGAAGACTAAATTAAAGATTTTGTTTTTTATTTTGTTTTGAATAATTACCTTTTTTGGAAGTCTGGTATAGTAAAAACAACCTGCATGACAGAATTCATGTAACAACTGTTACCAAGGTTACGCATTCCTGTTAATCCTGCACCATATACTGGTTGTAATTTATTTCCTGATTCTTGTATTACATCCCATTCTCCTATCTTCTGATTCAAATCAATCTCTAGTTCAACCATAGTTTTATCTGTCTGAAAAATAAAAACATTTTCTTAAAGATGCGTTATGTAAGATTTAGATAAAGAGCTGGCCATTCTTGCTATAATAGTTCGAAAATAGATAATGTAAAATGAATATATTGAAAATTTCATTCAAATTACTCTATTGCGAGCACAGATATTAGCCTTTCAAGGTTTGAAAAGGTGTGTCCATTTTTAAATCAAATCATTAAATGGCCGAATCGTTCTAATCTACTTAATATCGGAGATATCCGATTGACATCGAGAGTTGATCATGGTCTTGTCATGTAAATAAATGTCTAATTAATAGTTTCTATAACATTTCAGTCTGGCAATAGGCAGATTTAGCTCTTGCATAATGTATGTTTAAATGATCGCGCAGTGCAAACTTATAGCGTCCTTTAGAACATCAAGCAGCTTTAATATGGAAAAACTTTTTAATATATTTAAAACCTTGTTTTTTGCCAGGCTTTTTAATTATCATTTCCATCATTTTAAAGACTAAATTGTTATTTTTGTGTTCTGTATAGGAGATCTCATGTTTGTGAAGTGCCTTATGTGATCTTTACTGCTCTATATCTCAATGTTTTAACAATAAACACAATTATAATCCAAACAAATCATTTACCTTTTCTAAAGCTGAGATATTGATTCCAAAATGTGCCAAATGTTTAGCTAAATGTGGATCTTCAACCATATCATCCTCTTCATAAGAATAAACATCTGAAGAAAAACAAAGAGAAATGGGGTTTAACATCCTACTTTCTATACCAATCAGACTAATGAAGATAGGTGACATTCATGCAGAGTGCTATGACAGAGATTTTGCCCTGAAACTCTACTTCCATTTTCTAACTGTCGGGGGATCTTTAGCATACTGTACATACGGTTTATCACTGATCACCAATCAGCTCATTATATAGCTTTGATCAAGTGCTTGTTATTATGTATACATTTATGGATCCTTTTTTTTACTGTATATAAATATTTAGGGTTTAAACTATATTTTATTATTGTTGAAACGTTGCATGTTAATAAACCAGCAAATAGTTTTTAATGTGATACTGTCAATCTTATATACCAGACCAATAAAATGCTAATTTTCATTTCAATAGTTACGTGTGCCGTAAGAAGGGGAGAAATTTGCCTGGGCAGGTGAGTTTTCGTGTACTCCTCAGCAAAATCCAACTGCAAATGTTCTTTTAATAATAATAACAATGCACTTTATAGCCTAATTTTCAGTAAGGTCAGCTCACCTCTACACAGTTTATTGCCTCATCTAAACAACTATACACAATTATCAGGTCCCCCCGCCCCCCAGGAGCCCCTAGAGAACATGGCTTGAAAATTTAAAGGTTCTTTAACATCTTTTCAGTCCAGACCTGAATCAGAAACCTGGGACATTCTGGTCAAGACAAAAGTACCCGGTTGCTTAACAACCTCCCCCACCCCCAAACTGAATAAAGATGTCCATTAGGATAGATACAGATAATAATATAATCTAACCTCCACCGGCTGCTGTGATAGTTCCTAATTTAACCGCCAAGGGATACTTAGTTTGTTGATAAGCCTCTACAGCATGGTTATTTCCTCCACTACCATCAAAAAATTTACGTCCACATAGAATACTTCCGTCTGTTAAATTCAGCCATAAATTGCTTGTGAGGTCACATTGTTCACACTTCCATCCTTTCGGGGGAATTTTTTTACCGTTATCAAGTTGTAGCAAATTATCAGCATGTCTGTAAACAGAAAGAGAGAGCAGTGGGGTTTCAAGTCTGCTTGAGACAAACTATGTCATTTTGAGACTAACATATGAAGAGTCCAGGGGAAGAACGATCTAAGTCACATTTTTGTCTTTTCGCATAAAAGGTAAAACAGACTTTTGGACGAGAATGCTTGACATGAACAGAACAACAAGTGGGTTTAATTACAACTTAAAAATGATGTTTAATACGAATCATAATTACCAGTACAACAACCAACTTCCACTTTTCAGCCAAATTAAGGTCAAATAAAGGGTACGATGGACATGTTTGTCCGAGGGCCATTTCAGAAGGGCCTTGGTTCGATGTGACTCTGATCGTTTTTACCTGAAATTGATTGTTCCACAGAATCTTATACAATTTGCTACCAGATAGCGCCATTAACTGGGGTTCGTTAAAAAAAGGGCTTAGATCGTTCTTCCCGGGGCTCTTCATATGATTCAATTTTATTTCAATAATTCGCTTGATAGTGGGGTTTGTTAGCTGTGAGAGGAAACCATTTAAAAAGTTGTAGCAAATGATTAGCATGTCTGTAAAGATAAAACCAGGTTTAATGTTCAACTTTCATGCACCGACTGAGCTAATGAGGACAGGAATATAAAACGCACAAAGTTTTACGATTGAAATTTGGCCCGGACAGCGGCACTATGGCCTATTTATTTCAGAACTCAAACTGTCCATTGTTATTTCACATCCACCCCAATGCGGTCACCTCTGTTTTGTAATAAAACTTTATATAATGATATACATAGAGAGAGAGAGATGAAATGGGGTTTAACGTCCACTCGACATAAACTAGGTCATTTCGGGACTAACATATGGTTTAATTTTATTTACATAATTCGCTTGCGCGTAGGGGTCTTTAGCAGTGGGAGGAAACCGGAGGACCCGGAGAAAACCCACGAGGTTGGACAGGCGACCCTACTCCTTGCCACGTACAATCGGGGATTCGAAACCACGCCAGTCGACTCAATGACAGACTTTATGATACAACGCGAGCACGGATATACATAGAAACTCGTAATAAAACTTTATATACATACTTAGAAACTCGTAATTTCTCTCCTTCCCATGTACAAGCCATGGCTGCTGCTTCTTCCATTTTCCATGCATCGACTGCGGTTAAAATACTTGCTGCTGATAGCTGAACCTGTTACAAGAATAATAGTAGTAAGGGTACTGGATGTTCTCGACTATCATAGTAGACTAAATCAAAAAGATCTCTCATCATGGGTTGATAATGCAGTGCTGACAAGTAAAGTATTTAATATTCATTGGGATAGTACGAACAAGATGTAGAGGAGATAGTCTTGATTGGAAAGTATCATCACTAGGATAATAAATAAAGTCTTGATTATCAACTTAACATTAAATGGCACTTGTGTTATCCGTTTAATATCTCAGCCATCTGGTGGTCTAGAGAGGTGAGTATCAGCTTGTCATGTGAGCAAAGTCTAAATGATAATTTATAGAACATTTGAAACCAGATTTAGCTCTATAAGCATCTTTGAATTACTTTACTGATTTTGAAATGAAATGAACTGAAATGGGGTTTAATGTGCTACTAATTTGCTCCGAACTGGGCTAATGAAGACGGGCATACGCCATACATGTGCTATGAGGGGAATTTTGCCCGGACAGAGGCTCTACGGCCTACTCTTATATCGAATTCCAAATGTCAAGGGATCTTTTACGTGCACGCCAAAGTGTACACGGGACCATCTGAACGACTATACGTTGGCCCTTTGTTCTGTACAAGGGGCAACGAAGCCGATTAAATCTGGATGAACTTTCTTGGTCCAATGCAGGCACAGACACCCAACCTCCAGGCTAGCGAGCCAATGTCTTACCCGCCTAGCCGCCAATGCTCCGATTTTGAAATTAAATAGAGAAATAGAGACAATAACCCACCATGTCTGGTAAATCTGTATTGGTTAATGGTATAATAGTCCAGTCAGGTAGAACAACTATACTGGTCTCTTCTTCAAATCTAAAACTCTTGTCATCCACTTGAAATCCTCCTTCAACACCTAAAAAATATCCAAACAAAAACAAATGAACTGTATGTTGATTATCAATATATCAGATTGGTCGCGTGTTCGATCCCTGCATTGGCAGAGAAAGTTCATCAGAATTTTCCGACGTGGTTTCCCCTTGTCTGTGGTGCAGGACAGAGGGCCTGATGAGGACAGCTGTCTAGTTGTTCGGATGGGATGAAAAACCCAGAACCAATGTATACATTGGAGTGCACGTAAAAGAATCCTTGGCAGTTGGAATTTGATATAAGAGTAGGCCATAGTTCCGCTGCCCGGGCAAAATGTCCCTCATAGAACACTGTATGGTGTATGCCCATCTTCATTAGCCCAGTCGGAGAAGAACAGTAGGACATTAAACTCCATTTCATTTAGAGAGGGTTGGGTGGCCGAATGGTTTAAAAAGTGGCATGGTTTCGATTCCCTGCTTGTACGTGATAAGTAGTAGGGTCATCTGTCCAACCTCGTGGGTTTAATCTGGGTTCCTCAGTTTCCTCCCATAGCTAAAGACCCCTAAGCACAAGCAAATTATTTACATAAATTTGAACAATATTAGTCCCAAAATGACACAGTTTGTGTTGAGTGGAAATTAAACTCCATTTCTCTCTCTCCCTCTAGTCCATTAAGTGTGGAAACTGTTTCAACGCTTGTAGCAGTGTTTTTATACGATGTGTATAGGACTAGATTCTCAATTTTCATTGCTATCAATAAATAACATCGGCAGTATTTGTATAAGAATAATGTTGTTGTATTAATTGACAAATTTACCGATGGCAAGTTTGGTTGGCTTCTTCTCTGGTGGTTGATCATCTTTTGGTACCTGTAACAAGACATTTACACCTAATGTAATATATTAATATGACTGTGTGTCAATCTATCATACATGAATTTACATAAGGTGTATCATAAATATAAGGGACTGTGTCAATCTATCATACATGAATTTACATAAGATGTATCATAAATATGAGGGACTGTGTCAATCAATCATACGTGAGGGACTGTGCCAATCTATCATACATGGATTTACATTATATGATTTCATAAATATGAGGGATTTTGTCAATCTACCATACATGAACTCATGTATTACATGTATGTATTATTATAAATATGAGGTAGAGTGTCAATCTATCATACATGAATTTAAATATGAGATATAAATATGGGGGACTGTATAAATCTATCATACATGAATTTACATGTGATGAATTATAAATATATAGGGAATGTGTAAATCTATCAAACAGGAATCTACATTTCAATATGAACATGTACATTTCAATATGAGGGACTGTGTCATTTTATCAAACAGGAATTTACATCAGATGTGTGATAAAAATGAGGCACTGTGTAAATCTTTGATACATAAATGATATAGGGCTATTATTATAATACAGGGGACCAAGTGTCAATCTATGATATATTATATGATGTGTTATTATAAATATGGAACTACTGGTACCTCTATTCTTCTTCTTTTGATATTCAAAAATACTTGGTTACCAGTCTTGCGATAATGTCTTTCCACGTGCTTTTTACCAAGACCAAGGAAAGTGTTCATGCAAATATAGAGACCATTTTCACTTTCCTGTAACCAAACAGAAGATTATTATACAATACATAATATAAATAATCAATTTGTGACATGTTTTTTTCTGTCACTCGAAATAGTATCTACATAGTATCTACATAATATCGTACTGTTTGTGCAAACCTAACAAACATCAAAGACTAAATTTAGATCTTTGATGGTCACTGTCTGGAGATTCAGCTAGCCAAGATATTTTTTTTGTCAGTTATTGATACAGGCTTTTATGAATTTTTACTTGAGTTTCGTCTCAATCGGTTCAAAGGTTAAATCCTTTAAATAGGCTAGCAGGAACCTGCGCTGTATATCCACAGATACAGATACAGATCTATGACTATATACATCTGATCTCTGCCTACTCCTTTCGTTCAAAATGACTTACCAAGTAAGCATCATGTGCGAATTCTCAAAATTCTCTGAACCTTCAAACGTTATGAAACTGACAATAAACAGACTCCCCTCCCAGAATGTCAGACGTCAAAATTGCGTTATCATGAAAGGCTAGGATTAGGAAAGAGTCAGACACCGGCATTTCAAACAATTAGAAAGATTCCACAATTAGTCCTTGCCTTACTGATTACATGGTACTACATACTACGCTACCGCGGACATGGGTTAGCGTTTGTATTGTGGTAAGCGAAAGCCTGGAATCTGAAATGGAAACTGAAATTTGAAATGTAGAAATAGAAAATCAAAATCGAAGAAGTAAACAGATAGTCTGCTTTCTTTCTGTCTCTAATCGGATTTTAAAACAAAGGGTAACATTTTTATATGTTAAATTACCGGGTTGTCAAATGAATAAGCACATTCATCCTTATAAACCTTCTCTCCGCCCAACGGAGATTTTATTTTAGAAATGTTTTGCTTTATCACTTCCATTTTTGTTTTCACGCCGGTCAAGAAAGAAATAGCGGAGAGTTAATGTCCTTGAATTGTATCACCAATCAAAATCGTCGTTATTAAAAGAGATCGGCGATTTCATTGGTCGAGGCGGGAACTTCGAAACACGATTATTTTTATTACAGAAGTTGTATTGGGTTTGCAAGGTAGTAAAGTAGGTAACAGCATCAATTTATCTGATGATACTATGCCTAAATGTTGATCAAAGTTTGGCTAGAGATTTTCCAATTTTAGTAAATTATAATTTCAATAATCTTTGAATGGCATTTAGCGATTGCACATGATATAACACACCACAGTTTTATGGATTAACAAACTATTTACACACACGACGTTTCGACAAGAGTTCACTGCCTGGTCGTTATAATCAAGCATTCAAATTTACTATGCTTGATAACGACCAGTGAAACCTTGTCGAAACGTCGTGTTGATTGTTAAACGTGCATTATGCAAGAGCAAAATCTGCTTATTACAAGTCTTTCTTTAGGCCTGAAATGTTATCTAAATTATCAATTAAACATTAATTAACTTATCCAGACCATAATAAACTCTCGATGTCAAGGCTAGCCTTCGATGTTGGCTGGATTAGATTCCTATTTGCTGCTAACGGCTATTGATAATTAAATCAATAAAAGTGGATAATCGAGACTATGCTGTTTATATTAATGATTCTAGTAATGATGACCGAGACTATGCAAAAATTTCACCCGCTTGTTTTTCGGCTCATAGTGGATCAATTTGACTGAAATTTTCAGCAAATTACCTTTACACTATCTAGTTTTTAACTATTATAGCGAGAACGGCCATCTCTTTATCTTATCTCCCATAATGTATCTTTAATTATCCACGTGTTGTATTATATATGCCTAATGTCTACTACCGTACTGTAGAATCTAGTAGGCTAGTATTAGACTATGCCCAAATTGAAAACAAAAGTGACAGCCCCAGACAGTGGTTTGAGCAAAACACGCAATTTTGCCAGTGTCTATTTTGCTTGTCTATCCAACAGTTTCTCCCTTACTAGGCCTAGGTTGTAGTATAGCATAACTATCTATAGTCTAATGAAACAGGGTCTAATCATATCTAGTTGTTCAGATGGAATGGAAAACTATGGTTCCATGTGTTGGTAAGCATGTAAAAGATCCTTGGCAGTTGGAATTGAATGAAAAATAGGCAAAAATGTCACTGCAGAGTAAAAACCTACAGAAGCACTTATGTGCTTACCATATTGTGGACACTTAATTTGAGACTTTACCTCTATAAATAAGTCTAAGTACAGGTACTAACTACTATGTTTAGATGAGAAAAGTATTAATAAGTTTTTTTTATCATTGAAACATTTCAGAAAAATGGGGTCATTGAATAGCAAACCAGAAGTCTTGGATACAACTCCTTTAAAAAATGGTCAAAGTCCATCCATAAGACAATTGGAGAATGACCCAAGATCACCTGGTTTTGACAGAACACCAATAGTTGTTGATAAAACACCAGATTTGACGATTATAGACCCTCGTTCACCTACAGCAGGCATTGTTAGAACACCTATTGTAAATCTACTAAATGGTGGGTGCATATAAATAATGTAAGGTCACATCAATTTGATTTGGCAACACCTGTAAAATTTGTTCTGTACTTAATTAAAATACAAAAAAGTAAGCTTATTTGATTGTTCTATTCCAAATTTTTCGAAATTTTAAACAAAACATCTGATTCAAGTGACTATTTAACCAGACTCAGAAAAACAAATAATCAAGTTGATGTGGCCTAAATATTGTTAAAATTTGAATTAAGGGTAGATCATAAACAAATTTTGAATGTTCAATTCTTATATTGGGGCCTTAAGTTTTGATTTTGTATTGATTTATATAATGATTAAAAGGAATTCAAAACATTTTATTGTCTAAAGAAAATAGCTTCAGGCTTTCACCTTCTAGAAAGCCACTCTCTACATTAATTAGATTAATTAGTACAGTTGTTGTTACGGGTATGTGGTGTTTTTGTTAATTAATTAATTGTCTTCCTTGCACTTCATTATCACCTTTAGTTTATCCATAGAACGAGTATTCTAATTGCTTGGTTTAATTGACTCTATACATTGAGTTATAATTGGCCAACTATATCTACATTTGTTTGTTCATTGCTTGGTTTAATTGACTCCATCTGAGTCCATAGTGAGTTATACACTGGCCAACTATAACTATACATGTATTCGTTTCTTAAGGCTTAAAATCTACTTCCACCAAGGGTGATATTGCAGACATTTATAACTACATACAATGGATATTGTTTAATAGAGCCTCTCAAAATACAATATGTCACTTTATGTAAACAAATGAAATATTACTCTACAAGGACTGGGGCAAACTGATCCCGCAGTGAATATTCGCTTGGCCGCTACAATCACTGATAAGCATGACATCGACGAGGCTTAATGAGTTCGGCATATTAACTTTTTTACTCCCACAAATTAAATTCTCAAACATTTTTTTGAAGTATAAGAAAAATAAATAAAGACGTTTGAAGTATTTGTAGTTTAAAAAATATTTCCTATTTAGTGTAAATGGGTATTAAAATGAGTAAAATGCATCCTTTTGCCCGAAGCAGTTAGGTGTTATGTAAACAATGCACGAGCCATTGAGCCAATGACTGACGGCGCGTGAAGTCAATGCACGTGTTCTAGACAGTCATCTGTGACAGAGATAATTCGTAAGTAATTCTCTGTGAAACAGATTGGGACTGGGGTTGGGTGCTCAAGTGGTCTATTGTGTGTTCTTTAGTTCATATGTTCTGTCATTCAGTCAAGTTAAGTAGCATGGATCCTATCTTGTACATGATAAGCAGTAAGGTTGCCTGACCAGCCTCACAGTTTTTTTTCACGGTCCTCTAGTTTAGTCCCAATGCTAAATACCGGACCCTTATGTTCAAGCAACTTATTGAAATAAAGTCATATCATATCATGTGTTTGTGAAGAAATGACCAGGCCCCAGAGTTCACAAAACATTCTCAGACTGAAGAATTTACTCAAAATTGCTCACCTTATTCTAACTAAAATATTGCCCTTTATCAAACTTTTGTTGTTTTAATGTATCAAATACATCAATAAGAAACTATGTGCACAAAGTTTTGTGTTTCTTAATCAAAGGTATTTCTCAAATACAGTGATTGAAAGTTGAATAAATTCTTAACAAGTCTGAGAATGCATTGTGAAACCGAGTAAACAGAAAGGGTATTGAAATTTATTTAACTGGTGGAAAGTCATGTTTAATTATAATCAACTTCTTGGTTTACGGTAAAGGCTTCAGGTTGCAACACTGAATGATTTTTTAATTGAAATGTTTTTGTTTATTTTTTTATAGAAAAAGATAATCGTGGTTTAGAAGATGACAGTTTATTAACTAACAATGAAAAGGTTGATTTTGAAGGATCAGAAGAAAGTGGACGAGTCAGTGACCTCAGTGTATCAACGGAATTAAATTCCTTATCGCTTTCAGATGTGGATGAAAGTTCTAATTTATTAAGTATTAAAGGTATTTAAAAGAGATCATCAGGATTTTCTGGAGTGGTTCCACCTGGTGCCGGACAGAGGGCCTGGCAAGGGACAACGTAATAGTCTTTCACATAGAATGAAAAACCTAGGCCCATGTACACATTTGTGTGCACATAAAAGATCCCTAGGCCCTTGTACGCATTTGTGTGCACATAAAAGATCCCTTGGCAGTTGGAATTCAATATAAGAGTAGGCCGTAAAATCACTGTCTGGGCAAAATATCCTTCATAGCACACTGTATGGCGTATCTTTGTCTTCATTAGGCCAGTCGGAGCTAAACGGTAGGATGTTAACCCACATTTCTTCATTTCAAAAAGACAATCTGTTTTTAATTCAATTTACTTGGGAGTCTTGGCTCTTTGAAGTTATGTTAGTGTCCACGGTGTTGGCCATGAAAGTTGCTCAGGATTTTCCAGTTTGTTTTCTCTCCTGCTGTCAGTGGTGAACAAAAGGACAAGGATAGTAGTCATTAAGATGACACGAAAACTGAGGTCCCCCCACCCACCTCGTTAACATGTTGGCATGCACATAATAGAAGATAGTCAGAAATGACAGTAGTTGGAATTCAATGAAGATTACGCCAAAATGTCGCTGTCCAGACAAAATGTCCCGCATAGCAAACTACATTATCCCTGTTGGTGCAGATAAGTTGGACATAAAAAAAACCCATTTCATTCATCTAGCTAGCCTGGAGGTCGCCAATCTGGTTAAAACACAGATCCTATTTCGTTTCGTTTTTTTAGTTCAAAATTTCGTTTTACTTATTTTTACTACACTTGGATCTGGAAGAGTTGTTATTTAACTCTTGTTCTGAATGGTGTCAGGGATAAGCCAATGAAACGGTCTGTTACGGCGAGCTTTAGGTGTGTTTTGCACGGAACTGTGGGTAATCCACTAGTAATATCAATGCTGATTGGTTAATCAAATGTCTGACATCATAAGGTCATAAGTCGGTCTTTTGACTCCTGACATGACCTATCGCTATAACTTGTCAGATCTTCATGTAGTGTAGGCCATCGAAAGTATACAAAAAACGAAACGAAATATAGATTTGTATTATAATCAGATTGGGAGGTGGCAGTTTGCTTCAGTTGTTGGTCGAGAAAGTTCTTCAGTATTTTCCGGCATGGTTTCCTTTTGTCAGTGGTGCAGGGCTGGACCTGGCAAGGGACAGCTGTCTAGTCATTCCAATGGGATGAAAAACCAAGGTCCTGTGTACAAATTTACGTGCACGTAAAAGATCTCTTGGCAGTTGGAATTTGATATAAGAGTAATCCGTAGTGCCGCTGTCCAGGCAAAATTTCCCTCATAGCACACTGTATAGCGTCGGAGAAAGGATGTTGAACCCCATTTCAATCATTCATTCCCTTGAAAGATATACGTCTACTGAACCTCCCTCCCACATCAGATTGCTTTAAAAGGATTGTTTGAGAACCAAAACATTTGTTTTGTATGTCCGTACATTGCTTTCTATTTCCATTTTTTTTTTTCTTTTTTAGAAGAAAAGATTGGCAAGAAATCCAAAAGTAAAAATCAGATAAAAACGCAGCCCAAACAACTGTTCCCAGTCTTGAAGAAAACAGTATTGATGCACGGAGATGTGCGTAGATCCCCTCTTTCTTCCGTGGTCATCGACGGAAACTCTCCTCGTAATATCGTACAAAGAAAACAAACCAAGAAAATAGACAATGCTCGGTCGTGTCGACCAGAATCTAATTTCTGTCCGTCTGCAAATAAAGAGAATATGACAGATAAATATTGAGGCACGTGTTCGGAAACCGGTCATATTTCTAGTTCAAGAACTGTCATCAATACATAATATTATTGTATATATCATAATATACCAAGAGACCTTCTCTACGCTATCCAGGATGATGCTGGGTTTCAAAATCGCAAGCGTAATATTTAAATATTGAATAATGCAATTGATTGGTTGTTGTGTTTAACCTGGATAATCTCCATGTGGAATGGTGTCTGTCTTATCGTTTCAATATACCTCATTATTTCTCTTTATTGTCATTGGCAGGACTTTATGGTCATCAACAGGACTTTGTTGTCATTGGCAGGACTTTATTGCCATCGACAGGGCTTTATGGTCAATGACAGGGCTTTATTGTCATCATTAGGGCTTTATTGTCATTGTAAGGGCTTTGTCATCGACAGGGCTTTATTGTCATCAACAGAGCTTTGTCATCGACAGGGCTTTCGTTTCATTTATACTTTAAAGTCTTGACTGACTAGCAGTAAATTTGACAGGTGAGAGAAATCACCTGTTGTCAATTTACATTGTTTAGAATTTTATATAATTTAACGTTAAAATATTCTAGATTTATAGCCTTTATGTTTAAAATCACTAAAAAAAAATAGATTAAAATTGAGATATTGCTAAAAAAAAATTCATTTATTTTGAAAAATATCTTGTTAACCCCCCAAAAGTTTTTTGAAGAAAAAGCCTTGGCCAACTTGATGTCATGGAGTCATTTTCTATTTGTTTTTCCCTATGTATAATAGTGTATCAAATTTAGAACTATATATTATAAAGATTGAATTAGCTATATGACATCTTAGATTAATATATTTAATTCTTCCAGGTCTTGTAAAATGTAAATAATTTATTTTGTAATAATATTTTGCTGACATAAATTTATTAAACCCTCTTGATGAGTGTAATAAATGAATTTATGAAGATATTGTTGTTTTGAGTTTGTTAATATAGTATTTCGTTCATTTTAAGACAACAGTCCTGTGTATACATTAATGTACACATAAAATATCCCTTGGCAGTTGGAATTCGATATAAGAGTAGGCCGTAGCGCCGCTGCCCGGGCAAAATTTCCCTCATAGCACACTGTATGGCGTATGCCCGTCTTCAATTAGCCCAGTTTAGGAGCAGAATAGTAAGACATTAAACCCCATTTCATTTCAGACGATTGTATCCTTAAAGATACTTTCTCCATGTACCAATGAAATGAAATGTAACGTCCTACGCTTCTGCACCTAACCTGGGCTAATTGAAGACGGGCATACACCATACAGTGTGCTATGAGGGAAATTTTGCCCGGGCAGCGGCGCTACGGCCTACTCTTATATCGAATTCCAACTGTCAACGGATCTTTTACGTGCACGCCAATGTGTACACAGGACCTCGGTTTTTTGTCCCATCCGAACGACTAGACAGCTGTCCTTGTCAGGTCCTCCGTTCTGCATCACTGACAAGGGGAAATCACGCCGGAAAATTCTCCATGTACAAACTGTATGATTTGAAGATATATTTGGACTAAAAACATATTCAAAGTAATCTGTCAAAAATTTTCTTCAAATCCCTTTCAAAACTTTGTATTCGTCGGGAGCTACCACAAGCTATAAATAAAATGATGTTAGATGCCATGTCAACCAGCTCAATTCATTGTGGGAGGGTCCATTTTTTCAGAATTATTTATCGTTACTTACTGTACATTTACCATACATATTGAGGCCTATGTAAATTCTTAATTATTTTCTGTCAACTACCTTTTCCTCCCTTCAATTGCAGAGTCTTTTGTACATTAAAACCCCTCAATATTCCCAAAACCGCCCATTTTTTGATCCAAGAAATATTTCCAGGCAGCTGAGAGTGAAAAAAACCTGTCAAATCAGTTAGGAGGCAATTGATAGTTGAATAGCTAGTCGGATGTGGACACTGTGCATGACAAGGCATATACTGGATGTGTGCGTGGCCTGACTCTCTTTTTGCACCCCGTAAGCAATCGCCATGTTTGTTCTACAAATTGAAAACAAGTATGGCGACTGTTTAGGGCGTTACCTTTTCTTTTTAATTATTTCTGCAGTTTTGTAATCAGAGTTCAGACCAATGGACAAACCCATTTTATTAGTTCCCCTGCTTTCTCGAAGACGGGCCAATAATTGTAATAAACACCGCTTTGAATAAATTTAATTTATTAAATGCATCTTACATGAATTAATATAAATACAGAAAAAACAATTAAACTAAACATGTCATTTAAATGTCACAAATAAACATCAATATATATTGGCAAGATGCGTGAGTATTTATAGGCCATTTTTTGACAGGTCACAAAATGTCGGACTTAAACAATTGTATGATTAAAAATGATATGTTCCATTGTGTGTGGAGGCCACAAAATGTCGAACTTAAACAATTGTTCGATTAAAAATAATTTCGGGTTTTCTTAACCTGAGATATGTTCCATTTTGAGGCCTCAAAATGTCAGACTTAAACAATTGTTTGATTAAAAATAATAATTTTGCGTTTTCTTTCTCAACCTGAGATATGTTCCATTGTGTGTGGAGGCCACAAAATGATAATTTGGGGTTTTCTTTTTTAACCTGAGATATGTTCCATTGTGTGTGGAGATCACTAAATGTCGGACTTAAACAATGGGCGTCCTCGCTAGAAATAAAGGGGCATAATTTATAGGTGACACCATAGAAGAGACAGTCCCATGTGACCTCATTGTTTACCTTATAGCATTGTTTTCCTGTACATTCATTACAAACTGGTGTGATGACAAATGTTAGTTTTTGTTGTTAATATGGAATTTAATCACGATACGTTGAAATACGGTTGTCTTACCATCGATAAGGTCACATGGAACCAAGTTTTTACTAACGACGTCTGGTGGGGATTCCCTCAGCGAGGACGCCCATTGTGATTAAAAATGATAATTTGGGGTTTTCTTTTTTAAAGCGAGAATTTCATATTTTCTAAGAAAGTCAAAACATAATTATTTCTATGTCTTTTGCTCAATAGGTTATCAACTCACTATTATACGACCATGGGCATTATTTCCCACCCTTAAAAATCATTGACACAGGAAATAATAACAAAATTACCTCCCTTGTTTTCCTATTGCCTCCATGCATTAGCTACTTTCAAACATTGGAATTTGAAGTTGAAAATGATATTTTTGCCAATTTCTCAGCTGGCAATAGTGAATTATAGGATTAATAGGATTATTCTTTAACAAGGTAGGACAGTTTATGGATACCATCTATTTTAAGGCTTTATTTTAATAAATTTTAAAAATATGAAATTGTAGCTTTAACCTGAGATATGTCAGTCCAAGGGTTGTATCAATATATTACACAATGCCTTATTCGATCAAGACTATTAAACAACTTGAAATAAAGATTCAATATCTGTATTTCAATGAAATCATCACAAGAGTCTAATATTTCATGAAAGTATATATATTGTACGATACATACATTATTTGAAAAATGGTATGCGAACATCAAGGCTAACGTCACTCTGACAACACCAGGAAAAGAATTGTATTACAATAAAAATGTAATATACACACAACATATACTGAGATACAATGAAAATATACTGTTTTTAAATGTTTGAAAGATACACTTAAAATCTTGAAATTCAGAAAGTACCTGAGAATGTTGTTTTCACGATTGTGTAAACCCACCACAACTCAATTTCTTTACAACGCAAAATATTAATTTCAATGGAATGTTTAAAATCATGATTTTATGGTGCAGACATCTGGGGGTCGATACTCGATACTACTGCAGTTTTTTGGAAGACGAAACAATATACCAAAGTTGACACCTAAACTCAGAGAATGTGCCATACTGCTATTCCAAGATGGTATGAATACCAGGCCCCACTTTTAGAATGTATTCTCAGGCTTTAATTTAAGAATTTACTCAAAATGGTTTGCCTTATTTTAACTAAAATATAGCCCTTTATAAAACTTTTGTTGATTTAATGTATCAAATACATCAATAAGAAATGAAATGGGGTTTAACGTCCTACTGTTCTGCTCACATCAGTAAGAAACTGCAAAGCTTGTGTTTCATTGCATCTCAGTTGTTAGATTTCATAAATCGTGTTACGATAAATAAATATTGCTATTAGCAAAAATGTCTTTGCGCGGACAAACATTTGATAGTCACATTTGGAAATAGATTTATCACATATCAGTAATCTTAATTAATTATAGCTCTTTCTGATTCAACTCCATCCACAGTCAGGCTTTCTTGCAACGATTTTGGTAAAAATAACGCAGCAATTTCTTCCACTGTTTTTCCTTTTGTTTCTGGTAACATTATATAGGTAAATAACCAAAAACATGCCAACAGAACCACAAACGGTACAAACGAATAATCACTTATTGCACTCTGAAAATGGAAGGGAAAAAAATTATTCATTTCAGTAAATTGTCCCCTGAAGCTGAAAGAGAGAAATGTGGTTTAACGTCCACTCGACACACACTAGGTCATGTTGGGACTAACATATAGTTCAATTTTATTTCAATGATTTGCTTGCGCATAGGGGTCTTTAGCAGTGGGAGGAAACCGGAGACAACCGGGGATTCGAAACCACGCCAGTTGACTCAGTGACAGACCGTATGATACAACCTGGTGTTTACCTGGTAAAATGATAGTTTTTTTTAACATACCTGTAGAATAGGTTAATTTAACATACCTGTAGAACAGGTTAATTTAACATACCTGTAGAATAGGGAAAACAAAACCAACAACAAAATTTGACAACCAATTAACAAGTACAGCTACACTAACAGCTGCTGTTCGTGGACCCTGTGTAAATAATTCAGCTACAATAAACCATGGTATAGATCCTGAAACAAAAGTTGGTGAGAAAGAAATTTAAAAGGAGATTGATGTCCACTCGAAACAAACTAGGTCATTTTGGGCCTAACATATGGTTTATTTTTTTTTTTAATAATTTGCTAGTGCGTAAGAGTCTATAGTAGTGGGAGGACCCAGAGAAAACCCACAAGGTTGGACAAGTTGGGGATCAAAACCACGCCAGTTGACTCAATGATAGACCTTATGATCTTAAGTGCAATCATTGGACCAGGGATGGTTTTCGCCCGTATATTCCAGACTTGTCCGACGCTATTTTAAAAACCATTCGGCCACCTAACCCTGCTAAATCAGTTGGTATAAACAGAAAGACAAAATCAAGTTTCACAACTATTTGATAAAATGAGAAGATCTGAGAAAACATTTTTGCTCATTTAGGTGCATACTTGTATAGGATTAAGCCAAAATGGCAGCATTGCTTTGCATGTTTGTTTGACGTTATTTCGACGAATGTAGTCCCGAGAAAAAAAAAATATGTTGGGACTTGCGCCTGTTAAGGAGAGGTAACTCTCGTATACCAATGAAATCATAAGATAATATCTAAACATACCTGGTCCAATAGCGAAAAATATTATATAAAAAACTACAGCCAATATACATATAAACGATAACCAATGATGGGAAGGCTGGAATAAAAAATAATATCAACTATCACATCCTATTTTTATATCATGTAAAAACTCTTTTCATTTTTGACAAAACAAGCTAACAGTGAGGCTGATGTCCACCACCGAAATACCATCTTCGAACTTCATTAAGGCATTCACCTAATAAACACCTACACCAAGTTTGAACATTCTAGCTCAATTAGAAGGAAAATTATTGTGTCCCAAAAAGTCAGACAGACAGACAGGTAGTCCCATTTTTAATAATACCCTGCTTCCTTCGAAAGGTGGGGGACAATAAAATGATAATGTGGGGTATTCGATGTATACTGTAAACGCCCACGTATAACACGTCGTCATATTTAACACAAACTGCCCCCGGATCCATTCACTTGATTTGATATTTGTTTATTTTTTTTTTTTTTTTTGCGTGTAGTGCGGTCCTCCTGCACTTACTATTTGAATCCGTGAATTCAGGCAAAATTGCTATTCCCCCAACATATGACATCCTAGTACAGAAAATTTGGTGTTGGTTGGCCAAATAATCTAATATGTGTACTTTAGAGTCAAGTGACATGGTTTTCGATCCAATGCAGATTGTCTGCTTAATCTCATGGGTTTTCTCCGGGTCCTCTGGATTCCTCAAACTGCTAAAGATACCAACATGCAAGTGAATTACTGGAATAAAATTGTACCATATGTTAGTCCCAAAATTAACGATTACCTGAAATACTCTTGATACAGTAAGTACTGCTGTAAATACAAACATTCCACCTAGCCCGGCTAAATGTAATGCCCGTCTGCCCAGTCGATCCATGAAAAAGGCAGAGACAAAGGTCATGGAAACATTAACTACGCTGACCCCTAAAGTGGCGTATTCTGCCGTACTGCGAGCTAGTCCTGCTGATGTGAAAATATCTGTGGAATAATATATAACCTAAAATTAAAAGAAGACCATATTAAAACAAATGAAATGGGGTTTAACGCCCTACTGTTCTGCTCCTACTGGGCTAATGAAGACGGGCATATGCCATACAGTGTGCTATGAGGGAAATTTTGCCCGGACAGCGGCACATGGCCTACTCTTATATCAAATTCTAACTGCCAAGGGATCTTTTACATGTACGCCAATGTATACACGGGACCTTGGTTTTTCGTCCTATCTGAACGACTAGATAGCTGTCCTTGTCAGCCCCCCCCCCCCCCCCCCGTCCTGTGCCACTAACAAGAGGAATCTAGGTTGAAAAATGCACTATGAGAACAATTTTTCTGGTACAGCGGCGCTACAACCTATTCTTATTTTGAATTCTAACTATCGGGGTTTCTTTTACGTGCACGCCAATGTGTAGACTGGAACTCGGTTCTTTGTCCCATTCAAAAGACTATACGTTGTCCCTTGCCAGGCCCTCCGTCAGATAGAACTAATAATGGGGAACCACAGTGGAAAATCACAATGAGCTTTCTCGGCCAACGCAGGGATCAAGCACAGGACGTCCAGGTTAGTGAGCCAACATCCTTCTCACAGAGCCACCATGGCTCACGATCTTTTAAGCTTTTTTTGTATATCATCTTTGTGATGTTAGAAGCTGACTGAATTGTGTACTTTTTAACTCTCATATTTTCTGAAGTGACATAAGCAAAGGCCTGCTACTAGATGTAAACAGTTCACTCACAGCATTGATACCAGAAAATTGTTGAGACAGTTGTAGAACCATGCTGATAATCAGAGGGGTACGTAACTCTTTTGTTTTTATTAAATCACCAACAGAAAACTGAAAAGTTAAAAAATAAATCTAATCTTATTAACAATCATGATATGGATCAAGAACTGAGCAGGACGCCATCTTGGAATATTGTCGTCTGATCAAAAATCAATCCATGCGAGCTTGTCAAACGAACAAACACATCAATCTTTATGCCGCTCATACCTGAAATCGCACATCTTCAATAGAAGGCTTGATCTTGCTTTAACTATGTACATCTTATCAAGGCCTTCATGTAATACCCTGCATATTTCGTCACTAATTTCGACTGGGTACAAACCCAGCTTGTGAGCCTATCAAAGTCCTTGATCAAGTCTCTGCTTTTAAGCTAAAAGAGAGAAAGAGAGAAAGAGAAGTGTGGTTTAACGTCCATCCGACACAAACTAGGTCATTTCGGGACTAACATATGGTTCAATTTTTTTATTTCAACACTTCGCTTGCACGTGAGGGTCTTTAGCAGTGGGAGGAAACCAGAGGACCCGGAGAAAACCCACGAGGTTGGACAGGTAATCATACTCCTGTCAAAGCTGGAAATCGAAACCCCGCCACTTGACTCGATGACAGACCCGATTATCTAACCCATGTGTTAACCCATTCAATGACAGATCTTATGATTTCACGAACACGAGTTAAACCACTAGGTCATCCAACACCCCCATCAGTGGCAGAATCAGGATTTTCTTGTTTGGGTCGTGAGTTTCAAGGGGCAGAGAGCCAGATTTAACAATAGGCTTGGTAGGCTGAAGCCTATAAGGGCCCCAAGATCTAGGGGGCCTTCGACCAAAGTGCTTAATATTTTTGAAACTGTCATAAGCTTTTCTTACACATCATCATCCTCGGCTTAGTTTAAAACACATTTTCCTCTTCCTCTAGTTGTGAGGGTGGGGGATTGGAATCTCTAGTCATTAGGGTGGAGGATTGGAATAGCCTGATTAGCTATACCCTCTCTAGTCGTGAGGGTGGGGGGTTGGAATAGCCTGGATAGCTATACCCTCTCTAGTCGTGAGGGTGGGGGATTGGAATAGCCTGGATAGCTATACCCTCTTTTGATATTTTGATTAATCAGACATTTTAACGAAAATGAAATCAAGAGAACATACTTTTTTCCGATGTATTTGTTCCACAGCTTCCGATCTCATCTCATCCATTTCACTATTTACATTCGTCGTTTCTCTAAACCACATTAAAGCTACAAATAATTTATAGAAAACAGACAATACATTAATTGGGGGTTTAATATCCTACTTGTATACATCGACTGAGCTAATGAAGACGGGCTCTGAATTTTCAATCTGGTTTTTGCACATAACTACCGGTAGCTGAAAAATCCCAGAAAATTGAAAAAATTCTTAACATATCGAGACTAACATATGGTTCAATTTTATTTCAATAAATCTGGAGGATCCGTAGAAAACCCTTGAGGTTGGACAGGCGACCTTACTCCTTGTCACGTAAAAGTGTGGAATCGAACCCACGCCACGTGACTCTTGACGGACCTTATGATCAAATGCGCACACTCTAACCATTCGGCCACCTAACCCCCTATATTTGATTTGGATTAAATATAATTCTGTCTAGCTATCATGATGTTCCATTCCTTTCTTTTAAACATTTAATAATTTATACAATAAAATACAAATGAATGAATGAATGAATGAATGAATGAATTTATGTTTAACATTTTCTGCACAACCAGGGTAATAAAGATGGGTTTAAAATTGAAGTTTTACCTTTTCTTGCAGCTTGTTCATCATGTTTTGTTAACATGAGATATCTGGGACTTTCACAACAAAATGTTAAAACACATAGTTGATATAGAACTGGTACTAATGTTAAGGCTGGGGAAAAAGAAAACAAAGCATTTAGGATTCATGATTCACTAAAATATCAAATTTCTCACGGCCATAATCCATGCTATAATGTACTCAGATTGATGAATTAACGTTTAATTAAGAAAACAAAATCAAAATACCAATACTAGATAACCTCTCAACTTGGATTCAATCTAATTTGACTTGAAGAAATATTGTAGTTTGCAAGGGATTCCTATTGCACCAGGGAGCCACGGTGGCTCAGTGAGTAGAACTTTGGCTTACTGACTTCGGGAGCCAGAGAAAGTTCATCAGGATTTTCTGGTGTGGTTCCCCCTTGTCAGTGGTGTAGGACGGAGGGTCTGACAAGGGAGAATGTATAGTCATTCAAATGGGACAAAAAAAAAAACGAGGTCCCGTGTACATATTGGCGTGCACGTAAAAGATCCCTTGACAGTTGGAATTCACAATAAGAGTAGGCCATAGTGTCACTGTCCGGAAAAAATTTCCCTCATGGCACACTGTATGGCATATGCCCGTCTTCATCATCCCAGTAGGAGCAGAACAGTAGGACGTCAAACCACATTTGATTTCATTTCCTATTGTGCCAAAATGATGCAATGAGAATCTAATACAAGAGATATATATACAAACTTACCTAATAATAGCGGCCATAGTTCATCTGTGCCTAATATAAAATCTAAACCAAGCAGTTGTGAAATAACGACACCAAATGTTATAGACATCTGATTGAACGTTCCACAAAATCCCCGTAATTCTATTGGTGCAATCTCAGACAGATATAATGGAACAATACCTGTATTTATTCCTGGAAAGGACATAATTTGACATGAAGTTTACTAAAAAGAATGGAAATGGTCATTATTTAACTTTTGGCCATCTTTTACTAATTATCACAGTACACAATTAAGCAACTCATAATCCAATATTCAGACATTTGCTTTGTGTAATTTCTTGGACACATTAATGCTAGTTTCCCACTATCACGATTGGCGCTACGATTGAAATCATGGTTTTAATCGTGGTGATCCTATCTGGTCTTATATATTGAGGTCAGTCATAACAACCGAGTTGACCGTATCAAAATGTATCTGCACGTACCAGATCGTCGACAATCCTACCATAACGCATGGAACCTAGCATTAGAATATTCATTTAGCATATACGAATACAACAGACTTTGCATTTAAACAGAGACCCCTAACTGAATCGGATTATAATTTAGAGTGAAGCCCCACCTGGCCACTCCCATCCAATTTACCCTTAATACTTAATAGCCAATGAAGGATAACTGCATAACAAAATACAGACTGAACAAACAATAAACCTTACCTGCATTAATTCCAACTACAAATCTTCCAGCAATCAACATCTCATACGAATCAGCCATTTTCGAAAAACCCAACAGACCAGCAGCCATTACTGCTATAACATTGTTACGTAATAAAGCACCTCTCCTGGAAATTAAATTGAAAGAACTTAAAAAGAGAGAGATAAATCGGGTTTAATGATCACTCGACACAAACTAGATGATTTCGGGACTAACATATGGTTCAATTTTATTCCAATAATTCGCTTGCGTGTAGGGGTCTTTAGCACAGGGAGGAAATCGAAGGCCCAGAGAAAACCTACAAGGATGGACAGGCAAACCTAGTCTTTGTCTGGTGCAAGCGGGGCATCAAAACGACTCCAGTTGACTCAATGGCACAACGCCCATGCGCTAACCATTCGGCCATCCAACCCCCAAAGAGAGAAATGGGTTTCACGTCTACATGGTTCAATTATATTTAAATAATTCGCTCACGCGTTGGAAACCAGGGCAACCGGAGAAAACCCTTGATGTTGGAAAGCTTGGGATCGAAACCACGCCACTTGAGTCAATGACAGACCTTAAGATCTAAAGTGCAGGCCATTGAACCATTCAGGAAACAAACCCCTCTGACATTGTTTATTTAGCAGGTCCGAAAACTGAAATTGAGTAACACTTCTTTACAATTGTATCCCTTTTTAATGATCTAATTTAATTTTACGCACCTACCATATTTGTTGCTCCAGTAACCAGCACTAACCCCACCAATCATACCACCGACAGCATACATAGCAACGGTTAACGCCCATAGCAACGTTAATAAACTATCCTCAATATATTTACCTTCTTTTCTATGGTAAGATTCGTTATAAAAACTCTTCATTACCTGGAGATCAAATTATATTTACTTATATACATGTAGCCAATATTATCAATGGAGAAAACATTGGTTGCCATGCAACAAAACACACATCTACCAGTAACCATGTCGAAATTCTCTGAAAATCTTTAGATTCTTGCTTTGATTAAGAAAATGCCCATTAATGATCTCCATCAAGACATTAAACTAATGAACATTCTACCTAAATTAAAAGCAGAGTTATTGTGTTCCAAAATGTAACAGATGAACATCCCCTAAACCAAGCTTGAACTGTCTTTGGTTAGAAACAGAGAAATTGTATTTTCTGTAACAGATGGGGTACAAAAAGATACAGACTATCGTAGGTTCTGAAGAGTATTCACAAGAAATACTAGCTATATACACCGGATGATAGTCGATATCATAAATATCTGCATATAAAAACTATTCACACATTCCTAAAAACGTCTTCTAAGAAACTCTGAGATAATATCTTGTCAGCAGGCCATACAAAAATAACATTTTGGTTCTCAGACAATCCATCCAAAAAGGTTTTTATTTTGTTAAAGGATGAAGTCAATACTGGGCTGAATGAATTCTCACATTACATTTGCAGGCACTACATATCTCATCATGTCGTTTATATTCTATTATTTGAAAAAAAAGGGTCATGCAGCCCTTTTTAAGTGCCGCGGAAATATCTGAGAACCAAAATATTAAATAAATAGGAAACACAGAATTATGTAAGGCCTACCTTCTCCGGAGAATTGACAACCCCAGTATTGTAACCAAACTGGAATGACGAGCCTAGTGTACATGCTACTATTGACAGGATCAAATGTTTGGTAAATTTCTGAAATCCAAAATACACATGAAACAGTTATATGAATCGAATCAAAAGAAAAAAATAAGAAAAGAAAAAAAAGGAAAAGAATTAAATTAAAAGTCAGCATATTATTGTACAGTGTGTTATTTGGGATATTTTGCACGGTCAGCAACAATACGACCTACTGTTATTTGGAATTCCAACTGTCAAGGGTTATTTTATTAGTAAGTGCAGCCGGGGAACTGCACCACACAAAATTTACACAAAAACAAATACACGGACAAGACATCATACTTAGGAAAACACAGACAAACAATTAAAAAAAAGCGTTCACTGCGCTGTACATGCAGTCCATTGTCTGTAGGGGCCTATATAGTGACACAGACTTCACTCAAATTTGAAAACAATCAGGAATACAACCCAAAGAAACCATAGTGTAATGCCAGCATGAGTCATGATCTGCTATATGCTACACGAAATACAAATGTAAGCATATGTAGTAAAATTCAACTATACAAGTAACCACATCGGTGAATTAATGTATAAATGTTGACGCCAATGTGTACGCACACCAGACATCAGTTTTTCATAACATCTAAACAGCTAGACAGCTTTTCCTTGAAAGGCCCACCACTGACATGGGGGCATCAGTCTGAAAAATCTTGGAGAACTTTCTCGACCAACAATGAATAGGAATAGCGATCATCTTGCTTTAGATGGTTGATTATCACATCTTTGGTCAGAAGGCCGATAAACGTACGATAGCCCATGAAATGGTTCATCATAATAGGCCTATTATGATGATTTTAATGATTTTAGATTCATGACAAAGTCTCCTATAAATAAACTTAAATTTGTCTAAAATATCAATAAAATCACCGATAAAAGAAAAATCCGTGCAAGACAAAAAGCTTAATTTTAATTTATATGTCGGCCAATTCAGAGGCCGTGAGCATGTCTTAATTTAGAAGTTTACAGGAAGATAATTATATTATGACAACGGCGACAACCTAATCTACAATTGCGATACAAAGTTCACTCTTGTACCTTGAACAAATACTGACAAACACAATCTTACAGGCTTTACTTGTGGAGTCTTAGAATCTCCGAGCAACGGTTCTTTTTCTGTCACATCCGCCATCTTCAATGTTTATGTTCAGTCACATGATTATCACGTGTGATCAAAGATCAAAAGCGCGACAGGATTCATTTTTAAACGACCACAATTATGGTTATAGTTTGGGCAGGGATAAATACGGTCGTTACCCTGTCCGTCGGTCACCCGTCCGGCAAATATTGGATTGTGAAATGAAGGTGATATAGCCTATTGATGGATCTTTGTCATGAGTTGAGAAGAGGCGGTAACCCCTCGTTATTCAGCCTTGCGCGGCCTTTCCGTAGGCCTACCAGAGTTATCCCCCCCCCCTTTTCCAAAATCCTTGTGGCACAATACTGGATCTTTGTTTCATCTGGAAAATATTTGACCTATTAAATTTATTCCGATCTTTTTAAAACTTGTGAACACAACAGAGCTCAGATTTCTTGAAGGAAGCATTGGGTTCATGAGGTGCAGAAGCTATAGTTTTGGATTGATATTTTTTTTTTTTTAATTTCTTGTGAAGCATTGTTGCACGACTTTTTGTGCAGATGAACCCTATCAATACTCAACGATATGCAACATTCCATTTCGGAGTTATCCTCCTTTGCCAAAAACCATGTGAACCCAATTGATTTTCAGGGTTATGTGACCTTTCTGAACTTTCATACCATAATTATGTCCCCTTTTCTGAAAACCCTGTGTGGGCATATATTTCCACGCTTTACATGGCTATTAATTGTTAACTCAGTCAGGAGTCATCCATCCAAGCGAGGGGGGGGGGGGCCAAATGGATAGCATGTGCGCACTGTAGGCTATCATTCGGTCTGTCATTGAGTCAATTGGCGTGGTTTTGAATCCCCGGTTGTACGTGACAAGGAGTAGGGTCGCTGTCCAACCTTGTGGGTTTTCTCCGGGTCCACCGGTTTCCTCCCCCTGCTAATTGAAATAGATTGAACCATGTGTTAGTCCCGAAATGACCTAGCTGGTGTCGAGTTGATGTTAAACCCTAGTGTTCTCTCTCTCTCTCAATCTCAATATAATGCTTTAGATAAAAGTATCAATATCCATAACTATACGAACGTGATTAATTGATTTGGGTATTGTGAAACCGTAAGTAGCCTATGGACCGTTTGGAAAGGGTAAATTGCTTCAGACTGTGCCAGAGGGTAAAGCTTAAAGGACCTAAGTCCGTAACTCAAAATCCTCCAAAATCTTCGACATCGAAAACACGAATTATTGGTCAATTTAAATCAACATTGATGATGTAAACTTACCGGGAAAAGATGAGCTTCTGATATCCGATATTTAAGATAAAATAATTTTTTTAACATTGGTACACGAATCGTGTACCATAATGCGCTTGAGCCCCAGTTGTATTGAGAGACTCGAGGGACGAGGCTAGACACATTGCACCAAATCAAATGGAGTTATGTAGACTAGAATAACTAGACGCTAGAAATTTGCACTCGATTGAGATTGCTGACTTATTTCGCCGAACATAACTGATTTGAAATTGGAGTAAAAACGGAAACCATTAAATGTAAATCAGTTTATATACATTCTTATTACAGTATTATATGCGTTGCGACCCACTTTTGTGAATTTCTAGGTCCCAAATGTTAGCGATTTAGCTCCTTTAAGATTTCTTTGTATTATGGCATAACTAAGTTTCTTCATTGTTGTGTCTTTCTTATTCTGACGCAGTTTCCCCTTGTCAGTGGTGCAGGATGGAGAGCCTGACAAGGACAGCTGTCTAGTTGTTTGGGTGAGACGAAAAAAACGAGGTCCCGTGTATACGTTGGCATGCAAGTAAAAGACCCCGTGCCATTCGATATAAGAGTAGGTCATAGTGCAAAATTTCCCTCATAGCACACTGTATGGCGTATGCCAGTCTTCATTAGCCCAGTTCGGAGCAGAACAGTAGGACCTTAAACCCCATTTTATCTTGTGTCTTTCATAGGGCTTTCTTAATCTGACTCTAGTACAATAAACTAGCGCAATTTAAACATTTTTTTTTATTTTATTATAGATAAAAACTACCTGTATTTAAATACAATAAAATAATTCTGATATTAAAAAACAAATTCTAATTTATTAAAACAAAGACTTCGGTAGAATTAAAATGTACACAAAACCACGAGTCAGTAAAAAAATACTTTATAAAAGAAACATGGCAAGACATTTTATTTTCAAAATATAATTATAGACATTTTAATCGGATTATTATGAATCTTTATGGTATTTTGAAATTACATGGTACCAGATGTCGTAATTTTAAAGAAAAAAACAATTACTATGCAAGATAATGGCCACATTTTGCAATAGATGGACAGAGAACAGGAAAAACCAACAGGGCTCATCCTCTTATTGTCCCATTGCTTAATATTCACATCGAATCCATCCAAGTTCTTTGGACTATAAACATATATTTTAAGTTCCATCAAAATCAGATAAAGATTGTAGAGTGTCTACAAATAAATGTGAACAGATGGACAGGGGTGATGACATAATACATCCACATGTATATAATAAAAATTATCACTAATAAAAAAATACAATTTTAAAAAATAGTACTCTTTATCAAACAATGTTTCAGTATTCTTACAAGTATCCTGATCGAACGCCTAGTTCAGCTCTGAAGGTAGGTCTCATTACACTCGCCCTGTAGGTTCAGGAACGGTGTTATTGAATCCTTGGCGAAAAAGCTTGGCTTCCCAGGCAATTTTACTGCTAAACGGTCACGTGTCAGTCCCTGTGAACGCCTGACAAATGTAACTGAACATCTTAGTGAGAAAATAAGACCTTGTTTACCTAGCAAGAACCAGTATGAGCGACACAACACGTTGTTAAAACCGATTTGGCCGACTTCATTGAAAGGGTAACGCACAAATTACGAACTCGGGCATATAAGATGAAACAAAATTTAGGTTGAGAATCTTCAGTCATTTATTGCTTTGCCTAGCCCAATTACAATAATTTACAATCAATTTTTTTCAAAAATCCCAATTTTGTTTCCCCCCGGCTTACCTAAATTTCGTTTCATCAATAATTAATTTTGCGAAAATAAAGAGTCACGATGAAAAATAGAAGGCAAGGGTTCCAAAATGGTTGCAGCTATATAGGAAGGGATAGGAACACTCCACAGACAAAACAAGTGAAAAGCTTTCGCTGCATGATACGTCGACATTCCTGCTTCGATTGAAGGGATAGGAACTGTCAGCGGACAACTTCCGATAAGAGCCAGTTTCTAAAGGAACGTCCACATGATACATCTACATTCCTGCTTTGGTTGCTATGATACTTTTTAAAATGACGAGAATGAAATATGAAATGGCTGCAACGACAAAATATTAGTATAAACGCAGGTGTGTAACCGCCCCTGAGGGTCAGGCATGCACCAAAATCAATAGCCCCCGTCCTTAAGAGTATATTGAATACATTTGCCTATTTCCCGGATGATCCATTCCGAGTTTGGCCTATAGACGATTAACATTTTAAAAAATGGGCGTGGTCGTGAGCTATAAGGCGTTTTCGGTTACTTACAACCGGCGAAGAAAACAGCGTGGAACAAAATGGCGCAGTCCATTTGTAATGCGGGGGAGAACAAGTTCGTAAAGGTAAACAAACCAGTGAATCCATTAACAAAGAAAGGCACGTTCTAATACAAATACTTTATAACAAATAATGCCATACATGGGTATGTTCCCAGTAAAACAATAAATAATATAATAATAAAATATATAATATGATGGGTGTGTTCCCGGACCGTAACAATGTAAATGCCTCTGACCAGGCAAAGGTTCTCTTATATCACACTGCTGAACAGGGCCCTTGAGAGGAACAAAATGTGCGGGGGCGAGACCTCCCCCGCTCTCCTGTCCAACACTAGTCATATCAAGATGATTCGCTACCAGATAGCGATAAAATGAAAACTTTTGTACATACTTATATAAGTTTCAAAGAAACAATAAAAAAATTCATGCATAATTGCCCATTTCAATTTTCAACTTTGATATTCATGGGCCCTATAGACTCTTATGGGCCCTGGGGCGGCGCACCTCCTGCATCACCCGACCCACCCACACCCACCCCTCTTGTGAGGCCTGCTGCTGAATGCATGGTATATACCCAGTATTGATTTGCCCAGTTGGTGCAGAAAAGTAGATCGTAAAACCCTATTTCATTTCGTTAACATTTTATACAAAATGAAATGAAATGAAATGGGGTTTAACGTCCTACTGTTCTGCTCCTATGCTAGGCTAATGAAGACGGGTATACGCCATACAGTGTGCTATGAGGGAAATTTTGCCCGGGCAACGGCACTATCGCCTACTCTTATATCGAATTCCAACTGCCAAGGGATCTTTTATGTGCATTCCAATGTATACACGGGACCTCGGTTTTTCATCTCATCCGAAGGACTATACAGCTGTCCTTGTCAGGCCCTCCATCCTGCCATTTTATACAAGAATAACAAAACACAGAATTGAGGTTATTCAAAAAAATAAAATAAAAACATTTACAAAATAAATATCATTATGTTTTATTTATAGATGAGATCAAAGTGGCACGACATATTTCCAATAAAAATGAAAAATGTACGATTAGACCAAAGCAATTTAATTTGTGGGTCTTCAGAGAGTCTTGACAAATAAACAGCCACACAAGCCTTATCAACAAATGTTTTGTTTAAAATTTTAAAACTTACAAATATGGAAGCAAATGCTTTAAGAAATATTACAAAATATTCTAATAGGTGTTCCTGGCCTGAAGAAAATAAATTATCAATTGGTGTGGCCTTCATATAGCAGACAATAAAACTTAGGCCATACACAAAAATATTCTGGTTTTCAGACAACACTTACTAAAAGAGAGAGAGAGAAATGGGGTTTAAAGTCCACTTGACACAAACTAGGTCATTTCGGGACTAACATATGTTTAATTTTATTTCAATAATTCACTTGCTCGTAGGGGTCTTTAGCAGTGGGAGGAAACCGGAGGACCCGGAGAAAACCCACGAAGTTGGACAGGCGACTCTACTCCTTGTCACGTAATCCTAGTAAAAAATTTTGTATTTTTATTTTGTTAATGCTAGGTTCCCACTGTCGTGTGATGCATTATGGTAGGATTGTCCCTGTTGAGTCCAGAAGCTACTGCGTGCAGATACGTTCGGATATGTTCCGACACGGTCAACACAATTGCTACGACCGACCTCAATATATGACAAGAACCGACATGATCACCACAATTACTTTACGATTAAAACCACGATTTTAATCGTAGCACGAATCATGATAGTGGTGAAACTAGCATAAAGGATCACTACTGGGGTAAATGACTTCTCGTAAACATATTTCGCGACAAAACATTTATCTAATCATATCATTTAGTTCATAGAGAGACACACAGACAGACTGAAATGGGGTTTAACCTCCACTCGACACAGGTAATTTTGGGACTAACACATGGTTCAATTTTTTTTCAATAACTCGGTTGTACGTAGTGGTCTTTAGCAGTGGGAGGAAACCGGAGGACCTGGAGAAAACCCACGAGGTTGGACAGGCGACCCTACTCCTTGTCACGTACAAGTGGGGAATCGAAACCACGCCAGTTGACTCAATGACAGGTCTAATGACATGATTCAACGCGCACGTGCTAACCATTCGGCCATCCAACCCCCTCATTTATTTCATCATGTTGTTTATGGTAACGGATTATCCAGCATTATTTTTGATTGTCAATAACATTTATAAGGGTTCCATACTTGATAAATGAGCCTACCCCACATTTTCTGGAGTCAATGTTTTTATATTTTTTAAATTAAAATGGGCGATGCAGCCCTTTTAAAGTGACCGAGGCTTAGCTGAGAACCAAAATATATATTTTTAATATGGCCTTATAGAAATGCATTTTCTAGAAAGAATTACAGGTTTAGATTACTAGCTCCTTGTCTTCTATTAATTAAATACATCAAATATTAATTAAATCTGACTGTGTTAATCGCTCTATAGATATACTTCTTGCTGGTGTTTTGGGTAAAAATAAAGCTGAAATTTCTTCCACCGTTTTTCCTTTTGTTTCTGGTAACATTACATAGGTAAATAACCAAAAACCAGCGAGCATCACAGCAAAAGGTACGAATGAGTATTCATTTATAGATGACTGAAAGAAAAGAAACAAAGAAGACTCAGTAATCATCATGCCATGCTCTTGCCTCTTGGACATGTGTTATTGTTAATCAACTCTTGGGCATGTGTTATTGTTAATCAACTCTTGGGCATGTGTTATTGTTAATCAACTCTTGGACATGTTTCATTGTTAATCAACTCTTGGACATGTGTTATTGTTAATCAACCCTTGGACATGTGTCATTGTTAATCAACTCTTGGACATGTGTTATTGTTAATCAACTCCTTGGACATGTGTTATTGTTAATCAACTCTTGGACAAGTGTCATTGTTAATCAACCCTTGGACATGTGTCATTGTTAATCAACCCTTGGACATGTGTTATTGTTAATCAACTCTTGGGCATGTGTTATTGTTAAGCAACTCTTTGACATGTGTCGTTATTAATCAACTCTTGGGCATGTGTCATTGTTAATCAACTTTTGGGCATGTGTTTTTGTTAATCAACTCTTGGACATGTGTTATTGTTAATCAACTCTTGGGCATGTGTTATTGTTAATCAACTCTTGGACATGTGTCATTGTTAATCAACTCTTGGACATGTGTCATTGTTAATCAACAACCAAAGACTAATAGTGTACAGGCCCCCCAGGTTCACAAAGCTTTCTCAGACTTAAGTTAAGAATGAAATGAGGTTTAAGGTCCTACTGTCCTGCTCCGACTGGGCTAATGAAGACAGGCATACACAATACACTTATATCGAATTCCAACTGCCAAGGGATCTTTTACATCCATGCCAATGTGTACACGGGACCTCACTTTTTCATTCTATTCAAATGACTAGACAGCAGCTGTCCTTGTCACACCCTCCATCCTGCAACACTGACAAAGGAAACCATGCCGGAAAATCCTGATGAACTTTCTCTGCTGGGTCATTAATGTGTATACGGATGGACATTTTTTTGTTATCCCATTGGTGTGCACGTTAAAGAACCATTGACAGTTGGTATTCCCGATGATCTCTCTCGGCCAATGCAGGGATCGAACATACGACCTCCAGGCTAGAAAGCCAGCGTCTTACTCACTTAGCCACCGTGGCTCCCACTACTAATAGAATAGGTTAGTGTGTGTTCAAAGTTTGATAAAAATATCTCGACCCGGTTTGTTAGATATGCTCCGGAAAAAAATCCCAGGCCGACCAACCAAGCCCATTTCAATATCACTCATTTATTCAGCAGATAAATTTCTAATTAGCAAAAGACATAATCCATCTCTAAGGGCAAGGATACTGTATTTAAATTTAACGTGTACCTGTTGAATAGGTCAGTTTAACATACCTGTTGAATAGGTTAATTTTACATACCTGTAGAATAGGTTAATTTAGGTTAATTTAACATACCTGTAGAAGAGGTTAATTTAACATACCTGTAGAATAGGGAAAACAAAACCAACAACAAAATTTGACAACCAATTAACAAGTACAGCTACACTAACAGCTGCTGTTCGTGGACCCTGTGTAAATAATTCAGCTACAATAAACCATGGTATAGATCCTGAAATAAACATGTTTATCTTTTAATCATTATAATATATTAATTAGATACAAATTTAAATATATGAATATTAATTAGATAGGCCTACAAATCTAAATATATGAATATTAATTAGTTACAAATCTAAATATATGAATATTAATTAGATACAAATTTAAATATATGATTTATTTCAAATAATGGGCAATGTGACAAGCATACATTATTTATACTAGTTGAAATATTGGACCTGCGGGATGTATTTCATTGCAAAGCATGTGTGAGTGTCTGTATTTTAAGTTGTTTAATCGTCTCAAGCTTAAGACATTGCGTAATATATTGAAACATGTCCCTGGTGTTGTTTCAATATATTACTTAATGTCTCGACCTCGACCATTAAACCACACTTAATTCCTCGTTTGTATGTGTCAAGGAGTAGAGTCACTTGTCCAACCTCGTGGGGTTTCTCTCAGTCTCTAGTTTCCTCCCGGTTCTAAAGATCCCAACGCAAAAACGAATTATTGAAATCAATCTGAACCTCATTAAAATACAGATCTATATTTCATTTCGTTTTTTTATACTTTCAATAGCCTACACTACATGACGATCTGACCAGTTTTACTGGAAGGTCGCGTCAGGTGTCATACAAGCGTTTTTTGACCTTATGATGTCGGCCATTGATTAATCAATCAGCGTTGACGTTTCTAGTGGTTTACACAAAGTTCTGTGCACCTTGCGCCAAACATTCGCCGTAATCCGTCACATCATCCAGAACGCAGCTTATATAACAACTCTTCCATATCCTAGTGTAGTAAAGACAAGTAAACGAAATTTTGAACTATAAAAAATCGAAACAAAATAGGATCTGTTTTATAATCAGATTGATGTTAGTCCCAAAAGTGTAATTACCTGGACCAGACGCAAAGGTAATAATATATAGTACAACAGCTGATATACACACAAACGATAACCAATGATATGTGGGCTGAAAAACAAATAAATCAACAATTATACATTTAAATAAAAATCCCCGCTCCCAAGTAATATAATGACATCATCAACATCATCGTTTGATCCAGCAGTTCCACCTCTATTTTTCCAATTAGAGAGAGAGAGAGAGAGAGAGAGAGAGAGAGAAATGGGGTTTAACGTCCACTCGACACAAACTAGGTCATTTCGGGACTAACATATGGTTTAATTTTATTTCAATAATTCGCTTGCGCGTAGGGGTCTTTAGCGGTGGGAGGAAACCAGAGGACCCGGAGAAAACCCACGAGGTTGGACAGGCGACCCTACTCCTTGTCACGTACAACCGGAGGAGATTCGATACCACACCAGTCGACTCAATGACAGACTTTATGATACAGCGCGCGCACGCTAACCATTCAGCCATCCAACCCCCCTCCAATTATAGATTTAATATAATCAACAAAACCCCTGCAGAATCAAAAACTTCACATATAGAACTGGAACATCTAATCTATTTTTGTGATACTAATTATGTTTTTCAGGAGAAAGAGAAATGGGGTTTAACGTCCACTCGACCAAACTATGTCATTTCAATAATTAGGGGTCTTTAGCAGTGGGAGGAAACCATAGGACCAGGAGAAAACCCACGAGGTTGGACAGGCGACCCTACTTCTTGTCACGTACAATCGGAGAATCGAAACTATGCCAATTGACTCAATGACAGACTCAATGATAACCCTTCGGCCATCCAACCCTCCAGTCTGGGTGAAGTACTGGCAAGGAAAATCGACTAAGAAACACCGAGGTTCTGTGTATATGACCCCATACAACTGAACATCAAATTAAGATTAGAACGGAGCCTGCTATCTGGGTAAATTAACCCGATAGCACTGCATGGCGTATATATACATCTTCATTAGCTCAATTTAAAGGACCTAAGTCCGTAACTCAAAATACTCCAAAATCTTCGACATCGAAAACACGAATTATTGGTCAATTTAAATCAACATTGATGATGTAAACTTACCGGGAAAAGATGAGCTTCTGATATCCGATATTTAAGATAAAATAATTTTTTTAACATTGGTACACGAATCGTGTACCATAATGCGCTTCAGCCCCAGTTGAGGGACGAGGCTAGACACATTGCACCAAATCAAATGGAGTTGTGTAGACTAGAATAACTAGACGCTAGAAATTTGCACTCGATTGAGATTGCTGACTTATTTCGCCGAACATAACTGATTTGAAATTGGAGTAAAAACGGAAACCATTAAATGTAAACCACTTTCGTGAATTTCTAGGTCCCAAATGTTAGCGATTTAGCTCCTTTAATGCAGAAAAGTAGAACGTCACAATCCATTCAACAGTACATGATGTTTTGTTTTGTTGATAGAGGATCTGGCAAACAACAGTATCTAGTATTTTGGATGATACGAAAAACCAAAGTCTCATGTACAGGGTTACATGCACGTAAAAGAACAAATGGGAGTTCAATAGAATTGCCACTGCTGAGGCAAAATTTTCCTCATGGCACACTGAATGGTATCTGCCCATCTTCGTAAGCTCATTTGGTGCAGAAAAGTAGGTCTTAACTATCGATTCATTTTTTAAATCCGAAAATCCTTCACTAACCTGAAATATTCTGGATACTGTAAGTAAAATAGTGAATATAAACATTCCGCCTAGTCCTGTTAAATGTAGTGTCCGTCTGCCCAGACGATCCATTAAAAAAGCAGACACTAACGTCATGACTACATTAACCATACTAACTCCTACAGTTGCGTACTCGGCATTATTACTTGACAGCCCAGCAGACGTGAATAAATTAGTAGAGTAATATACAACCTGAAATAAAAACAGATTGCCAGGCAACGACATAAAGTTTGTTCTGATTGTTCTATAATAAAACAGGTTGCCAGGCAACGACATAAAGTTTGTCCTGATTGTTCTATAATAAAACAAGCTGCCAGGCAACGACATTACGTATGGTCTGATTGTTCTATAATAAATAGGTTACCAGTCAACTACATAAAGTATGTCCGACCACACTGTTCTATAATAAAACAGGTTGCCAGGCAACTACATAAAGTATGGCCTTGCTGTTCTATAATAACAGATTCCAGGCAACGACATAAAGTAGAACACCAAACTGTACCCAGTTGCCACACAAGAAAAAGTGTTACATGGTTAAATGGGCTTAAATGTCTACTTGACACAAACTATGTAATTTCAAGACTAACATATGGTACCTGAAAAAGGACGTTGTATTGAACATTTAAAAATTTAACCCTACACCAATGAAAAGGCTGCATCCCTATAAGGCCACACAAAATAAATGTCTTGTTTCTCGGGCAACTGACAGCTGAAACTGTAGGGAGGGAGGGCGGTTTCTTTTTTTTTTTTACTCATTGATGGTGCAAAATAAAATTTGGCTATTGCTGAAAATTGTTGGGGCGGGAGGGCGGTCTTTCTTTTTTTTTTTTTTTAAATGAGAAAGTCATTACTTGTTTACGTTTTTGCTTTCCGTTATATTCAACTTTATTGTACATACTTAAAACATTAACCCAAAATCAAGTCTACTAAAACACTGAGACTGAACACTGACTGAAAGGAAAATAATTTTCCATATTTAATTCACATAATTGAAATTGGTTTAAAATAAAATTCCATACGACTATGTAATAGCCCTCCATAAAGACAACAATATTTTTAAAAACTAAGCCTCTTTCACCAGGTGTATCAAAAATAATAATCATGGTAAACAGTATTTAAAACTAAATCTAGTATCGCCGGTTTATTTATAATTATTTACCAATTCCAACCAATGCATGTCACACCGTGTCATCGGTATTGGAGATTGCCGGAAATACTGTTTCTTGGGATATTCGGTGTGTTTCTCAGGATATTCGGTGTGTTTCTCAGGATATTCGGTGTTCTATCCGGTGTTTATATTGAATGACTATTTAAATCTAACTAACAACTGGTCAGTAAAACCATCAAATCGGTAATCCAATTATTATTTTCCGGATTATCGAAACTACCGTAAATGTGCTAATAATGACCCAGATTCTAAGGTATGCATTATGACGACTATCGTCATCGTATCGTATTCTTAGCTATAATTAATTAACCTGTTCTACGGTTCATTATTTTATCAATAGGATTTTCCAAACAAGGACCGACTGAAGCCGGCAATAATGAGCCGATTACGATCGAATGATTGAAATATTGTCGCCAATGACTTTTAACACGAATCAAATTCTAGTTTATCAGGGGAGGTAATTAATATCACGTGATACAAAATGGAGGTTCTTTCGATATCAATAAAAAAGGCAAATCTGCCAAACATCGCCATTGTTCGGATAAAAAAGACAGCATGTTCATCTGAATCAGTTTTAATACATTTGAATAGATATACATGTATGGCGGATGTAGGTACATGCGGGATATTTTTTTTACGACTTGCTTGTCGATGTGCGGGCGGGCGTTACATATTTATTTTTTTTCATCAAGACTAATAAATAGACTGCACGCGCAACCAATTTTGCGTGCGGGCGGTGCCCGAGAAACAAGTTATTTTATTTGTGTTGCCTAATATTTCTGTTTAACTTTTAATGAAATACGGCCCCTGGTCTGTAAGCTGAATATGTTTTTAAGTTTTTAAAGCATTATTTAAACTATTTTGTCTGTAATTATACTTACAGCATTTACACCTGAGAATTGTTGCGATAATTGTAATATACTGTCATATACACCTGAGAATTGTTGCGATAATTGTAATATATTTACGTAATTTACACCTGAGAATTGTTGCAATTGTTGTAATATACTTACAGCATTTACACCTGAGAATTGTTGTGATAATTGTAAAACTATACTGATGATAAATGGTGTTCGTAGTTCTGGTGTTCGGATTAAATCACCAACAGAAAACTGTAAATATTAAAACAAAGAATTAAATTTATTAAATTTCATATGAAAAACTTCTTAAATGGAAAGTGGAATAAGGTGTTCTAGAGTGGAAATCTTTCATCTGTGTTATTGATTGTTAATCTAAAAAATCAATAATGTGTCAATATCGGTAGGAAGGTTACCTGATATCGTATATACATAAATATTGACTACTCAGAAACACTCACCCTGTCCACTGACATGTCAGCCAATTGTGATAAAAATATAATTTTTGAGATTAGAATTTGAATCTGGTGAATTTTTCTAAGCTTTGTTTATTTTCCATGCCGTCTTGATCCATTACAGTCAATTATTACTCAATTGAGTAGTACTCTTGTTCCACTCAGAACAGAGGGCCTGACAAGGAACAATGTCTAAGTCTTTCGGATGGGATGATAAAAAGGTCCTGTGTACACATAGACACTGTTCGTTTTCAGGTCCTTCATCCTGCAGCACTGACAAGGGGAGGAAACTACGCCGGATAGGTCTAATCCAGAGGAATTTCTCAGCCAACATGGAGAGCGAACCCGAGATCTCCTGGTTAGCGAGTCAATATCACCTTATTTACAGAGTCTCATAGACCACTACATATGTAAAATATATATTACTTTTAAAAACTTGTATCACATACTTTTTTACTGAGTGTTTCTTCCTCGGCTTCAGACCTCATCTCTTCAATCTCGTTATTTATTTCATCTGAGTCTCGGAACCATATTAAAGCTAACAAAAATAATAAATACCATGTAAAGAAAACAACCTGCATTAAAGAGAGAGAGAAATGAGGTTTAACGTGCACTCGTGCTCTCGACACAAACTAGGTCATTTCGGGACTAACATATGGTTCAATTTTATTTCAACAATTCACTTGCGCGTAGGGGTCTTTAGCAGTGGGAGGAAACCGGAGGACCCGGAGAAAACCCACGAGGTGGGACAGAAGACCTTACTCCTTGTCACGTACAACCGGGGAATTGAAATGATGCCAGTTGAATCAATGACAAACTTTATGATACAGAGCGCATGAGCTACTCATTCGGCCATCCAACCCCCATAAGCTGAATCAAAATTATGGAGATAATTCTTTGTAGATTTCAGACATGAATTGAATCAAATGAGCTTTAATGTCCTAATTTTCTGCACCAATTCAACAAATGAAGACAGACTTACGCCATACCGTTAGCCATGTGGGCCCAAACAGTGGCACTAGGTCCTATTGTTATTTCAAATTCCAACTGTCAAGGGTTCTTTTACGTGCACACCAAGATTTAAATTCTAAAATACAACTATGACACTACCAGCAATAGCAAGTACAAGCATAGGCCTATGATACAGACAAGTAACCGAGCATGACGAGATCATAGTCATCTTGGAATTGTGATGTCATATCCAAAATTGATGTCTGCAATTGTCCAAGGAACAAACATGCCAAGTTTCATGAAGATCGTACTTGAATTGACTGAGCCTAAGGCTCTTTTCGAAGAGAGTCACCCCCAAGAATAAGAACAACAGTTCCCAGTCCCAAAATGTACTATTTACCTTTCCTTGCGGCTTGCTCATCATGTTTTGTTAACATGAGATATCTGGGACTTTCACAACAAAATGTTAAAACACATAGTTGATATATAACTGGTACTAATGTTAAAGCTGAGGAAAAAGAAAAAAAACAAATCAGATTATAAAAAGAGTTTAAAGCGAGAATTTCAAATTTTCTAAGAAAGTCAAAACATAATTATTTCTATGTCTTTTGCTCAATAGGTTATCAAATCACTATTATACGATCATGGGCATTATTTCCCACCCTTAAAAATCTATGAAACAGAAAATAACAACACAATTACCTCCCCTGTTTTGCTATTGACAACATGGGGCAGCCATTTTCCAACGTTGGAATTTGAAGTTAAAAATAATATTTTTGCCAATTTCTCAGCTGGCAATAGCGAATTATAGGATTAATAGGATTATTCTCTAACAAGGTAGGACTGTTTATGGATACCATCTATTTTAAGGCTTTATTTTAATACATTTTAAAAATATAAATTGAAAATTTGTAATGTCCGCTTTAAGGTCCATGATTCGCTATAAATCAAGAGTTTTTAGTTATTCACATGACCATCAATAATTGATGGTCCTCCATACCTCGTTTCAATCTGATTAAAATACAGATCTATATTTCATTTTGGTTTTTTTATACTTTTGATGGCCTACACTACATGTACATGAAGATCTGATCGGTTGTACTGGGAGGTTGCGCCAGGTGTCATATGTGCGGCTTTTGGCCCTATGACGTCAGACATTGATTAATCAATCAGCGTTGACATTTCTAGGAGTTTACCCACAGTTCCGCGCAGAGCACGCCAAGAACTCGCTGTAACAGAACGTTTCATTGGCTAAAACAAAATTTTTAACTATAAAAAACGAAACGAAATAGGATCTGTGTTTTAATTGGATTGTTTGATGTGGTCTAAAGAACAACAGTTATAGATTGTTTCAGTCTGTCCAGGTATGTACCAGTGTAAATACATCACTTTTCTCTAATTATTATCAACCAACTGGAGTAGTCACTATCTACAGGTAACAAGTGTTGCCTAAAAGATTAATAAACTGAGGTAGTCACTATCTACAGGTACCAAGTGCTGCCTAAGGATTAATAAACTGGGGTAGTCACTATCTACAGGTACCAAGTGTTGTCTAAAGGATAAATAAACTGAGGTAGTCACTATCTACAGGTACCACGTGCTAAAGGATTAAACGATAGAAATATAAAAAGACTTACCTAATACTAGCGGCCATAGTTCATCTGTGCCTAATATATAATCTAATCCTAAAACTTGAGATATAACAATTCCTATTGTAATAGCTAATTGATTAAAAGTTCCTGCGAATCCCCGTAATTCTATTGGCGCTATCTCAGACAGATATAACGGAACAATACCAGTATTTATTCCTGGAAATATACAATATACAAACATTTCATCTAATCTTTAAATCTACAGTCAATTAAAAGCAGGTGGATAAGCCGCAGCCTGAACAAAATTCTCCTCCCTAAAACTTTTCTTTATGAAAGTTTGGAATTGGACTAATCTGATCTGATATTTCAATTAGGGAGCTTAGTAAGGCATTGGCTAGCTAACTCAAAATTTTCTGGCATGAATGTCCCTTGTAAAAGTGCAGACATGCACATAAATCCAGCGGTTGCCAGGCAAAATACACCCATATTTTGCAAGAGATGGATAGCGAGCAAGCTAAAAACAAACGTGATTTTTCGTACAATCATTGGGATATAAAAATATATTGTAAGTTTCATCAAAATCGGATGAAAATTGTGACCTCAAGGCTCAAGAGTGTCCACAAGCTAAAACTTGATATTTCGTACAATCAGCGGCTATATAATCCATGAAGTTATGGTCCGATACATGCCAATATGGAAAAGAACCGATATCTTTGGGAGATAGACCTATATTTCAAGTTTCTTCAAAATCAGATAAATATTGTGACCTGTAGAGTGTCCACAATCAAATTGTGGACGGACGGACAAGGATGACAGCATAATACGTCCACATGAAAATGTGAAACTTCCAATCAGTAGAAACAGGACACACAAACCAAATACAGACGGTTTGATGGGATCAATTTTGACTGAGTCAAAATGATGCATTTGATATTCAGATAAGTAGATATAAAATAATTAATAGAATACAATATAAAAAAAAAACCATAGTTTTATCCAACGTTTCGTCAGTAAAAATACTAACTTCTTCAGGGATGAAGAACTAAATTCAAAATGACTGGAAGTCAGTTATGACAACATAGGAAGTTATGACATCGTGGGAGTGATGACATCATAGAATAGATACATAACGTGAAAGGTTAGCTTAACTAAAACTTAGGTAAAATTTTACAAGTAAGGAAAACTTATGCATGATTATGAATGACTCATTTAAAATGTGGGCGTATAAAACACTTGATAGTTAGAATTCTAGTGCTGTTCAGGTAAAATTTTCCTTATAGCACACTGTATGGCATATGCCTGTCTTCATTAACCCAGTCGGCAGTCGGGGCAAAAAAGTAGGACGTTAAACTCCATTTCAATTCATTTTGAAACTTAAAGTAAATAGGTATTTATGCATCATAGGGAACTAATTGTTTTCTTGTACATTTTCCTGGTCAGATTAGAAATTGAAAATAGGACATTCACTATGCATTAATAAAATAACTATTCTGCAACGACTGGGCTAATGAAGACAGATTCTTAAAATATAGAGACAATCAAGTTTTGGGAGTAAGCTGAACAAATAATTGTTTTAAATTTATACCTTACCTGCGTTAATTCCACATACAAATCTTCCAGCAATCAACATCTCATACGAATCAGCCATTTTAGAAAAGCCCAACAGACCTGCAGCTATTACTGCTATAACATTGTTACGTAATAAAGCACCTTTCCTAATAAATAACACAAAAAGAAGCATTAATTAAAACTTGTGCCTGGTTCCCACTGTCGTGTGATGCATTACAATAAGATTGTCCCTACTGAGTCCACGATCTGGTACGTGCAGATACATTCGGATAAGTTTTGAAACGATCAACACAATTGCCACGACTGACCTCAATATATGATAAGACCAGATAGGATCACCACGATTACTCCATGATTAAAACCATGATTTCAATCACAGCACGAATCGTCATAGTGGGAACATAGCATAAGACATAAAGACAGAGAGCGAGAATCGTCTACATGGGGACAGCAGTGTTACATCACTAATCGCAGATTTCGAAAGATTCTCATCTTAAATAATGAATGAAATGAAATGGGTTTTAACATCCTGCTGTTCTACCCGAACTGGGCTAATGAAGACTGGCATATGCCATACAGTGTGCTTTGAGAGAAATTATGCCTGAACAGTGACTCCACAGCTTACTCCATTTGAAATCTAACTGTCAAGCCAATGTGTACACGAGACCTCAGGTTTGTTGTCCCATCCGAATGACAAGACAGCTGTCCTTGTTAGACCCAACGTCCTGCACCCTTGACATCTTAGAGAATAGGATCAATTTAAAAAAGATGAACTGTAGTTTGTTTTCTGAGAGAATTTGACGGACAATTTGCCTCCACATATTTTCCTACTTTGTGTATTCAAGTGTTTTACATCTTCGACTACAGAGAAAGTTTGTGGCACAGGTATGTTTTTAAGACAAGCATGTGGTAATTCTTATTTCAACATTTGCATGTGCAATAAAGTTGAAGTAATGCGTACACAAAAAGACCTTGTTTTTTTGTACCATTTAAACCACTAGGTACCTATTCCTTGGTTCGCTAACCTGGAGATCCCGTGTACGATCCCTGCTTTGGCCGAGAAAGTTCATCAGGATTTTCCGACAAGGTTTCTCCTTGTCAGTGGTGCAGGACAGGGGCCTGACATCGGACAAAAACCCTGAGGTCCCATGTACACATTGGCTGGCACGTTAAAGATCCCTTGGCAGTTGGAATTCGATATAAGAGTAGACTGTAGTCTCGCTGTCAAGGCAAAATTTCACATATAGCACACTGTTTGACCCAATTCATGAGCCCAGTCGGAGAAGAACAGTAGGATTTTGAAAAATCCTGAAGTTTTCATCAGCTGACAGCTTCTGGTCATTTGTTCAGTACCCTGACTGCTTAAAAATAATCAAGTTTCACAAATATGGTATCCATGCTGACCTACACTGTTCCAGGGTATCTTCTATCCATTATACATTTACTAAGAAGTTTATTCGTCGCAGTCTTGGAATTAAATTTCACAAAACTTAAATATAATTAAATATAATTAGTGTAATGTTTTGAAATTAAAATTTTTCAAGTATTTTATAGATCATACCTGCCGAATTTGTTGCTCCAGTAACCAGCACTAACTCCACCAATCATACCACCGACAGCATACATAGCAACAGTTAACGCCCATAGCAACGTTAATAAACTATCCTCTATATATTTACCTTCTTTTCTATGGTAAGATTCGTTATAAAAACTCTTCATTACCTGGAGATAAAATTATATTATACATTGTTCCACCCTTTCTATTGTTAGATCGATCCCTGCATTGGCCAAGAAAGTTCATCGAGATTTTCCGACGTGGTTTCCACTTGTCAGTGGTGCAGGACGGAGGACCTGACAAAGACAGTTGTTTAGTCATTCAGATTGGACGAAGAGCCAAGGTCCTGTGTATACATTGACCTGCACATAAAAGATCCCTTGGCAGTTGGAATTCGATATAAGAGTAGGCCATAGTGCCGCTGCCCGGGCAAAATTTCCCTCATAGCACACTGAATGACGTAGCAGAACAGTAGGATGTTAAACCCCATTTCATTTCATTGTAAGATCCATTAAAAACAATTTTCAGATATGGCTTATCCTTGTCAGTAGTGCAGGACGGAGGGCCTGGCATGTACCAGCATCTAGTTGTTCAGATTAGAAAAAAGATAGGTTGCCAGGCAACAAAACATACGCCCACAGTAGCTAAATCGTCCTGGCAGTCAACAAGAGTTGTCCCATATTTTTAATTTTTGGTAATGAAACATTTATAATACACTAAAATCTGATTATAAATTTAAAGTCATTCGGATATTAACTTTGGCCTCTAGAGCGTCCACAAGATTTTTCAAAGTGATCAAGGGCCATAACTCTGGCAGTAATTATCGCAAATCGCTGAAAATCAAAAGACTTCTTCGTCTCATGACCGTAAACACTGTGTACAAATTTAAAGTCAATCGGATATTAACTTTGACCTCTAGAGTGTCCACAAGATATTTCAAAGTGATTAAGGGCCATAACTCTGGCAGTAATTATCGGAAATCGCTGAAAATCAATAGGCTTCTTCGTCTCATGATCTTAAACACTGTGTATAAATTTAAAGTCAATCAGATATCAACTTTGGCCTCTATAGAGTCCACAAGATTTTTCAAAGTGATCAAGGGCCATAACTCTGGCAGTAAAAATCAATAGGTTTCTTCGTCTCATGACCTTAAACACTGTGTATGAATTTAAAGCCAATGGGATATTAACTTTGGCCTGTAGAGCGTCCACAAGATTTTTTGAAGTGATCAAGGGCCTTAACTCTGGCAGTAATTATCGGAAATTGCTGAAAATCAATAGGATTCTTCGTCTCATGACCTTAAACACTGTGTATAAATTTAAAGTCAATCGGATATTAACTTTGGCCTCTATAGCGTCCACAAGATTTTTCAAAGTGATCAAGGGCCATAACTCTGGCAATAATTATCGGAAATTGCTAAAAATCAATAGGCTTCTTTGTCCCATGACCTTAAACACTGTGTATGAATTTCAAGTCAATCGGATATTAACTTTGACCTCTAGAGCGTCCACAAGATTTTTTGAAGTGATCAAGGGCCATAACTTTGGCAGTAATTATCGGAAATCGCTGAAAATCAATAGGATTCTTCGTCACATGACCTTAAACACTGTGTATAAATTTAAGATCAATCGGATATTAACTTTTGCCTCTAGAGCGTCCACAAGATTTTTTGAAGTGATCAAGGGCCATAACTCTTGCAGTAATCATCGGAAATCGCTGAAACTCAATAGGCTTCTTCCTCTTAAGACCTTAAACACTGTGTATAAATTTAAAGTCAATCGGATATGAACTTTAGCCTCTAGAGCGTCCACAATTGCTTGTGGACGCCGGACCGACAGACCGACGGACGGGGGCGACGACAATATACAACCACATTTAAATGTGGGCGTATAAAAAACTGAGGTCCCATGTACACACTGTTGTGGACATAAAAGAACATTTAACAGTTATAATTCAAAATAAGTTCCCATAGCATATATGACAGTTTTCATTAGCCTGACTAGCACAGAAAAGTATGATTATTGCCTCAAGATCACATTGGAAAGTCCTCTGACAGTAAACATAATTAAAATAATATTTTTACCAACAACACCAAGATTGTAACATAATTAAAAATAGTATTTTTACCACTTCTGGGGAGTTGACAACACCAAGATTGTAACCAAATTGAAAAGAGGATCCTAGTGTACATGCTGCTATTGCTAATATCAACTGTTTGGTAAAACCCTGGAAAAAAAAACAAAGTACATGTATATAAAATATACAAAATATCTACATATAGATTTAAAGATACATTATGTAAGTCCAACCTCGTGGGTTTTCTCTGGGTCCTCCGGTTTCCTCCTACTGCTAAAGATCCCTACGTGCAAGCGAATTAATGAAATAAAATTGAACCATATGTTAGTCCAGAAATGACCTAGTTTGTGTCATGTAGGCATTAAACCCTATTTCTCTCCTTCTCTCTCACATATCTAAAAATCTATTACCTTCAAATTACTTTACTTTATAAGAATTACACTTTATTTTGAGCGAATTTATGCCTGTTTGAAGATGTAGCAGAGACTTTTAAATCTCCTGGATGGTTAAAATCCTTTACCGTCTCAGCCATCTGATGATCTAGAGAGTTGGTTATAGGCTCGTTGTGTTAATAAATGTCTAAATAATAATTTATATAACAAAAGAAAGACCTCCCACAGGCAGATTTAGCTCTTACATAATGTGTATGTTTAATATATAAAGATAATTTTCTCAACATATTGGTGTGCACGTAGAAAATAACCCTGACAGTTGAAATTCAGAGTCAGTAGCACAGCTGTCCTGGCAAAAATTTCCATCATATTCATAACACACGATGTTAAGCCCCATTTTTATTATTCTAATTTTCAAAATTGTTACTGATATGCATTTAATTGTATCAAAAAAATTCAGACACAGAGTCAGTATATGCTCGGTCATGAACCTTTGTAACATTATCATCTAGGTTAACATACATTTCCGTCAAGTTTATCTAATTTTATTCATTTTTTTTTTTTTAAATATTCATTGATGATTACATTTCAGTTACATGTTTACAGAAGTAAACGCATCTTTTATTTTTTTTACACATTTGTAAACTATTTTGTGAATTGTCTTAAATTTAGCCCAAATAATATAATTTCCTTTAGCTTTACTTTTGATAATTAAACAAACATTTTGCAAGAGCTAAATCTGCCTATTGCAGGTCTTTCTTTAGGCCTGAAATGTTATCTAAATTATTAATTAGACATTAATTAACCTATCCAGACCATAATCAACTCTCAATGTCATCGCTAGCCTGTGATATTTACTGGGTTAGAATCCCATTTGCTGCTCCACTTTCATTCTTAATTTAATCTTGAAATGGACTATGTTTTTATCGTACCGACTTTAGTAATTATGATCGAGGTTAGGCCGAAAATTCAATCGCTAAAATCTTGGTTCAGAGTGGATCAATTTTACTGAAATTTTTAGCAAATTCCCTTTACATTATATAGTTTTTAACTATTATAGTGAGAACTGCCAGCTCTTTATCTAATCTCCCATAATGTATCTTTAAGTCATCACGTTATTTTAAAGGCCCAGCATTACAGATTTCTCCCACACAATCAACAGTAATTATAAATAAATGGAAACAGTTTACTGAATGGTCTTGAATTCAGTCAAATGGTCCAACATGTCAGAATAAAAGTTACAGATCTAGCTAGTTAAAGACCTAAACAATTAAAAGTCCTTTTATTTTTAAAAAACTGTATCCAAAATTATTGAAATCGATCAATATTTATGGTCAATTTAAGTTTACTTTGTTTTCTATTGAATTCACTCTGCCATCTTTATCTTTCTTAGGTAAATATAACGAGATAATAATTGTAGGGCCTATACTATCTTTTTTTCATACATACAAGCTCATTCTTTATGAAGACCTTTAAGATATTTAATTAGAAGTGCTTAATTAAATAATATCAAGTCTAGTCCTACATATTAAAATAATACAAACTGTCTTTCGATATAATTGTGAACTATTTGGCTTGGTTTGCCTTTAAATAAACAATAAATTTTTTTACTAAACTGTACCGAATCCATTTTGGTGTTGCTTGTCATTTCAATGCTTCTCTTTCCACAGACTAGATAAGTTGATAAGAAAACTGACCAAATGGGCTACATATATTTTCTAAATATTTTTATATTTCATATATATACGTTGTTCTCTCCCATACAATAAAAAAAAGACAAAATGTCATATGATGATTCTTATAAAATTAGCTTGCTCGAGGTTGAAGTTTCACTGATATTATAATTATTTTATGACGTCTTTTACACCCTCTCCACGTTTGCTGTTTCTCCGTGTTATTTTACTATTTTTGTTTCCTGCTTTATGTCAAACTTCTGTGTTTATAAATGAAGTGGAGTCAAGCATGCAAGACCCCATGATAACTATTGTAACACACCTTTTGTATTTTGGAGGGTGATTAAGATTATATAATATTATAATGCACATTTAAATTAATACAATTGCACAGGTTTTTTCTTATTTAAAAATCTTTTTATAATTAGAGCTCGTGACATCCGAAAATGAATCATGTGCCATTAATCATCTCATAATCATGTTTTAATTCAACATCAAAAGCTATCTAACTGTGAAGCTCTTAAAACACATTTGACATTTGCAGATTAGAGTTGTTTTTTGGGAGTTTTTTTACATGTTTTTTAAACGCAGAAAGATCATTCAATAATTGAATGAATGAGTAAAAGACATACTTATTGACAGAAATGTAACATAAACAATGAAATAAATATATATTACCTTCGGCGTTGTCGCAGATTTCGGTTCCTTTACAATAGCATAATCTACCTCTCTTATGGAAATACTGCCACTGCGGTCGTATAATAGTGGCTCTGTGTCATCCGCCATTTTGCTCAGTTTTGTTGGGTCACATGACTTTTCATTCACGTGATAAAGTACACTCGTCTCCAGACCACGCCCTCTTTCTTTGACTTCTAATAAACTTATAGTTATATCGGGTTCGGGTTTGTGTAACTCAGCCTCTTTTAGATCGCGTTAAAAGTAATGAAATGAAATGAAATGAAATGAAATGGGGTTTAACGTCCTACTGTTTTGCTCCGAACTGGGCATACGCCGTACAGTGTGCTATGAGGGAAATTTTGCCCGGACAGCGGCACTATAGGCCTACTATACTCATATCGAATTCCAACTGTCCAGGGATCTTTTACGTGCACGCCAATGTGTACACGGGGCCTCGGTTTTTCGTCTCATCCGAATGACTAGACAGCTGTCCTTGCCAGGCCCTCCGTCCTGAATCACTGACAAGGGGGAACCACGCCGGAAAATCTGGATGAACTTTCGGGTTAAAAGTCATTTAAACTTATTTTCAATAGTTGAATAGATTAGATTAAGGTTTTTTTTCTGATTATAAACTTAATTTACAGTGAGTTCCCCTCCACCCCCAGCCCTACAAACATTTTTATTGTTAAATTTGTGTACCGTCAGTCATTTTGAATATATCGACTGGCGTGGTTTCGAATCCCCGGTTGTACGTGACAAGGAGTAGGATCGCCCGTCCAACCTCGTGGGTTTTCTCCGGGCCCTCCGGTTTCCTCCCACTGCTAAAGACCTTACGCGCAAACGAACTATTGAAATAAAATTAAACCATATGTTAGTCCCGAAATGACCTAGTTTGTGTCGAGTGGACGTTAAACCCCATTTCTCTCTCTCTCTCTTTCTCATTTTGAATATCTTTTAACTACCCGATGAATATACGGGCTCGTTCTCTGCCACAGTGGCTCAGTGGGTAGGACGTTGGCTCGCTAACCTAGATGTCGAGTGTTCGATCCCTACGCTGCATTGACCGAAAAAGGTCACCGGTTTTTGGCACTGGTGCAGGACAGAGGGCTTGTCAAGGGACAATGTATAGTCGTTCGAATGGGACGAAAAACCGAGGTGAAGTGCACACATTGGCGTGCACATAAAAGATACCTTGGCAGTTGGAATTCGTTATAAGATTAGGCCTTAGTGCCGCTGTCCGGGCAAAATTTTACTCATAGCACACTGTATGGCGTATCCTCCTTTCCAACACTATAGCCATATCTAGATGATTCAGTTGCACTATAGGGCCTATATTCTTTGAGGAATCAAAAATCTTTTTAAAAGGAACAATAATAAATTCATGCATAGCTGCCCATTTCAATTTTGAACTTTGAAATTCGTGGGCCCAACAGACTCTTATGGGCCCTGTGGCGGCGCACCGTCTGCCCCCCCCCCCTCGTGAGGCCGGTGTCAGTGGTGTAGGGCGGAGGGGCTGATAAGGGGAATGTCTTGTTCACGTGGGACGAAAAAACGTGGTCTCGTGTAGGCCTACACCTTGACGTACACGTAAAAGAACCCTTGACAGTTGAAATTCCGTAGTGCTGAACTCTAGGCGTCATTACCCGCATAGCAACTACATTGCATATGACCGTCTTCATTCATTGCCACGTGCATGGTTGAACTGGCCTCGATATCGCGTGAAGTAACAATATGAACACACACTTATCGATATGTGCAAATAATAAAAGAAAACTAAAGCTGCCAACATGTGCTGTGCCCAGCTGTTACCCCGGACCGGTAGCGGAAAACCTCAAATGCTTATAGCTTCATTTTCCAATCAATATCATTTCTATCATGGCTGCCACCAGCAAAACTTCCACAAAATGGATCTGGGCAGGTTTTATATTAATAGTATATTTAAATGTAGTCGAAACACAACGAAAAACGGGAAATGAAGATTACGACGTCGATGTACATGGAAGTGAGTAACTTTTTTCCGGTTAAAATGTTCGTGTTTTTTTCATTTCTCGAGATCACGTGAATATTAATATTTTGTCATGTAGATATAGCAACGTGTACAAACCAATCAGAGGTTTGGGTGGTCTAGTGGTTTAACGCGTGCGCGCTAAATTACAGGGTCTGCCATTTGGTCAACTGGCGTGGTTTAGATTCTCCGGTTGTATGTGACAAGGAGAAGGGTCGCTTGTCCAACTTCGTGGGTTTTCTCCGGTTCTCCCGTTTTTCTCCCACAGGTAAAGACCCCTACGCGCAAGCGAATTATTGAAATAAATTTGAACCAAACGTTAGTCACTAATTGACCTAGGTTGTCTCGAGTGGAGGTTGACACCCTCCTCTCCTCCCCTCTCTCTCTCTCTCTCTCCCTCTCTCTCTCTCTCTCCCTCCCTCTCATTTTATTTTATTTTCTATGATCAGTTATGCAGGAATATAGAAAATATAAAAGTATGCGAGTGATGGTTGGACGAGAGTTTTACATGGGAATCAATGATCCTAAATCAGAAACTGGTGAACATCCACTGAGGAAAGTTCGAGTTCGAAGTTTTTATATGGATGTTTATCCTGTCACTAATGCAGAATATTGGTAAATATGTCATTATTTTTTTTATTTTAAAAAAAACCCCAAAAAACAATATATTATTTCTCTTTTAATTTTTACTGAGAAATAAAATGAAAGGTAATGGGGTTTGATGATGAAATAGAGTTTAACTGCCTTCTGTTCTGTCCCGACTGGGATCTGAAGACGGATAATGGAGTTTAACGTCATCAGGGGCGCACAAACATATTTTAACGAGGGGTGGGGTGGGGGTGGGCGGGTGCACCGGCTAGATCAAATTCTTAAGGCTAACTCAAGATTTTCTCAAGGTAGCTGAGATGTAAATAAGGTTAGGGCACGTGATTGTTGGCGAGATTGTAGGTTAAGGTTTGGGTAAGCATTGGGGCTATGTCCAGGGTTAGGGTTACGATTGGGATTAGCGCTTGCCCTGTTTATATCTCGTGACCTTTGACCAAACTTCAAGTTGGCCTTATTAAATAAATCTAAACGGGGTGCACCATCAAAAAATCGTCCCACTCAGCATTAGAAAATTAAATCGGCCCACCATATCTTGAAGCGAAATTCGACACAACATCAAAGGAAAATTCGCCCGCATAATCTCAAAATTCGTATTTCCAAAATAAAGTAGAAAAATACTGACAGTGATCAATCAACATGTGTCTTTTTAGCTACGGCGCGCAGGAGTTTCCTATGAACACGGAGTAATTTCACCGAATACTTGACTACCAACTTTTGGTTTGATTGTATGTGTAAGAGACTCCGACAAGCCGGCCAATTTTTCCGAAACAACCGGCCCATTCGGCAGAACAATTGGCCCATTTACCTATCTGGACTAAGCTAATGGGGGGTGGGGGGTGCACCTCTCGCCCCCTGTTGTGCGCTCCTGAACGTCATACTTAGGAGTCTTCATATAGACGTGTAAGGAACCGCTGTTTGGTTTTACGTCTGGCCGAGAAAGTTCCTGGAGATTTTGGCAGTGTGGTGTCATCTTGTCAGTGATGCAGATGAATGACCTGGCAAGGAACGGTGTCTAGTCGTTCGGATGGTACAAAAAACGTAAAAGGACCCCTGACAGATGGAATTCGAAATAAGAGTAAGACGTTAAACCTCATTTCATTTCATTAAACAAACATTATGCAAGAGATAAACCTGCCTATTGCGGGTCTTTTTTAGGTCTGAAATGTTATCTAAATTATAAATTAGACATTAATTAACTTATCTGGGCATAATCAACTCTCGATAGCGTCTCCGATATTAAATAGATTAAAACAGTTCAGCCATATTTTGACTGAAGCTAAAAATGGAGGAAAGAGACTTAGCTTCGAACAACAAGTACGGTGGTTGAAATTATTGCAAACGTCTTGTCAAACCTTCAAAAGCTAATATTTTTCGCTCGCAATAGAGTAATTTGAATGAAATTTTCAAATTATCCATTTTACATTATCTATATTCGAACTATTATAGCAAGAATGGCCAGCTCTTTATCTAAATCTTACATAATGTATCTTTAACTTATTTAGGGAGTTTAGAAGAATAAAATGGCGATATAAATCGACAGCTGAAGAGAAAGGTTGGAGTTGGGTTTTAAAGACATTTGTTCCAGAAAATATCAAAGAATCATCAGCATCACCAGGAGCATCTGGATGGGTAGCTGTCAAAAACGCCAGATGGGACCAGGTAAGATTTTAATAAATTATAACACATGATTTTGGAAGAACATATACTTGCTTGAAAACGTTAAAGGGACAATAACACTCTTGCTGGCTTGACAGCTCCAGAAAATAAAAAATAGCCTTATTTTAAGTACTAGATGTGTTAGTGTCCTACCTGTTGTGTTAATTATCCATTAAATCCTATTTTACTTGTCCAGAGGGTTCAAAAATATTTTTAAATCCAAGTCACATTTGAAAAGCTTTACGCCAGGCTTTTCAAATCATTTAGTTGAATTTTTCCAATTTTTAAAATTAGGTGTGTTAAGATGAAATTTGTATCATCAATTAATTGGAATATTGTAAAATAGTACAATTTGTTGACCAGAATAAAGATTGGGACATATTATTCAGTTACAACAAGAGTGGTATTGAGCCTTTAAGAGAATACGCTTCAAAAGGTCGCCAAAATGCAATTGCTTGAAAACGTTGAGAGAACACGCTTCGAAACGTCGATGAAATGAATTAGTAATTGCTCTATCTAGTTACAAAATGCCTCTAAAGCAGTGATTCCAAGGGTGGGGGTTGAGAAAATTTGAGTGGGACAAGAAACTAAAAGTATTACATTATCGGAAACAAGGGGTCCTGTGGATCCCCTCCCCTCCCCTTTAAACATTTTGCGGGTGCCGGTGACAAGTGCCTAATTTGTTCTGCCCTTGATGCAAGCTTTGTATTTAGAATTTTTCTTACTGATGATATTGTGTTATCATTCTAGTAATCTAGATCTGAAAACAAATTTAGGTACTCTACCAACCCTGCCAAAAGACGATTCTACTTGGAAACGACAAATAAGCTATTTGCAGATTTTGATGGTTTCAAAAATACCTTCTAATTCATATCTTCACTGTTAATACCTCAAATATCTTTTGTTTATTTAGATTGATTATTCTTCAGTCTTTATAAGAAGCTCCACACTGATCAGCAGTGAATTTTCGCTGGGACGCTACAATCACTGATAAGGATGACATCGATGCGACTTAATGAGTCCCAAATATTAACTTTTTTCTTCCGTCAAATTAAATTCTAAAAGATTTGTTTCATTTATTAGAAAAATAAATAAAGACGTTTGAATTATTTGTAGGTAAAAATCATATCCTATTTAGTTTAAATGGGTATTAGTTTAATTTAGTTTAAATAAGTAAAATTCACCATTTAGCCCGAATCAAACAATGCACGCGCTATTGAGCCAATGATTGACGCCGCGTGATGTGAAGTTACGTGTCGAAACAGTCATCTGTTACAGAGATATTAGAAGATCTCTGTGAAACAAATTGAAGAAGCTCTATATATAGTTTGATTGTAATTGAATAAAAACATGCATCCAATTTATGTCTGGGGTCTTAGATTGCAGCTTGTTGCCGACAAGGTTTTTCGTGCGACTTGTCCGCACAAGGGTTAACAAAACAAATCAACGGTACATAATCTTCCGGCTTTGATTCGATTGGATTAAAAAGAGGCCCATCAAAAGATTTTAGTCAACGCAGAAACGTGATACCGTCTTGTTTATATCGTCCACAGTTGATGCCGAAGGTGAACAAATTTTTAATCATGTCGTTTTTCGGGATTGAGGGATTTTAATTACGCTTCAAAACGGCTCGGGACTGGACCAATCATTTGGAAAATTAAAATTTAACTAGTGTTTTAAGAAAATTGTTTCCCATTGCTCGGCTCGGCTGGTCGTTTATACATATAGATATACAATGTGCTTTTATATTAACTTTGCTTGACACACAAATATGCAATAACTTACTACTGATTTATCAATATTATATAAAATGTTATAAAATCAATATATAAACGTGAAAAGTATATTTGTATATATCAAGCTTCAAAAAGCGAGAATGAACTTTATTGGGCTGGGAAGGTTCTGGGTTCTTTCTTTTCTTATATCTCTTTGTCGGGAATGTTGGAAATATAAGAATCTCATAAACTGTTTAAGTGTAATAATGTATACTGTTTAAGTGTAATAATGTATACTGTTTAACATGTCCTGGGTTTCTTCTTGGTAAATGGTAAGAAAAAAGTCAAAATTCGTGCATAAACATAAACATAATTAAACCTATGCAAGAGCTAAATCTGCCTATTGCAGGTCTTCCTTTAGGCCTTAAATGTTATATAAACTATTAATTAGACATTAATTAACTTATCCAGTCCATAATAAACTCTCGATGTTATCACTAGCCTGCGATATTTACTGGATTTGAATATATTTTGTCATGGATGCTTTAACGTCAAAATGGATAATCGAGGGTTTGTTTATTATCGTACCGACTTTAGTAATGATGATCGAGGCTATGCCTCAAATTTAAAAGCTAATAATTATCTTGGTTCAGAGTGGATCAATTTGACTGAAATTTTCAGCATATTCTTTTTACTTTATCTAGTCTTTAACTATTATAGCGAGAACTGTCAACAAATTATCGATTTGGGTTTTTTTTACAGCCGCAGTTGGAATTTGATATAAGAGGAGGCCGTAGTGCCGCTGTCCGGGCAAAATTTCCCTCATGGCACACTGTATTGCGTATGCCCGTCTTCATTAGCCCAGGTTAGGAGCAGAACAGTAGGACGTTAAACTCCATTTCATTTCATTTCATTTTTTTTTACAGCCATTTGGCCCTGGTAGCGATTTACATGGTAAATGGAATCACCCTGTTGTTCACGTCAGTTATGAAGACGCTAGAGTTTATTGTGCTTACAGAGGACATCGTTTACCTTCTGAAATAGAATGGGAAAGTGCAGCACGGGGTCAAGAAATTGGTATGTTATTTCTTTATTGCTTTAATCCTTCGGATGGGACGAAAAATAGGAGCCCATGTACACACTTGGGTGCACGTTACAGAACCCTTGACAGTTGGAATTCGAAATAAGAGTAGACCATAGCGCCGCTACCCGGGCAAAATTTTCCCTCCATAGCACAATCTTCATTATCCCAGTCATTCGTATACTGACATCATACGGCTAGCAAGGAGCAACATGTAGTCGTTTGAGTGGAACGAAAAATACACAAAATTATCCATACAGCCCCTCCAAATTATCCATACAGCCCCTCCGAATTATCAAGACAACCCCTCCAAATTATCCAGACAGCCCCTCCAAATTATCCATACAGCCCCTCCAAATTATCAAGACAGCCCCTCCAAATTATCCATACATCCCCTGAAAGAACACCAAATTATCCTTACAGCCCTTCAAAAAACACCAAATTATCCATAGGCTACAGCCCCTAAAACTACACTAAATTATCTATACATCCTCTCGAAATCTCTGTACCTTTTACAAAATAAGTTTTTCATTTTTCTAGCCACACAGTATCCATGGGGTGAAAGATGGGAGAAGTTTAGAATGAATGACTGGCAGGTAGGATCATATCTTTTACCATAAAACGGTTGTACCTTTAGTTAACAGAACACAATTTACGAGCACGGCGTTTCGACAAGTATCCTCTTAACGACATTCTTGCAAGCGCAATGTTAAGCAGAGAATTGAAACCACGCCACACGTTAAACTATTCGTATGACCCCTGACGCGACCTTCCACTATAGTCGGTCAAATCGCCTCAATCTATTTAAGGCCAGCTAAATTTTTGTCAAGGCCGCTAAGGTGTAAATAAGGTTTGCGAGATTGTAGGTTAGGGTTAAGGTAACCATTAGTGCTAGGTCCAGGGTTAGGGTTAGGGTTGGGATTAGTGCTAGCCTTGTTTATCTCTCTTATCTATGAAGAACAAACTGAGCACTAACCGGCCAGATCTTCATTTAGTAGAGACCATTAAAAGTATGGAAAAAAACTAAACGAAATATAGTTCTGTATTTTAATCAGTTTGGGATTTTTTCTGTCGGATGTGTTGGGGTGTCTTGAACTGCGATTGAATTTTTGTTTGTTTTTAGGGTAACTTTCCTGATACAAATCATAGGTTAGATGGCTATGACAGCACTTCACCCGTAGATGCATTTCCAGCGCAGAATGGAAACAGTAAGTATTACGATCGTTTCCCATGTACGCTTTCATCGGTTACATGGAAACGTTTTCCGACGTGGTTCCCCCTTGTCAGTGATGCAGGCCGGATGGCCTGACAATGACAGCTTTCTAGTCATTTGGATGGGACATTGGCGTATATACATTGGCGTGCACGTACAAGATTCCTTGGCAGTTGGAATTGGAATAAGAGTAGGCCATAGTGCCTCTGCCCGGGGACAATTTCCTCCATTGCACACTGTATTGCGTATGCTCGTCTTCATTAGCCCAGTCGGAACAGAACAGTAGGACGTTAAACCCCATTGCATTTCACATAGAAATGCTCCCATTATATTTGCATTAGATCGACTTTTTCGCCTGCGAAAATACACTCGGAAACGCCACATGGAAAACGGGCCTTGCAAAGGATAGCATAGATTTTAACGACTTGCAATAGCAGCGGAAACTAAGCTTCTGACAATAATACAAAATTTCTAAAGACCCTGCTACCCCCGAGCGAATAATTGATAGAAATTTCATAACATCTGGACGTTGCTAGAATATTTTGCAATTCCCGAACTTATAGCTACGTTTTCTCCATTTACTGCGGACACGTGAACAGTGGCGTCCAATCAAAAGTTGTGACACTAACACACTAAGATCAAATATAGCGACCCGCTCAGAAACCTTGACATTGAACGATGCAACTCGATTATCACGGGTAGACATTTTAGCTGGAAAGCGCGAGACTTAGTATTCGCGATGATCGAGGAATCTGATAGGCTGGGCGAGTACCCAGTCGAAATTAATGCCGAAATATTCAGGGTATTACTCGAAGGCCTTGATAAGATGTACGGAGAGAAAGCATGATCAGGCCTTCTATTGAAGATGAACCGAGATGAAATAAAGTGAAAACTCAAAAACGGTATTCTCCAAAATTAAAACAAAACCAAGCAAATAATTGATAATGTACTGTGAACAGCCAACTTTCACGCCAAATCCATGATGAGAACTTCCATTTCTATTTTTAGTGATGTATGATTTTCTTGGTAATGTTTGGGAATGGACGTCTGCAAGACATTATGAACGTTTGGTAGCCGAGGATGTCCAGCCATTGGCGTTTGTTTTAAAAGGAGGATCATATATAGACAGCAGAGATGGAAAATTCAATTATATGATTAGAACCAGTCAAAGGTAAATAAAATACAGTTTTATGTTTCGTTTCCGCTTACTCTTTATCAAATTCCAGGGCCTCTTGGCTAAATTTCCCGGGATTGAATCCCAGTCATGGACGGAGAAGACCTTTTCGGATTTTTGGAATTTTTCCAGCCAGGGGCCTGTTTCACGAAATTTTAACTACGATAAAATGTGACCTTCCACTACAGCTTGTCAGATCTTCATGTAATAGAGGCCATCGAAAGTATAAAAAAAACTAAACGAAATATAAATCTGGGGCCTGTTTCACGAAATTTTAACTAAGATAAAATCCAAATTTCAGTAATTTGATTGGATAATATTAGTTTGATTTTAGTGCTTAGCCAATCAAAATTGAAGTATCTCCTAAAATTTGGATTTTATCTTTAGTTAAGATTTCGAGAAACAGCCGGGTCCAGGTTCTCATGAGGTGGCATAGAAAATGTCTTTAGTTTTACGGATTGAATGGAAAACTGGGGCCCTACGATTTGCAAAGAACCCTTGGCAGTTGGAATTCCAATTTCGACTTAGATAACCATATGTTAGTCACATAATGACTGAAGTATTGTCACCATGTGTTAGTCTCAAGATAACTGAAGTATTGTCACCATGTGTTAGTCTCAAGATAACTGAAGTATTGGCACCATGTGTTAGTCTCAAGATAATTGAAGTGTTGACGTGGCTTTAAACCCTCTTATATTTCTATTCATCCCTGATGTTGACCGGAAAATTATTTGGGATTTTCGGACGTCGTTTCCCTTGTCAGTGGTACAGAACCAGGTAAGAAAAACATCTAGTCGTTCGGATGGGGCGAAAAACCAAGGTCCCGTGTACACAATGGCGTGAACGTAAACGAACCCTTAATTGGCAGTTCGAATTCGAAATAAAGAGTATGCTATAGCGTCGCAGTCAGGGAAAAATTTCCGTCATAGCACACTGTATGGCGTATGACCGTCTTCATTAGCCCAGTCGGTACAGAACAGTAGGACGTTAAACCCCATTTCATTTCATTTCCATTATTATACAGCTGTCATTACACAAATTATGTCATTACTTAAATAAAGATACATTATGGGAGATTAGATAAAGAGTTGACTGTTCTCACTATAATAGTTTAAAAATAGATATGGTAAATATGATATGTTGAAAATTTCAGTCAAATTGCTCCACTCTGAAGAAGTCTAGCCTCGATCATCATTACTGAAGTCGGTACAATAAGAAACATAGTCTCGATTATCCATTTTTGGATTTAATCATCAATGAGCGTTGAGCAGCAAATCGGATTCAAATCCAGTGACAATCCGATACATAAAATGGCATCGAGAGTTGGTTAAGGTCTTTTCATGCTAATAAATGTCTAATTAATAGTTTATATAACATTACAGGTCTAAAGAAAGACCTGCAATATGCAGATTTAGCTCTTGAATAATGTATGTTTAATTCATCCTTATTATGTTTCAGAAAAGGAGAAGAACCCGACCACACAGCTGGTAATATCGGATTCCGTTGTGCAATGAACGCTCATCACCACGATCCAAAAGATATTCGCCCAAAAGTAAAGCCCACTACGCCTGGACCCCTCAAACCTCGGATTTACCAAATACCTAAAGCAACCACCACGGTGGAACCTCCTCAAGTTATACGACATAAGGACTATGGTCCTCCAGCCCTGGGAGTCAATCCACAAAGAAAACATCATGAATTGTAGCTTTATTAGAATTTATAAAATATTAAACTACTTAATTAATATACTAACATTGGATCATCTTTATTTATAATATTAAAGATAATTTTTTTCTTAGTTTTCTATATTTTCATTTTATACGTCCACATTTTCAATTGAACGGCTAAATCTATTTGTTAAGGCCAGCTCAATTTTTGTCAAGGTCGTTGAGATGTAAATAAGGTTAGGGCATGTGATTGTTGGCGAGATTGTAGGTTAGGCTAAGCATTGGGGCTAGGTTCAGGGTTAGGGTTAGTGTTGGGATTAGCGCAAGCCCTGTTTACATCTCGTGACCTATGACGAAAAATTGAGCTGGCCTTATCATTTAGCACTAACCCATGTGGAGGTATATTGTCGTCGCCTCTGTCCGTCCGTACACAATTTATTTGTGGACACTCCTACAGGTCACAATTTTTATCCGAGTTTGACAAAACTTGAAATATAGGTCTATCTCCCAAAGATCTTGGTTCCTTTCGATATTGGTATGTATCGGACCATAACCCCATGGATTGTGGCCGCTGATGGTACACAAAATCGTGTCTTTAGCTGGTGGATACTTTAGGTCATAGTTTTTATCCAATTTTGATGAAACTTAAAATGTATGTTTATAACTCAACGATTTTGGTTCCATTCATAATTGGCGCATATCGGACTGTGATTTCCTGAATCATGCACCCTGATTGTACGTTAAAAATCTTATTCTCTGTCCATTTCTTGCAAAATTAGAGCGTATCTTGCATGGCAACCGCTTGTATTCTGTAGAGAGATTCAGTGAGTAAGACGTTGGCTCGCTAACCTGGAGGTCCCGTGTTCGATCCCTGTGTTGGCCAAGAAAGTTCGTCGATTTTTTTCAGACGTGGTTCCCCTTGGCAATGGTGCAGGGCAGTGGGCCTGACAAGGACGGCACATAGTCGTTTAGATGGCACGAAAAACTGAGGTTCCGTTTACACATTGATAGGTGGAATTCGATATAAGAGTAAGCCGTAGCGCTGCTGTCCGGGCAACATTTCCATGTGTATACGTCTTCATTGGACCAGTCGGTGCAAAAAAGTAGGACATTAAACCCAATTTAATTCCATTTGTGTTAAAACATCGCTATAGAATCGCTGCGCTGTATCATACGGTCTGTCATTGAGTCAACTGGCGGGGTTTCGATTCCCCGGTTGTACGTGACAAGGAGTTGGGTAGCCTGTCCAACCTCGTGGGTTTTCTCCGGGTCCTCCGGTTTCCTCCCACTGCTAAAGACCCCTACACGCAAGCGTATTATTGAAATAAAATTGAATCATGTGTTAGTCCCGAAATGACCTAGTTTGTGTCGAGTGGACGTTAAACCCCATTTCTCTCTCTCTTTTTCGCTATAGAATCACTTGCAAACTGAAATATTGTGAAAGTTGAATCTCTCATAGGAATATCAGTCCAAAAATGGTTCAATTCCGTTCAGTATTTACAAAGATATGGTGAATTGAAATTTCATCGATCCAATATGCTGCTTTGCTATGTAATACCCTCCGCCATATTGTTGTCCGTGAAAATTTATTGGTAGGCATGTTTTAAATGCTAGCCGGGACATTATCTAGCGTTCGTATTTTGATTTTGTTTTCTTAAGCAGTGGACACATTAGCTGAATCGTTCGGCCGAACCAATCGGCGCCGAATTTCATTCGGCCGAATGGGTGGACACACTAGCCGAATGCTTCGCCCGATTCAACCTGTCGATTGCATCACCTTTCACGTCACATGATTAAACATGGCGGCGTCTATGTCTTCCATCTATCACGTGTCTTCTCGATATGAGTGATGATTGGCTAATGAATTTCAGTGGACACACTAGGCGAATTTCGACGCCGATTGATTCGGCCGAATCATTCGGCTAGTGTGTCCACCGCTTAAACTAAATGTTAAATAATAAACCTGGCACCGGTTTCACAAAGCATTCTCAGACTTAAGAATTTACTCAACTTTCAATCACTGTTAATGAGAAGTATCTTTGATCCAGAAACACAAAACTTTGCACATAGTTTCTTATTGATGTACATGTATTTTATAAAGGGCTATATTTTAGTTAAAATAAGGCAAACAATTTTGAGTAAATTCTTAACTTAAGTCTGTGAATGTTTAGTGAAACCGGAAACAGAGTACATATCAGTGTTTTTCCCGTAGGAACTGCCTCTTTATCGGACGATGTCCGCTGGCCATTCCTACACAGCTGCAATAAGGCTTCTTTGAAATCCATACTTTTCCCACCATGATTCCTTATTTTTGTTATCGCCAAAAGGAATCATTTCTCGCCACATCTGACAATTTATAGTAACACCCCAACTCCTTTCACACACACACACCTAAAAGTTACAGTAGCAGGGCCGTATTTAATTAGGACGTTAAAATCCACTCTATTTCATTTCTTCATTTTGGAACATAGGATCGGTTAGGAAGGAGCCTGTGAGAATGACAGACCCGGGTGACCCCAAAGGAGTTTGGCGGCTCTTTTTAGTCTTGAATGTGCATCGTTATTCTAGCATTGAAAGAAACGTAGAACGCTAAACCCTATTTAATTGTATTTCTGGAATTAAAGAGGGTCAAAATCAAGGCCAACTTCTGCTCCCGAATAAAAAGAAACACTCCAGATTTAACAAGTTTTTATACTTTTTTAATAATAATAAAACTGTATTATAAAATCTTCCGATATTCATGCTACATCATTTCTCCAGTGTAATGGGGGGTCTACAATGAACCACTCCGAAACTAATACATTTTCTACATCTAGGCAACAGTGTTTTAACAGTATTATTAAATATAAATAATAATAAAAAGTGTGTTTGGATATTAAGATGTGCACAAAATTATATTTCCAAACATCACTAGTCAAACCAATTTGTTTCACTGCTCTTTGAGAACAATCGAATTAAAATACAGATCTATATTTCGTTTCGTTTTTTATACTCTCGAAGGCCTACACTACATGAAACTAAATTTTGAACTATAAGAAACGAAACGAAATAGGATCAGTGTTTTAATCAGATTGCTTCGAGAATGTATGTATTGCAATTTTCTTCTTATTTCTTTCGAGAAAAAGACGTGTGCATTAAATAAGCTAACTGTTCCTAATGTAAATCTACTGTCAACGTGCATTGTACAATTTAAATCTTCCGTGGTTTACGGTCGAAATGTTACAAGTATAAGGTGATGTAACTATAAATAGACCCCTACTGGATTAAATACAAGATTTACTGGCAATATCCTTATACTCCCCTTCTCACTTGCCGTCAACTGCATCCAGGGCTTTAACTTCAACATGTGCCCAGTCGGCCAAATTTATGACATTTTTTGTTTATTTCGGTTTAGCCTGATATTTCTTCCAAAGAATATGACCATTTATCGCCTTATCCAAAAAAAGAGTTAGAAATAATGGGCTAAATTGTTTGAAATTATAATTTTATTGCTAATAAATGACTAAAAGGTCCGTTTGTCATTCAGTCAAATTTCCTGGACAGTCGGCAAAGGCTGGTAAATATGATGGAAAGAAGAGCCCCGCTTGAAGAGAGAGAGAGAGAGTTTAACCTCAACTCGACACAAATTAGGTCATTTCGGGACTACCATATGGTTTAATTTTATTTCAATAATTTGCTTGTGCGTATGGGCCTTTAGCAGCGGAAAGAAACCGGAGGACCCGGAAAAAACCCACGAGGTTGGAGAGGCAACCCTACTCCTTGTCACGTACAACCGGGGATTCGAAACCACGCTAGTTGACTGATTGACAGGCTTTATGATACAGTGCGCGTGTGCTAAACATTCAGCCATCCAACCCCTGCTTGAAGATATACCAAATATCAGAAAATACCAAATAGGCCAGCTGAATTTAGTTCCAAGGATTCAAAATGGATTGCAATATAATTTCATGTCATTTATTCTAAATGAACGACTAGTAAATTACAATATTATAAAAGTTGAATCTCTGGAAGAAATATCAGTCCAAAAATGGTTAAATTCAGTTCAGTATTTATAAAATTATTATGATGCAGAGGATATAAACTGGACATGACTAAAAGCCAGCGAAACTTACAATCTTCGCTACACTCATTTCATGGGCCTGTTTTAATCGAATTGAATCCAAGCCAGGAGGATATCTTCCAGGCATAAAATAATCAGTTAGAGTTAATATTAGCGAGGATTCCGAAAAATGCAACTGAAGACCAAAACCAACCCAAAACATTAAGGCCATGCGTTGACAAAAAAAAATTATGTCACAGAAGGGTAATTAATTTCTGGATGAAAACCATACTCATTATATAACACTTCCTTAAATAAAACTATTAGGGACCATGTCAAACTTTCAACACTTGTGTTTTAACCAATAAAACACGGATATAGATCTCAGAGCATTCCCCTCACTAGGCCATCTGCTCTCATTCTAATTAAAACACAGATCCTATTTCGTTTCGTTTTTTATAGTTCAAAATTTCGTTTTACTTGTCTTTACTACACTAGGATCTGGAAGAGTTGTTATAATACCCGGGTTCTGGTTGGAGTTAGAGTTTAGCCAATGAAAAGATCTGTTACGGCGAGTTCTTGGCGTGCGATGCACAGAACTGTGGGTAAACCACTAGAAACGACAATGCTGACTGATTAATCAATGTCTGATGCCATAGGGTCAAAAGCCGCTCGTATGACCCCTAACGCGACCTTCCAGGGATTAAGAAAATTTTGACATATATTTTCGTTCATGAATCAATATTAAATAACAACGTTTCATTTATCATTTTCTATTCGTGGAGCAGTTAAACCCACCCACCGAGTTCCGCGGGTTATTCATTTTGACACAAGTTTTGAAATTTTCCGATGGCCCGTTACCTTAAATATATAGTTTCTACACGTGATGAAAGATAGATATCTTTAATAATAATAATTGGACGGATTATTAAACGAAATAACAAGATATCATATGAAGCAATAAATTAAACATGCATTATGCAAGAGCTAAATCTGCTTAAATTGCAGGTCTTTCTATAGGCCTGAAATTTTATATAAATTAATTAGACATTTATTAACATGAAAAGACCTTAATCAAGTCATTAAAGGCTAAAATCATCGTTCAGAATAAAGTAACTTGAATGAAATTTTTAATATATATATTCATTTTTCATTATCCATTTTTAAACTATTATAGCATGAACGACCAGCTCTTTATTTAAATCTTACACAATGCATCTCTGATATCAATTTTTGTCTTTTTATTTTAATGTATACATTTTATGTACTTAGTGCACAGGTTTTAGAGTTGAACAGAGTCGACCTGATGCACTGTAATTTTATGTACTTTGTCAACAGGTGTCCTGGGGTTTGTTACAAGCGACCTGACACACTGCCCTTGATGTCATGTCATCCTTCACAGCTGATGACAATATACATGTAGATAACAATAGTCAGTACATGTATACATAAATAAACTAATATAGGTTAAAATGTTGAGGAAAGAAACACAGAGAGAACTATCTACTGTACTTCGAGAATAGATCTCAGCCCTGAATCAGGCCGGTAACTGGGGGGGCCCTGCAAAAAGTCCCCCCCCCCCTTGCGTGAAAAATTTTTCGACCATAAAAAAAAATAGATATACATTGTCCGTCAGTTTTACAGCACCCCTGAGAACACTTCCGCCTCCCTCATTGCTTTGAGCTAGTTACGGCTCTGCCCTGAATGTCCGCCATATCCAAAAATAAGTTTATTGTTTTGTAATGTGGTTCTACTCTATTTCACTAAATAAACCTCTTCAATTCCATTAAATGGAAGCAGAATAAATACTTAATGAAATTCTCAAAGTATATTCATGTTTTTGACTAAAATCGTCAATTTGGGAATTAAAATGTTGGTAAACTAGCTTAGTGTCTGTTCTCAAGAGGAGCTAATTGTAGACAGATTGCTTAAGTTTAGTATGCGCTTTCAGAGAGAGACAGAAATGGGGTTTAATGTCCACTTGACACAAACTAGGTCATTTCAGGACTAACACATGACACCATTTTATTTCAATAAAATGGAGAATATGTATTAAAGGTTTGAAGATGTTACGATGGAACTGAAAGCGCTAGCCACATAATACTGTGTTTCTTTTCTCATCATATTAAAATTATCAAATATTCAAGCTAAGAGTGGATCATCGATTAGAACATTTCTATATATACATGCATGGGACCTATTTCAGGTGTGGGACCTATTTCATTTTGTGTAAGTCTTTTAGACGGGGTTTTAAATCAGGAACATACATCGCGTGGATCATCAGGAAGTTCTATGCGGATAAGAATAGTAATTCTCTTTCTCACTGACCTTAATTTTACGTAATATTTATAACCTTCACGAGTCAAACAAGTCATAATCATCCGATAAAAATATTCTGGGGAGAGTGCTTAGTTTATTTTGTTTTACATCTGGTCAAAGAAATCTACATGTATAAAGTCTATAGACTATGAAATTCTCCTGATCCGTCACATTCGAAATCATGAATATTCATAAAACTCTAGCAGAAAATGTAAATTCACACATTCTTCATCGATTATAGACCAAAATACGGAAAATAGATAATAACTATAAATGGACGGATTACATTTGTTTAACGTGAATTCAGAAGAAACAATTACTAGTTTTAATCCCTGTATAAATTTGTGATTCAAATAAGACAAGTTACTTATTATTCCATGGAATATAAATACATATATACATAATAATGATATGTAATTATATATATAATGAATATAGAATGATAAACAATAATACAATATATCACAGCAAAGAGAAAGGATGGAACATCATGGAATTATAATGATATAACAACAAAAGGAATTCTAGATATATCAAAGGAAGGAACATCATGGAATTATAATGATATAACAACAAAAGGAATTCTATAAATATCAAAGGAAGGAACATCATGGAATTATAATGATATAAATATAACAACAAAAGCAATTCTAGAAGTATCAAAGGCAGGGTTACATACAAAATGTATAATATAATCATATATAATGGAATGTATGTATAATGTAATGGAATGTATGTATAATATAATAATGTATAATGAATGCATGTATAATATAATTATATATAATGGAATGGAATGTGTGTATAATATATAACAATGAAATAACGGATCCGGAAACAATATACAGAAATAGATTATGAAAAGTTGTATGTAGAGTCTTTTATACAATGTGTATATACAAACTAAATTAAGGAATAAAACTCTTTAAAAAATCTGAATTAATTTCTATGGAATTATATAGGATTTCACATAAATTTTGTAATAAACAAAATAAAATATTAATTTAATAACTTTGAAGGAATTATAATGGAATTCACACAAATACTATATTTAAATAAAGAAGAAAGCTATTTATTTTAATTACTTCAAAGGATTTCTGAAAGATTTTACATAAATACTCTATTCAAAGACAAAATAAAAATCTATCAATTAAATCACTTGGAAGGAATTAAAAACGATTTGACATCAATACTCTATTCAAAGATAAAATAAATTAAATCCTTCGAAGGAATTATGAAAGATTTGACATCAATATTCTATTCAAAGATAAAATAGAAATCTATTAATTCAATGGAATTATAAAGGAACTCACATAAATTCACTATAAAAAGACAACAAAATAAAAATCTATAAACTCAAGTCATTCAATGGAATTACAAATGATTTCACATAAATTTTCTATTCAAAAATAACAAAATAAAAATCTATTTATACAGATTAACAGATTGTGGAATAAAAACCCTGTTTTATCAAAAGTTAAGTAAAACAAAAATAGCTACTTCAAATGCATGGTTCATTTTCCTTATATGGTAAATGCATTTGATAATACTATGATATTTTTTGTATATAATATCAAATTGTAGAAGACCCTGTACGTATATGTGAAATATATTATGCAGGACCTGATCACCAAGACCTCCGTGGGACCCTGTAACCGGGCTCGTTCTGTGCCTAGATAAACTAAGAAAAGGAGAGAAATAGGGTTTAACATCCACTTAACTGAAACTATGTAATTTTGGGACTAACACATGGTACAATTTTATTTCAATAATTTTAATGTATGGGTCTTTAACAGTGGAAGGGAACAGGGGGACTTGGAAAAACCCAAAAGGTTAAGAAGGCGCCCAGATAAGCTAAGAATATCAACCTCTGTTACCGCACCGACTTGAAAACGCTGAGAAAATACTCATCAAAACGTCGCCCAAAGAAATTAGTAATTATTCTTCCATAATTCTAGCCAGTTACGAAATGTCTTTAAAGGATTACAAATAGGCTCAGTAACCATAGTGACCAGTAACAAAAAGATTAGAAATAGGTAACCATAGTGATCAGTAACAAAAGGATTAAAAGTCTAATGTGAACAAATACAAATGAATGTTTCACATGATAAATTTGATTAAAGGTAATTTTTTTTATAACATATGGTGCAATCCAAGGCACTTAATAAAATAGAGACTGTTTCTAAATCAGAGACAATTTCTAAATATAGACGTCATCTAGTTAACTGTTTCCAGTCAATCAGAGACAATTTCTAAATATAGACGTCATCTAGTTAACTGTTTCCAGTCAATCAGAGACAATTTCTAAATATAGACGTCATCTAGTTAACTGTTTCCAGTCAATCAGAGACAATTTCTAAATATAGACGTCATCTAGTTAACTGTTTCCAGTCAATCAGAGACAATTTCTAAATATAGACGTCATCTAGTTAACTGTTTCCAGTCAATCAGACACAATTTCTAAATATAGACGTCATCTAGTTCACTGTTTCCGATAAGAGACATTATCACCTGTTAATATCAAATTTTTATAATCAAATACGCTGCATTCTGGAACAAAAATAAGTTCAGTTGTCAGTGTGTGGCGGGGCCATAGGTAAATCATCTAATTCACTGTTTCTCGTTAGAGACTTTATCCCCAGTTCATGTCAAATTATAAATCGAACAAAGTGGGGCGGGGCTGTAGCTAAATCATATAATTTACTGTTTCTCGTTCCCCAGTTCATATCAAATTAAAAATTGAATGAAACGGGATGGGGCCGCAGGTAAGCCATCTAATTCACTATTTCTCATTAGAGACTTTATCCCCAGTTCATATCAAATTATAAATCGAACGAAGTGGGGCGGGGTCGTAGGTAAGCCATCTAATTTACTGTTTCTCGTTCCCCAGTTCATATCAAATTATAAATCGAACAAAAAACTACGGGCCAACTACGCCTCGAATTCTTGATCCTGTTCACTGTCCGAATCGTTTTGATAAAGATCAACAACAGCACTAACGTATTTTCCTTTAAATCGGGGTGATTTATTATTTAGTATCGTAATGGCTCCATCTCCCATGTGATCAGGATCCCAACCATTAGAGTCCATACTGTTTTCATGTTCACCTTGTTCATTATCATCACCAGTACCGTCATCCGTCTGAAACACAAGCAACAGAAATTAGGTCATTTGGGGACTAACATAATGAAATAAAAATGTTGTTTAATGTCAAACAGTTTTGCTCCGACTGAGCTAATGAAGATGGGGATACACCATACAGTGTGCTATGAGGGAAATTCTGTCCAGACAGCTGTGCTGCCACGCCAATGTGTACACGGAACCTTGCTTTTTTGTCCCATCCGAACGACTAGACAACTGTTCTTGTCAGGTCTTTCGTCTGGCTCCACTTGGGGACTAAAAAACAGTACAATTTTTTCTCAACAATTCATCTGAGCATATGGGTCCTAGTCACGTACAAGTGTGGGGACAAAAACACCCCCACTTGACTCAATGAGTGCGAGAGAGATATAGAGGACGAGGCGGGGGCACGTCCACTCCACACAATATGGTACAATTTTATTTTAACAATTCACCAGTGCACTGGGATCGTAGTACACAGAGAAATACTATAGGGTTAGGCAGGCGTCAATACTCCTCGTCACGCACAAGTATGGGGACGAAACCACACCCCTTGGCTCAATGACAGACCTTATGATCTAATTTGCACATATTGAACCAATCTTATTTGGGGACTAACATATGGTAAAATTTTATGTCTACAATAAATATACATATTGAATAAGACAAGAACAATCAATAACCACTGCACACTCACAAAGAAATAAAAGTTAGTAATGAACAATATTTGTTAATTATTTAATTTAGAACAAAATCATGCATTGCGGGGGAAAAAAACCCCAGAGACAGTCCTTAAACTAATGGAACAAAATATTAAACATACATTATGCAAGAGCTAAATCTGACTATTGCAGGTCTTTCTTTAGGCTTGAAATGTTATATAAATTATTAATTAGACATTAATTAACTTATCTAGACCAACTCTGGATGTCATCGCTAGCCTGCAATGTTTATTGGATTAGGATCCAATTTGCTGTACCGACTTCAGTAATGATGATCAAGGCTAGGCCGAAAATTCGGTTCAGAGTGGATCAATTTGACTGAAATTTTCAGCAAATTGCCTTTACATTATCTAGTTTTTAACTATCATATAGTGAGAACTGCCAGCTCTTTATCTAATCTCCCATAATGTATCTTTAACCAAAAGAGTTTCATATAAACAACTTAATATAATATTTGTGGTTGATGCTATGTCTAAAGATTTAAAGCCAATAATGTTCATTTGAGTGATTGGGAATCCCTTGCAAACTACAATTAAGTAAGTGTTATTGATAAATTGGAAAGATTGCTGCATGCTAAATTTTGGCATAAGGTAGAAAGAGAGAGAGAGGAGAGAGAGAGAGAGAGAGAGAGACAACAACTTGAAACAAACTAGGTCATTTCAGGACTAACATATGGTTCAATTTTTGTTTCAATAATTCACTTGCGCGTAGGGGGTCTTTAGCAGGAAATCAGAGGACCGAGAGAAAACCCATGAGGTTGGACAGGCGACCCTATTCCTTGTCACGCCCAACAGTGGAATCAAAACCACACATAATGATGAATACAAGTTTATATTTTATATGCAATTAATTGTGAATATGCATATTATGCGATTATACATTGTTAAAAAGTTATGGTTCTTACATTTCTAAAAAAGTGTTAAACATTCGTTAGGAACAAAATTTTCCTTTCCTATCATCAATAAAACAAACAAAAAACAAAACAAAGAAATGTGTTAGACAAAAACAAAACTAAAACAAAATTAAAACAGAACACACAATTTGATTACGACCATACATTAGAATTAACGATGCCCCATTTGCATTTTTCACTAAAACATTAAATTCTCATGCCTTAATCTACACTAATATGTATTCAGTTTGAATTTTTATTATTTATTAAGAAAATAAAATCAGAATATTGGTAGAAAATGCAATGAGGATCAGAAGCTTATGCTATACAGAACATACAGTAAACCTCGCATAAGTCGGATTTCTATAAGTTGGATCATTGCTCAACTCGGATAAAATCGTTTGGACCCTTTGATCCTGCACATTTTTCTTATTAAAATTCTGTGCGTAAGTCAAATTTCCTAAGTCGGATCTTTGCTAAGCTCGGATCAAAATGTTCCGGTAGTATGTTCAGAATTTGACTGTCAGTTTTGTCCCGATGGTCTAAAATGCGGTTAGGTATTCCATGCACAGAGCCCCAAAATACCTTCCCCTATCATTTTGACTCAAATCAGCCTATTTGACGCGAAGCAATAATAGAATTGTCACGGAAAATTCGAAACTCGCTGTCTGCTGTATGAGAAACTTTCCGAGAAAATTTAGGACATTTTTCAAAGATGGTGACAAACCGGAAGTTATCTACTAGCATCAAAACGAAAGTTATCTACTCGCACATATGAACAAAAGCTTGAAATGTGCCTTTGAATCAATTATTATATGGCTCTTGCAGTTTATTTCTAATCAAGCTAAGACTGAATTTCGCTCTTCGGCTAACTTGGATCTTTACTTAACTCTGATAAAATTGGTCAGTCCAACTTAGATCCAACTTACGCGAAGTTTACTGTAGTTTTTTATAATTGAAATACAAGAGTGCTTAAAATGTGTAACTATTATTTTTATGTATTCATGGGTATAAAATCACAAAATTCTCATGAAAGAGATTGTTTTGTTTTATTTTAGAATAATCAAATTGTGTTCAAAATGTATAATTGTAATCAATATGTTTCAAATTAAAACTAAACAGATTAAAACTAATGTTTAATTACTACCTCATAAAAGAAATACTGAAGATAGAAAAACATTACACAATTACAAGTCATTCATAAAGTAAATGAAGTTAAAAGTCATTCATAAATTTAATCAAGTTAAAAGTCATACATCAAGTTAAAAGTCATTCATAAAGTAAATGAAGTTAAAAGTCATTCATAAAGTGTTCAAAGTTAAAAGTCATTCATAAAGTAAATCAAGTTAAAAGTCATTCATAAGTAAATCAAGTTAAAAGTCATTCATAAAGTAAATCAAATTAAAAGTAAATCAAGTTAAAAGTCATTCATAAAGTAAAAGTCATTCATAAAGTTAATCAAGTTAGAAGTCATTCATAATTAAAATTAAATCCAGTTAAAAGTCATTCATAAAGTAAATCAAAGTTAAAAGTCATTCATAAAGTAAATCAAGTTAAAAGTCATTCATAAGTAAACCAAATTAAAAGTCATTCATAAAGTAAATCCAGTTAAAAGTCATAAATAAAGTTACAAGTCATTCATAAAGTAAAAGTCATTCAAAAAGTTAATCAAGTTAGAAGTCATTCATAATTAAAATTAAATCAAGTTAAAGGTCATTCATAAAGTAAATCAAGTTAGAAGTCATTCATAATTAAAAGTTAATCAAGTTAAAAGTCATTCATAAGTAAACCAAGTTAAAAGTCACTCATAAAGTAAATCAAGTTAAAATCATTCATAAAGTTAATCCTGAGACATTGAATGGAAAGAAAATGAAACACACGAGCAGATATTCAATGCTTGGCTAAAGATCTAAGTATAAACCTTTTGTCAAATGCTGGGTTTTTTTATTTTGGATCGGTAATCAGATGATACCTTTAGATTTTCTAGTTATCAGAAATCTTTGAAAATCAATAACCTTTTTGTATCTTAGAAACAGAAACACTGTGTAATATAAATTTGACGTCAAATGAATGATAACTTTGACCTATTGTCGACAACTGTTGCACAAACAGGGGCAACAACATTTTAAAAATAATGCCAAAAAAATCACAAACCTTCTTTGTTGAATTATTTCTCTTGACACTACTTCGTTGATTATTCTGAGATTCGAGATGTACTTGTAAACGGGAATTCTCTTCTTCGATATGTTGCATGCGGACTTGTGACATGGATAGAGTCCGGGTTCGGTCTCGTAACGTCTCCTCCAGATCCGTCAACCTGTAAATAATCCATAGCACTAAAAATATCAATAAGTATCGACATCTGCTAGCAGGCTGGAAATAATAATCATTTAAATTTGACTTCTGTGAGCAATCAAATGTATTGGATTAAACAAAAACTCGGAAAAAAAACCACAGGAATTACTTCGGTAGATGTCAATAAATTTGATGGCTGCAAACGAACTAATGTATTTGATTTAAAAAATGAAAAAAAAAAAAAAAAAATTCAATTCAATTCAGAAATTACTTTCGTAGACGTCGACAATGTACTGCACAAAAATTTAAGAATTATATATAAACATTTTACGATTAATCGAAATGAATTCTTTTGATTTTCAGGAAACTTAAATATAATATTTTATTATTAACTTTTCAATTCAACCAACACCAAGATCCCAAAAAGCAAAAATCAAAATCAAAAATTAATCTAAAAGTTATCTTTAAAACTAACTTAAGCTTGAAAAGCTGAAAAATTCATCATTAATATTTTCTCTGTTAAGATCTAAAAGCCTAACTAATCTATAGTTGCAGTAATGATTAACCAATCATATGTGTTCTTATTGGTGCTGAGGTCAGTAATAATTAACCAATCATGTGTGTTCTTATATCATATTGGTGCTGAGGTCAGTAATGATTAACCAATCATGTGTGTTCTTACATCATATTGGTGCTGAGGTCAGTTTAAAACAAGTGTTCTGTGCACATCACAAACTGAACTTTGAAAAGGAAGTGAAAAGTCAGAAGAACAATGTACGTGTATTTATAATCCAGGGCGTGTTCAGAATTTCAAGCAGCAGGGTGTTCAAGGTGGAGACAACCTCATGTTAGACGTGATGTTATGGGAATCTTATAAATTCAGAAGCTTTGAGAAAATATTTCTGATCATTTAAGTTCATACATGTACAGGATTACGGTGGTGTGAGGTTATGGTGGCAGTACTTTGCAGTGTGTTTGTTTGAGAGAGGGAGAGACAGAATCAGGGTTCCTGCGGCTTCGTCAAACATTTTTTCAAATTCAAGGATTTTCAATGACATTTTTTAGCCTAAAGTTACAATTTTTCATCTTAAAAATAACCAAAACATTACCAACTATCGTTATAATCTCATATTTAAAAGGAATTGAAGACATTTGAAACAAAATTAAGGATCTCAACTGAAATTCAAGGATATTTTCCTATTTCCGCAAAATTCAAGGATATTCAAGACCTTGAAAATGACATTTTAAATTTTAGGATATTCAAGGATTTTCAAGGACCGCGGGAACCCTGAGAGTGAGAGAAATAGGGTTTAAAGTCCACTCAACACAAACTGCAGAAGAGTAGGCCATCAAACCGATTATTTCACTTTATTTCCTTCATCGTAAACATGGACAGGGGAAGATAATTAACAATGATTGTACAACATTAAAGATAATAGGTTGTTCACACATTATATAATATTCATATATAGTTATAATCATGCATATACCATATAAAATGTCATATATAGAAACACATCAACGAGTGTTGGACCTTGTTAACAAGGCACAGAAAATTCCTGATAATACTCTGATAAATCACGGTGTCAATATTAATTTGTGGGTATATTTGGATCCGATTATAGCATTTAATTTCATCAGCTACATCACCCCAATGAACTAAAGGATTAAATTTCCGCGTTTCATAGAAACATATAATAAATAGATCTTTTTAATAATGTTATTTAGGGGGTGGGGGTGTCATTTCGGGCGCGAAAAATAATTGATTAGCAATTCCTCTTGATTGAATACAAAAAAAGTAACTTTTCACTGTGTTGTATTGAATGATCTATAAAAAGGCCATAATATTTACCAGTATAAACTAAAGAGTTGTTATTTATTTTTATGCTTCACAAATGTGGATCTGAAAATGTGTGCTGACGAATATCATTAGACTATAGAGCAGACCTGTTAATTCTGATACAATAGGCCCTACTCAAGTTTCTTATGTGATTTACTCTACTTTCATAATTAAAGACTCGGCATAGTATTCTGCTTACGATGCCGGGCCCTTCAAGGTCATAATCAAGCCAACGATCATCGCCATCATATTTATGTTTCCATTCTTTTACTATCAAAATTTAGCAGACGTCGCTTTTTTGAACCAACAATGATGATCATTCAGTAATAAATAATGTTGTACAAAAAATAGTTGATATGGTCAATTGTGATAGAAGAGTTGCGTCCCTTTCATAAATGTTCAACCTGACGCTGTGCAACGATAGATTGTACAGTTCTATGGTAGAACGGTAAATCAAGTTTGTTAAACATTTTTTCCTGCTTGATTTTGAATAAGAAACTTGATTCACAAATTTCCTTAAATTATGATAACTGCCTGCTAATCATATAAATATTTGATTAGCATTTATTTTTTTTTTGTTTAGCAAACTGCAATGCGATACCACTTATCATATTCCCTGGCAGAGTGGAGGCCTTATTAAGACGCAACGTCTAGGCTTTTGGATGGGATGAAGAACAGGGGCCATTTCCTTTTCAATTTCAACCAATTTATTTAAGATTTTATTTCAAAATGTTTCCCCAATAATTCTGAAACAGGCAACACCCCAAACAATAGAAGCAGACACAAAAGCAAACTTTTGAAAGGAGTGTCAGTTGAATGGAATAAATTCAATATTTTTATTTCTATATAAATGATTCAGATCAAAAATCATGACTGCTTGACCATATATATCAAGAGTAATTCCTGTACAAAATTTTTGTCAGTCGCTCAATTTTTTTATGTGCTTTTTGATACCTTATAACTATAAATTATGTATATATTGTGTTTTAAACTGTAATTAACTAACGGATTAATTCACCAACCAGTCAATCTCATAGCCAGTCAGTTAAGACTGAGAAATACAAGTGAAATAAGATCGCTGCAATAGACACTATTGTGGAGAGAAAGAGAGAGACAGAGAGACAGAGCGTGAGAGAGAGAGAGAGATATGGGGTTTAATGTCCACTGGACACAAACTAGGTCATTTTGGGTCTAGAGAGAGAGAAAGAGAGAAATGGGGTTTAACATCCACTCGACACAAACTAGGTCATTTCGGGACTAACATATGGTTTAATTTTATTTCAATAATTTGCTTGCGCGTAAGGGTCTTTAGCAGTGGAAGGAAAATGGAGGACCCGGAGAAAACCCACAAGGTTGGACAGACGACCCTACTCCTTGTCACGTACAACCGGGGAATCAAAACCGCGCCAGTTGACTCAATGAGAGACCTTATGATACAACGCGCATGCACTAACTAGACAGACAGACAAATGTGACAACAATAAACCTCCTCGTTTAGAGTGGGTGCATGTAAAAAAAACAATATTTATTACAGAGTTCGATATGTGAGACTGTGAAGCAGAAACTGAAAAAATGCATGCGGAAGCAAAAAAAAACAATAAAAATCAAAACAAACTGAAAATATATCGAGGGTACATACCTTGTAAATAAAGAAGATATTCAGGGCATTTGAAAACGACATAATAATCATGTTAGCAACTTAAAAGCAACAAGCAAAAGTACCGGAGTACCCATAATAATTTACACCCCATTTATGGAAGAAAATTACCCATAATAGAAACATTCCATTTGTGGAAAAAAAGTACTCAGAGTACTCATAATAATACATTTGTGAAAGGAAAGTACCCATAATAATATACATTCTATTTGTGAAAAGTACCTGGATTACCCATATTAATATACATTCCATTTGTGAAAGATAAGTACTCAGAGTACCCATAATAATACATTTGTGAAAGGAAAGTACCCATATAAATATACATTCCATTTGTAAAAAGTATCTGGATTACCCATAATAATATACATTCCAGTTGTGAAAGATAAGTACCTGGATTACAATAATTATACACATTTCATTTGTGAATGGCAATCAGAAATTTTATCAAATGCTTAAATCTTTTAAATTCTTAAAATGTGAAATGTGAGAGACAACTTTTATGATATATAAATTCTGTGATCTCAAAAATGCAGAATGTGTTTTATTTAACTTGCCATGCTGAGAACGAAACGGAAGGAAAATTTACGAATCTGATCATACAGTAATTATCAAATTAAATTTTCTCAAACTTACTTTGTTATCAATTCTCGTTTCTCTTGTAAAATATGTTTGTAATTGGCATCCATCTTGTCCCTCCATTCGGCTTCTTTACGTAACGTGGCACGCGACAATCGTAACTCTTCATCCATTACTTCCATTTGATCACGTAGTCTTGATCTTTCAGTACTATAATACTCTCTGGCTTTCAGCAATTTCTCTTTGGTTCGTAACTTGCGGTTTTCGTATCGTTTTTCGTGCATTTCTTGCTTTTCGTTAGCGGAGAGTAATTCGTACTGAAGAATTTTTACCTCCTCTCGCAGATTTACAATTTGACTCATCAGATTTTGTTTACCACTTTCTGACATTTGATGTTTCTAAAATATTATAAAAGGATGACGATATTGTTTTATTAAAGATACATTATGGAAGATTAGATAAAGAGCTGGTAGTTCTCACTATAATAGTTAAAAACTATATTATGTAAAGGGAATTTACTGAAAATTTCAGTCAAATTGATCCACTCTGAACCAAGATTTTAGCGATTGAATTTTCGGCCTAGCCTCGATCATCATTTCTGAAGTCGGTACGATAAAACACATGGTCTTGATTATTCATTTTTACGTTAAATTACCCAACGAGAGTTGATTATGGTCTTGTCATGTTAATTAATGTCTAATTAATAGTTTATATATTTCAAATATGCATATTTACGACAGCAATTTTCTTAGCTGAAAATCTTTGCACAATTTTCGGAATAATCGACTCTGGCTGTTCATCTATTTACAGATTTTTTAATTAACATTTCAGGCCTCAAGAAAGACCCAGATTTAGTTCTTGCATAATGTATGTTTAAGTGAAAATTTTCATCTATTTCTCCAACTAGCTTTCTTTGGACAATATCTAATTCATACTAAACTTACGCCGTCTACAATTAGCTGTGTTTGAGAACAGACACTAAGTTAGAGAGAGTCCATTTATTTCAATAATTCACTGACATATAGGGGTCTTTAACAGGAGCAAACCGGAGGACAAGGATAAAACCCACAAGGTTGGACAGGCGACCCTACTCCATATCAAGTACAATTGTGGGAATCACAACCATGCCACCCAACCCCCCTTTGTTCTATATGTGTATAAACCAGGGTTTTTTTTCCATATACATGTAAATTTTTTTTTTTTCAACTCACCATATCATAATCATTTTCTTTTTCATCTTGTAAATACGTTATTCGTGATTCTAGATCTAATATAGTATGTTGTAATTCTCTATTTTCAGCTGACAATTTACTCTCGCGCTGTTTTAATAATGTCACTTGATGTCTTAATTCTGCTACATTCTGGTCTGACAAAGTTCTACAAAATAATTTAACATGAAACTTTAATTGACAGGACGTCACTTCCACTCAAGGTGATATCGCAGAGAAGTGTGAGGAACAAGTTATTAGAGGGATGCCCGTTAGGGAGGTTGGAGAGGGATGAGCAATTAAGAAATTTTACTTCTTCCATTTCCTTAGTTAAAGGTCCACTGACCAGTGTGTCCTAGTAATCTTGCAAAAGGAGCCAGTCGTTAGTGGGAGACTCGTTGGAGAGGGATGAGCGATTAAGAAATTTTTGCTGGTTCTATTGCCTTAATTAAATGTGCAATCGTGCCTTTAGAGTTACAGTGTCCAAGGGTGGTGTAGTGCCTAATCTTGAAAGTCTGGCACGCGTTCCCACCAAGGATCCAATCTTGAGAGGACTGGATTAATATTGTCACATAGACTTGACTTAATGACAGATCTTTTGATCTAAAGCGGACATTTTAAACCAAACGGCTATCCCACCCCCAATTATCACATGTAAATTAACGAGTGGGCCTTAAAAATTTGGGCGGTTGAGTTCTTCATAAAAATATATACATTGATATGAAAGACCAGGTATCATGATTTTCTTACCTTTGTAATCTTTCACTTTCCAACTGATTTCTAAGTTTTACGATAAAATCTTGTTGATCTTCAAGTTGTAAATGACTTGATTCTGTATTCTGTACTTTTTCTTCCATTGTTTTTAAATTTTTACAAGCATCATCTAAATCTCTCTGTAACTTTTCATTCTACAAATTACAGAATATCTAATGAAATGAAATGGGGTTAAACGTCCTACTGTTCTGCTCCAACTGGGCTAATGAAGATGAGTATAAGCCATACAGTGTGCTATGAGGGAATTTTGCCTATTCAAATTCCAATTGCCAAGGGATCTTTTACGTGCATGCCAATGTGTACACAGGTCCTTGGGTTTTTTTTGCGTACCATTCAAACGACTAGACACTGTTCCTTGTCAGCCCATCCATCCTCCATCCCTGACAAGGTGAAACCAATGCCAGGAAAATCCTAAGGGAACTTTCTCAGCCATCACTGGGATCGAACCTGGCAAGTGAGTCCGTAGTTATCAGAAATTGTTGAAATTCAATATTTGTTTTTTTACGGACAGGACGGAGAGAATGGTGACATAAATATTCACTACAACACATTTATCTTTTAGTTGTGTTGTTTTAGCAGAAGTTTCTGCAATTGTTGGATGTTCAAATCTGTTGAGTACCATAGAAAACTATTGGGTTTCTACTGTTGTGTAGTTTAAAATGTCTGGTGTTTAAATTAGATAATAAGTGTTGGGTTTATAACTGTTTAGTTTCTCAAAAGGTGTTGAGTAATTAATTAGTGTGTTAATTACTCAACACCTTTTGAGAAACTAAACAGTTATAAACCCAACACTCATTGTCTAATCTGTTTCTGGGATATCACCTCAGTGGAAGCTGAGGTAAAATACAACTGACTCACACACATATCCTTTAAACTACACAGCAGTAGAAACCCAATGGTTTTCTATGGTTCTTAACGGATTTGATCAGTTTTCCAACAATGGCTTGAAACTAAACATTGAATACAAAAACTCCTGCTAAAACAACACAACTACATGATACCTGAGTTGTAGTGTATATATAAACATAATAACATAACTACACAAACACAAAACTAACTACTTCCTATTAATTAACCAATCACATATAATTTACACCTAATTCTAAAACACTGTGTGACTTGTTTAACAATCCAAACATCACTATTATTAATACCATCTAAATAAATACGTTCTTGAAAATACAAACTAAAAACCTGTGCAACTTACTTCAAACATCTGTATCATTAATACATTCACAAAAAAAAACAAAAATAAAATAGATTCACAGTTTTACAGTAGTAGAGAAAACAACTTTGTACTGTTTCATGCCCAAGTGTTTAATAAATTACTTACATTTGGCTCAAAGATAACCTTTAATAATTAATGTTAATTATTATGTAATTATTTATGTATACCTCCTATATACAGGTAGGTATTTACCTGTATAATTGTTATCTGATTACAATAACTAACTTATAATATATTAATACTGTTATTATATTACTTATCACTGGGTCATTAACTAGTCAGGCTATTTTATATAACGCTTGTTATAACATTCTGATGCAGGAGGGGGGGGGGGTTATATTTTTGTGTTTATTTTGTGAAAGGATCAGTAGATTAACTAAATGATATCTGACAAACATCAGAATCCAAAAGGTTCTATACTAGGAAGTTACTATTATCCAATTGTCAAAGATGATTATCAATGAAATGAAATGGGGTTTAACGTCCTACTGATCTTCTCCTATGACGGAAATTTTGCCCAGACAAAGGCGCTATGACCTTCTCTTATATCGAATTCTAACTGCCAAGGGATCCTCTACATGCACTCCAATGTGTACACAGGACCTCGTTTTTTTTGTCCCATCCAAATGACTAGACAGCTCTTGTCAAGCCCTCTGTCCTGCAACAATGACAAGGGGAAACCACACCAGAAAATCTCAATGAAAATCTCTTCCCGCCCTGAACACCGTGCATGTATAAATACATATTTATATAAGGTAGGTAACAGTAAATATTATGATTATGATTACAATAAAGGCTAACACAACACTTCAACAATTCTATAGGCAGATTATAAAGTTTATTTGACATGTAATTGTAACCAGTAAAATACGGTATAAAAGTGAGATTTAATATAATATTTTTTTACCTTTCTCTCGGCTTGTTCCGTTCTCATCTCTAACGATGTAATATTTGATTCTTGACTAGCTGACTTCTGTATAAATATCGTTTCTGCTTGTCTCGTAGACGACATCAGCTAGAAATTATAAAAAAAACTACATTTTTCTTAATAACATTATACAATTATATAATACATGACAATCTAATGTATTCACTGTATATGCTATCTGGACAGATTACAAACATTCAAATTAGAATTACAAATTTGAGCCTTAAGCACAGTTTATGTTTCAAAATAATAACAATAATATCCTCATATAGAATGAGCATTTGGAGCAGTGGTGGCTCTGTGAGTAAGACGTTGGTTTGCCAAACTGGAAGTGCCATCTTTGATCCAGGTGTTGGCCAAGAAAATTGATCAGGATTTTCTGGCATGGTTCCACTTTGTCAAATGTCATTGCACACTGTATGGCATATGCCCATCTTCATTACCCCTGTCGGAGCAGAACAGTAGGACGTTAAACCCGATTTCATTTCATTCCTCACTTATAATGAGCACTAAAAAAGAACAATTTCTGATGTGCTGCTGGTTATTATATTCACTGATTATTTCGAATCCAGGTTTTGAAAGAAGAATGAAAAAAGGCCAGTTTCACTACGGCTGTGGTAGTTTATTCCAAAGAAAAGGTCTGCTATAGGAAAAGGCACATTTTCCAATTTGATAAACATTAAGATGATCAAATCATCAAACTTACCCGACTTAATTCCTCTTCTAAACAATGTTTGGTGTTTTCTAGTTTTGAACATTTTTCCATCATAGTCCTGACTTGAGCCCAAACCTTTACAACACAAATCATCAGATTAATTTGACACGGCAGAATTATATCTTGACATCTCTCAACATCAGGATGGACAATTTTAAATACAACAAAAACAGGGCATCTTTAGCTGTGGTAGGGAACCAGAGGACCCAGAGAAAACCCATGAGGTTATATAGGCGACTCTACTCCTTGTCACGTACAAGTGGGGAATCGAAAATCCACTTGATTCAATGACATATCTTATGATACAACGCATACACGTTAAACCACTAGACCACACAACCCCCCAAAATAAGAATATGCTGCCGCACCACTGTCAGGGCAAATTTATCTCATAGCATAGAACATGATGGATGCTCGTCTTATTGGTGCAGACAATAAGGGCGTTAAACCCCCATTTCTTTTCATTTTATAGTATCTGTTTTTGTCTTGTCTGTTTTCTGTTGGGTAGGTCTCCTACAGTGTATGATAAAGAGAAATTGAGGGGCGTGTCAAGGGGGGGGGGGGGAGAGGAGGATCTGCCTCAGCCCAAACAGGGCATATTGTTTTTCTCCTACATTCATCGAAACGACAAACGAACAAACGTGCAAAGCATTGTGACCATTTTTTGGGACTCTCTCTAATCCAATTCATGTATGCATTCAAATGAGATGAAATCTTGTCTCGTATCTTCTAAATTTATCAAATTCTCGAATAATCCCCCAGACCTCACACCAAATATTGTCTCAGAGCTTCTGAATTATAAAATTCTTAGCTAATTCCCCAGACCTCATGACAAATAAAATTCTCGGGTAATCAACCCCTGCACCGTCCTCTATTTAAATTCCTGAACACCCCCCCCTGAAATTACAAACCTTGGTCATTTCTTGTTCTTGCTGTTTATTTCTATTCTCCATGTTGGTCCGTAATTTAATTTCTGTTTCAACTTGAGCTTCAACTCTATCTAAAGATGATTTCATTCTGGCCGTTTCAGTCTCTTGATTCAATAATTCCTGCAATATACAACAATCATTGTTTCCATCATTTACAAATCAACAGGAAAATATATTTGAGAGAGAGAGAGAGAGATGTCATTTCGGGACTAACATATGGTTAAATTTTATTTCAATTACTTGCTTGAGTGTAATGGTCTTTAGCAGTGAGAGACAAGCATTGGTCCCGGAGAAAAAAACTTCTCTTTCACTCATATTTAACTATCCGTGTTTACTATAAATATTCTTCAATCTGATTAAAATACAGATCTATATTTTGTTTTGGCTTTTTATACTTTCAATTGCCTACACTACAACAGATCCTAGTGTAGTAAAGACAAGTAAAACGAAATGAAATAGGACCTGTGTTTTAATCAGATTGAATATACCTGTTCTTTCTCTCGTATTTAACTACCTGTCTTTAATATTAATATACCTGTCCTTTCCCTCGTATTTGACTACCTGTCTTTACTATAAATATACCTTTCTCTTGTATTTAACTACCTGTCTTTACTATAACTACCTGTTCTTTATCTCATATTTGACTACCTGTCTTTACTATAAATATACCTTTCTCTTGTATTTAACTACCTGTCTTTACTATAACTACCTGTTCTTTATCTCATATTTGACTACCTGTCTTTACTATAAATATACCTTTCTCTTGTATTTAACTACCTGTCTTTACTATAACTACCTGTTCTTTATCTCATATTTGACTACCTGTCTTTACTATAAATATACCTTTCTCTTGTATTTAACTACCTGTCTTTACTATAACTACCTGTTCTTTATCTCATATTTGACTACCTGTCTTTACTATAAATATACCTTTCTCTTGTATTTAACTACCTGTCTTTACTATAACTACCTGTTCTTTATCTCATATTTGACTACCTGTCTTTACTATAAATATACCTTTCTCTTGTATTTAAATACCTGTCTTTACTATAACTACCTGTTCTTTATCTCATATTTGACTACCTGTCTTTACTATAAATATACCTTTCTCTTGTATTTAAATACCTGTCTTTACTATAAACATACCTGTTCTTTATCTTGTATTTAACTACCTGTCTTTACTATAAACATACCTGTTCTTTATCTCGTATTTGACTTCGTAGTTCCTGTGCTTCTGTGTTGGAAGCTTCCAATTTATTGGTTAAACTATCCATTTCTTTTCGATGGAATTCTTTCATATCCGCTACCTCTGTCTCCAATCTGGTGACTATACTGTCATATTTAGCCTACAACAACAAATAAACATAATAGAATGTATTCTGACAGACCAACATCCTTAGTATAATGTATCCAGGTTGTTTCTGATAATATATTCATTTTATTTCTGACACAACAACATCCTTAAAGATACATTATGTAGGATTTAGAGAAAGAGCTGGCCATTCTTGCTGTAATAGTACAAATATAGATAATGAAAAATGAATATATTGAAAAGTTAAGTCAAATTACTTTATTCTTTTAAAGTTACGAGTGTTTGAAGTTTTGACAACTTGTAGCATAGATTTTTTATTGTTGTAGACTAAGTTTGATTATTTATCTAAACGCTAAACTTTTAAATGGCCGTGGTGTTCTAATCTACTTAAAATCGCACAGACATCCGATGCCGTTGATTTTTTTATTATCGTAGATTAAGTTTTGATTATTTTTTTAATTGTTGAACTATTAAATAACCGCAGTGTTAAAATCGACTTAAAATCAGAGCCATTTGATGGCCCAGAAAGTTCAATATGAGCTTTAAATGTGAATAAATGTCTAAATGTTTATATAATATTTGAGGCCAGTAAAAAAGACCTGCAATATGCAGATTTAGCTCTTACATAATGCATCTTTAATATAAGAATGAAAATTTACACACATGGTTATTTCGATTTTCTGGTTCTCCCTTGTCAGTGATGCAGGACAGAGGGGCTGACAAGGAAAGCTGTCTAGTCGTTCGGATGGGATGAAAAACCGAGGTCCTGTGTACACACTGGCGTGCACGTAAAAGATCCCTTGGCAGTTGGAATTCGATATAAGAGTAGGCCGTAGTGCCGCTGTCCGGGCAAAATTTCCCTCATAGCACACTGTATGGCGTATGCCCGTCTTCATTAGCCCAGGTTAGGAGCAGAACAGTAGGACGTTAAACCCCATTTCATTTCATTTCATTTCGATTTTCTATCTTGACCTGTCTATAGATCTCTGAATTCAAAGTGTGGATAAATCATTTGCAAAATTATATATAGAGAGAAATGGGGTTTAACGTCCACTCGACACAAACTAGGTCATTTCGGGACAAACATATGGTTCAAGTTTATGTCAATAATTCACTTGCTCGTGGGGTTGTTTGCAGTGGGGGAAAATCGGAGGACCCGGAGAAAACCAACGAGGTGACCCTACTGCTTGTCACATACAACTGGGGAATCAAAACCACACCAGTTGACTCAATGACAGACTTTATGATACAGCGCACTCGCTAATCATTCTGTCATCCAACCCCCTCAAAATTATATATCTGACAGGTATATTAATATTTATGGAAACCAGAATTAGTAGAAATTAGTCACAGTAATATAATGAAAGGTTAATTACAATAAATCCAATTAAAATTAGTTCTATATTAACAGGCAGTACTTTGTAAAATTGATTAAAATCTGTGTAAAATATATTAAAGGTCACCAGAAAAGCTTCAAATTTTTTTTAAATGATGCAAGTAATTATGTCAGCATATCCTTTCCATAAGTATAACACAAACTTGAATGTCAATATTACCTGCAACAGGTAAATTTCAACGTTATTAATTTCCACCGTTCTCCGTGGGTAGTCGTAACTTTCCGTCAATAAACAATCTGTGACGTTATTTTATACCTTCTGCTTATAGAATATGGGCAGAAGGACCAAATGGAATATTTATGGAAAGGATATGTTGACATAATTACTTGCATTATTTAAAAAATTTATGAATCTTTTCTGGTGAGTTTTAATATTGTTTCTTTTATAAATTCATTAAAATCTGTGTAAAATTGCTACCAATATTGTTATTAGTTATATATTATGGTTGTTTCTCATTCATGTGTTTGTAATGGTACAAGACAGTCAACAAGGTGTTAAGGAAATCCCATGTGTTTCTTAGAATGCAATCAACCAATAAAAATTCTGATTTATAAAAGAAAAGGACAAAGAAATGGGAATTTTTGGTTTGCATAAGGGTTTCACAAATAATTTGCTGATATAAATGCAAACTGCTAGGCAACGGACAATATCAACAATAAAAATATCCTGTGGCATGGTACCAAATCTATATCAATTTCATGTCCATGGAAACACAAAGCTGAACTACTATAATGTTTTGATGTGTGTACAAAGTTTTATAAGGATATCTTAAACAGTTTATATAAATGCAAGCTGCAAGGCAAGAGATAATATCACTAGCTGATAAGTATTCTAGCAATAAAAACATTCCACGTAATTGTATACCAAAATTCAGACAATGTTGTTTCCATGGCAACACAAAAATTATCAAATCCAAAAATTGCTGATTAGCGTAAAGGATATCTTAAACGGTTTACGAGATATGCTACCAGGGAAGGAGAGAGGAAAAATGGGTTTAACGTCCACTCGAAAAAAACAAACTAGGTCATTTCAGGACTAACATATGGTTACAATTTCTTAAAATAATTCCCTTCTGCATAGGGTCCTTTCGGAAAACCAGTGGACCCAAGAAAACCCATGAGGTTTCAATCGGGAAATCAAAACCAAGCGCACAGGTTAAACTGTCGTGACAGAGGGAATTGAAATGGGGTTTAATGTCCTACTGTTCTGCTCCTGACTGGGCTAATGAAGACGGACATACGCCATACAGTGTGCTATGAGAGAAATTTTGCTCGGGCAGCGGCACTGTGGATTACTCTTATATCGAATTTGAATGGCCAAGAGATCTTTTATGTGCATGCCAATATATACACAGACCTCGATTATTCGTCCCGTCCAAACAACTAGCCAGCTGTCCTTGTCAGGCCTCCCATCCTGCACCACTGACAAGGGAATACCACGTCGGAAAATCCTGATGAACTTTCTTGGTCAATGCAGGGATCGAACACGCGACCTCCAGGCTAGCGAGCCAGCGTCTTACCCACTTAGCCACTGTGGCTCCCTGTGACAGAGGGACGAACAAGCCCATTTCAATACCCTTCTCATAATATTCATTTGACGCTGGACTAAAGTAGTGACGGCATAATATTGTTTCCAGGAAAATAATGTTAGACCAAACCCTGCAGAACTCCAAGCCACACAAAACGTTGTTTTGATCATCACAATGTGCACACGACACATCTATGCTACAGTAACATATATACATCAGTATAAACCTTTTGTCCCACGTTCTCCGCTTCCAGACGAAATACTTTCGCTTGTTCCTCATGTAAATCTTCCCTCAATGTACGAATCTGTTTCGTTGCTGTATCTAACTCCTCCTCCAATTGACGACTATGTCTCGTACCCAAATTGTTATTATCTGTAAAATAGGAACTCATTTGTGACATGATTAAAACACAGATCCTATTTCGTTTCGTTTTTTTAATAGTTCAAAATTTGTCTTTACTACACCAGGATCTGGAAGAGTTGTTATATAACCCGCCTTCTGTTTGATGTGAGGGATTAGCTAATGAAACAATCGGTCATGGTGAGTTCTTGGCGTGCTGTGCATGAAACTGTGAGTAAACCACTAGAAACGTTAACGCTGATTGATTAATCAATGCCTGACGTCATAGGGTCAAAAGTCGCTCATATGACACGTGATGTGACCTTCCACTACAGCTTGTCAGATCTTCATGTAATAGAGGCAATCGAAAGTATAAAAAAAACTAAACGAAATATAAATCTGGGGCCTGTTTCACAAAATTTTAACTAAGATAAAATCCAAATTTTAGTAATTTGATTGGATAATATTAGATTGATTTTAGTGCTTAGCCAATCAAAATTGAAGTATCTACTAAAATTTGGATTTTATCTTTAGTTAAAATTTTGTGAAACAGGCCACTGTATTTTAATCAGATTGGAAATCATTTGTGACATGATTATCCAGAAATAATAAGATTTCCAGAAAAATAAAGATTGTTGTGGTCTTTTTATATATTATCACAACTTGTGACTACTGGTGATTAACATAAATGGCAAAATAACAGAAAATTGAGAGATTCTGTCAAGACAAATAAAGTTTACCATTTACATAGCGAGCAGGATAGATCGATGTAACTTCAGTTCATCATATCTTTGTAAATATTGGGATTCCTAGATTGCTTGAATCACACTCGGGGACATTAATGACAAGGTTACTATTTTAATAACAATGTTGCTATTTTAATAACAATGTTACTATTTTAATAACAATGTGTTTATTTTAATAACAATGTGTTTATTTTAATAACAATGTTACTATTTTAATAACAAAGTCACTATTTTAATAACAATGTTGATATTTTAATAAAAAAAAAGTCACTATATTAATAACAATGTTGCTATTTTAATAACAATGTTGCTATTTTAATAATTATGTGAAATTCAAGTGCTGTGACTTTCTCACCTGAATTTCGTTGTCTTTCTCTTTCAAGTTTTGTTTCAATATCTTCTGTTTGAGATAATGTCTCAGATAACTAGAAAATAAACAACAAATATTGGATTATAGGAAGCGAGTCTGTTAATCTTTCTAACATACCGGATATTCATTACTGAACCTTGGATTAATGAAATCATTCAATATATATTTTAGTCATTAATACACAATGATATTTTGTAAATATCATTAAATTCCATAAAAGTTGTTGTCCTTTAGCATTTTACAACTATATGAACAAACAAATTTATAATGATAAGGGAGCCACGGTGGCTAGGTGGTTAAGACGCTGGCTCGCTAGCCTGGAGGTCGGGTGTTCGATCCCTGCATTGGCCGAGAAAGTTCATCTGGATTTTCCGACGTGGTTTCCCCTTGTCAGTGGTGCAGAACTGAGGGCCTGACAAGGACAGCTGTCTAGTCCTTCGGATGAGACGAAAAACCGAGGTCCCGTGTATACATTGGAATGCACGTAAAAGATCCCTTGGCAGTTGGAATTCGATATAAGAGTAGGCGATAGTGCCGCTGCCCAGACAAAATTTCCCTCATAGCACACTGTATGGCGTATGCCCGTCTTCATTAGCCCAGTATAGGAGCAGAACAGTAGGACGTTAAACTCCATTTCATTTCATTTCATTCATTTCATTTATAATGATAAATATACTAATGCATATACAAAATGTTAAATAAAATGAAAAATACATCGTAAAAAAAATAATAAAAGTGTAAAACTTTTACAGGACATCAAGAATTTTTTCAGTCACAGAAATGGCAAACTGTTCAACAGTGTCCCTGAAAAGAAGTGCTTTTAGTTATAGTTTAAAAACTGAGAAGCAACTTATACAAATTTCAGAGGACAGTTCATTCCAGAGTAAAGGTGTCGGAAGGGAAAAGATCTATGTCAATGAAAGAGATCTTTGTGAAAGACGGCTTTGTATGAGGAGCTCTGTGATACACAAAGATTAGGTCTTGATTTTCTGGCGATCGAGACAGCTCAAACTAAACAACAACCATAAGCCATCCAATCAAATGTATGAAATTTCAAATCAAATTATAAAATAAATTTATAAATCCCATACCTTCTTGGCCATTTCTCTGTTATCTAATTCAAGTTGACGGGATATTTCTTCCAGCAATTTTATACGATCTAAATGTTGCTGTTTTTCTTCCACGTCGTACAGCGACGTCGTCTGTTTATGATCTATTGACGTTTTTAACGCACAATATTCTAATTCAACAGCTTTTAGTTTATCTTTGGTTTCACATAACTCACTTTTGGTCACCTCTAACGTCGTCTGCATTTCCATGACTTGTTTTTCAGCCAAGAGTAAACTCTGAGCCATTTGTAAATTTTGCACGGGTAAATCGTTCTCGACTGGCTTTTCTGGCGACACCATGTCCGTTTCATCCTTACCCATGTTTATCAATTCCTGCAACTGTCCTTTCTGACTCTGCAATTGTTCTTTTTGAATCAGTAATTGTTCGTTCTGATTTTGTAATTGTTCCACGGCCGTCTGGGACTGAACTAACTTTTCGTGCGAGGAATCCAACTCCAATTCTAATTGTTCAAGTTTCGTTTTATACAATTCTACATCTTCTAATGTTTCTTCGAGATGTTTTTTCGATGTCGTTAATTCTAATGTCACTGCTTCTATTTTATCACTGAACATGTGGGACGGCATCTTTTGGTTTTCTAGGGACGGACTCAATTTAGTAGGTGAAGAACTCTCTACATCCTGTAAGTCAAGTAAAGATATGAGAGCAATAGTTGAAGATGCACTATGTAAGATTTAGATAAAGAGCTAGCAATTCTTGCTATAATAGTTCGAAAAGAGATAATGTAAAATGAATAATTTGAAAATATTTTGCAGTGTGCCCCATGGGAAATTTTGCCCGGGCAGCAATTCGATTCCCTCGTAGAATTACAGGTTTCTTTTACGTGCACACGAAGGTGTACACAGGACCTCGGTTTAATCGTCCAATTAACTAGATGTTGTTCCTTGCTAGGCCCTTCGTCCAGCACCAGAGACAAGGGAAAACCACACCAGTATCGAACCTCAGACCCCCTGGTTAGTGAGCCAGCACCTTAATCACTGAGCCACTGCTATATAATACCAACCTTGTTTGATTTGTTATTCTCTATTATATTACCATTACATCTAACAGGTATTGCACTATGGACGGATTTTATTGACTGAGGTTGTATAGATAATCTTTCACTTAATTCTACTTTTGTAACTTCTAATTCTTTATTGGCCTGCAAATAAAATGATTCAAGTCAAGTATAGCTATTTATACATTATCAACTTCCCAGAAGAAATGAAGTGGGGTTTAACGACCTACTGGGCTAATGCAGACGCAGGCCTACATAACCTATACAGTGTGCTACAAGAGAAATTTTGCCCAGGCAGTGGCACTACAGCTACTCTTATTTTGAATTCCGACCATCAAGGGTTCTTTATCGTGCAAATCAACATGTACACTGGACCTTAGTTTTTTTTGTCCCATCCAAACTACCCGACACTTTTCCTTGCCAAGCCATTTGTCCTGCACCACTGACAAGGGGAAACCACTCCATCCTGCACTATTGACAAGGGGACACCACTCTGTCCTTCACTTTTTACAAGGGGAGATCATGCTGGAAAATGCCGGGGAACTTTCTTAGCCAATACCAGGATCGAACAGTGGATTTCCTGGCTATTAAGGCAATACTTTACTCACTGAACCACTATGGTTCCCATGACCCAAAAGAGAGAGAGAGAGATATAAATGGAGTTTAACATCCACTCAACATAAACTACATCATTTTGGGACTAACACATGGTTCAATTTTTTTTTAATAATTCACTTGCTCATACAGGTCTTAAGCAGGTGGAGGCAACCAGAGGACCTGGAGAAAACCCATGAGAATAGGCAGACAATCATCATCCTGACTCAATGATACACTGCTTGATCTAAAGATCCTGTATTCCACAACTCGACCATCAACAGACGATACAATGGATACATTATTCCTACCTTTTCAGTATTATCAATGGCGATTTGTAATTCATCTTGAACACTGAATAAATCATCTTGTAATTCTTGACTTCTCTTCTCTAAACATTTCACCTGATAAAAACAGAACTAATCATTTCGGGACTAACATATGGTTCAGTTTTATTGTAATAATGTGCTAGTGTGTAGGGGTCTTTAGCTGTGGGAGGAAACCCAGGCGACTCTATTACTTGTCACGTACAAGTGTGGGCTCGAAACAATGCCACTTGACTCAATAATATACTTATGGTCTAAAGCGCATGCGTTAAACCACGCAACCACCCTTCCTGGGATCAAAAACAGAGCAACCCCTGATTCATGAGTCAGTGCATTACTCACTTAGTCACAGCAGCTCCAATTATTCAAAAAGATACTGCTCCCTCCTACATAAACAATTATTCACATTCTACAAACATTTGTCTACATATGCCACATTATTATCTGTGTCTGCTTATAAGAGACTCAAAGGAAAATTATCCTTCCCTGTTAATGGTGCTACATGTGGAATAAGTTATCAAGAACAATTAGAGAAAGCTTGACTTTGTTAAGTTTTAATTAGAGTTAAAAACACACTTGTTTAAATATTATTAAAAACTGTGATGTAACATTTGAAAGCACTTAGAAATATCATCGGATATAATGAAGCACTATTGAAGATGAATGATAATAATAATTTACACGCAGAAAATTTCCCTCCCGACTTACTTTGGCCTCTAAATCTAGCTGTACGTTTTCATGTTCCGTCTTCTGATCTTCGAGTAAATCTTCGTATTCCTGTAAACTTTGTTTCAACTCCAACTTTTCTCTTTTCTCGTTCTCTAATTCTTCTCGCACCGTGAAAATTTCCGTTTCTAAGTCGCTGTACTCACAAAGTTTCTTCTCTAGATCTATTCGCTGTGCTCGCTCCTCCTCGAATTCGTCGTCTGCTTGTTGCATTTGCTCAAAGAGTTTTTGTTCTAAATTTTTTACCGTCTTTTCTAATTTTGATTTATCGTCAAGTGTATTTTTTAAATCTTGTTTAAGAAGAGTGTAATCGTGGTCCAGCTGACCCGATAACGTCAGTTTATTGACAAGATCCTTGTTTTCACCCAGCGTCTGATCGATAACAGATTTTGATTTACTGAGTTCCTCTAACGTTAATTGTAATTTACACTTTAAATCCTCCATTTCCTCTTCATGTCTGAAATACGTAAAAAAAATTATGTTTTGAAATGAAATAAAATCAAATGGGGTAGACAATAAGGGATATTTCGCCCGGACAGCGTTCGTATCCACCAATATCGTATTCATCAAAGTTTAAAGGATACTTTTATGCGCACACCAATGTGTACATTGGTCCTCAGTTTTTCCAATCTGATTAAAATACAGATGGATATTTTGTTTCGTTTTTTTATACTTTCGATGGCTTACGACAACATGAAGATCTGACCGATTGTAGTGGAAAGTCATGTTATAGGTCATACGAGCGGCTTTTGACCATATGACGTCAGACATTTGATTAACCAATCAGCATTGATGTTTCTAGTGGGTTACCAACAGTTCCGTGCACCTCACGCAAAAAACTTGCCGTAACAAAACGTTTGATTGGCTAATCCCTCACATCATCCAGAACACCAGTAATATAACAACTCTTCCAGATCCTAGTGTAGTAAAGACAAGTAAAACAAAATTTTGAACTTTAAAAAAACAAAACAAAATAGGATCTGTATTTTAATCAGATAGCAGTTTTTCATACCATCCGGGTTCTCTGTCCCTTCGAAACTGGAATCCATGCTATAAAATCCTGATTAACTTTCTCCACCAACACACTTCAGATGTACAGGTGATAAAACTCGTCAGATTAAAGGAGAAATGCCAGATTTATTTCAATGAATAAAATATTTAATTAATAATTACCTCTGTTCTGTTTCCTTGGAAGACATTTCAAGAGACTTCTGAAGACAAAAATAATTGAGATAGATGATGTATGTTTTCAGCTTAAGTTATAATTATTAAAAATAATACATAATCCTTACAAGACATAGAGAAGTAGATTTCACAAATTAAAACCACTTATATCTAGGTGTAAAATAAAAAAAAATAAAAATAATCGTCCACAGATCTATTCCAAAAATAATGAAATTCTATCTATAAATGACTACGTATAAGGCCAAGAAAATACTGGTTACTTGGCTGTAAAAAAAAATAGGGTGGGTCCGAAAATCTTTTTTTTTTGTTGGGTTTGTATTGTCTGCTTCCGATCATTTCTAACTTAATTACTGAGTATGGTTCTTGAAAATAAAACTGAATTAAAACCACTTCTACTTCTGAATTTATTAACATACTACGTTTCGATACACATACAGATATCGTTATCAAGGAAATAACCATACCCATTTGCTTGATAATCCATATAAGTGTTTTTAATTCAAAATAATACATCTCCAGATGACAGAATCATCACTAGAAAATGTCAATTTGAAACAAACACAAAATAATATGTTAGCACAATGTCTTATTTGGTCCGGCACCATTGATATCTTAGGTAATTGTTTGTTTTAACAATTTTGAAGAAAACGTCTCAATAACAAAGATTATACTCACGTTTGTTTTCAGCAATTCAGCATGTTCATCTTTGACCTTTTGAATGTCTGTTTGTAATTCTGATATTTGATTGGTTAATTTCTGGTTCTGATCTCTCATATGTTGAATTATTAGCTAAATGTAAGATACACAGATTCATTGATTAAAAAAGTATTGAATGGTAGTGAAATAAATAAAACCAAATAAAATTTCATCACTGTGAAAAGAGAGAGAAATTAGATTTAACGTCCACTCAACACAGACTGTGTCATTTCGGGACTAACATATGTGGTTTAATTTCATTTCAATAATTTACTTGCACATAGGGGTCTTTAGCAGTGGGAGGAAACCTGAGAAAACCCACAAGGCTGTACAGGCGACCCTACTCCTTATCACGTACAACCGGGGAATCAAAACCACGCCAGTTGACTCAATGACAGACCTTAGAATGCAGAGAGCACACACTAACCATTCGGCCATCCAACCCTCCATCAGCACAGAGAAAGCATCAATATCGATATTGTGTTGCCAAAAGGAGGTGGATTCTGATTACAAGGAAAGCACAAGTTCATTTTTTGGTCCTGTCTGTATGTTCATGTACTTGCTATAGGACCACATGAACACCTACCCACAAGGAAACATGTCAAATAAAAATAATTTATACCTGTTGTTTCGTTGAATCCTGTTCTTGTGTCTGCTGAAGTAAGTTTATAGCATTTTTATGTTCTTCCACCATTTTATTTTTTTCCTCGCTGATTTGTTCTCGTTTAGACGTCATTTTATCCAATTCTTCTTTCAGAGAGATCAATAAACTATTTTGATTAGCCACGGAATGAGTCAACATCACATTTTCTTCCGTTAATGTTTCACGTTCTTCCTTCAATGAATCTAACTCGCACGACAAGGCATCAATTTTCGCGCTCATTTCTTCTTGCTGCGATATTAACTCCCTCTTTTCATTGGCTAACTCATCCTCGGAAGACAAAGAATTTTCTAATCTTTTATTCAAGCCCTCTATTTCCTCTTCAAGCTGTTTTTTGTCGCTATTTAAAATATCTACGACATCTTGTAAGGTCGATCCCTTCTTGGCGTCTTCCTGTAAACTCTTGAGTTCTACTTCCATTGCCCCTACTTTTAATGTCAGACTATCTCTACTCTTAGTTAATCTTTCCACTGACGTCTGAAAACAGATTGAAAATAATAAATCATCTATAATAATATTTGTGATTGTCGTTTGTCTGTCTGTCTGTATGTTCAGGGTTAGCGGTTACACTAGGGCTGTCCCGAGGCTGAAATTTGGTGTACAGGAGTGGCTCAGGACGGGGAGGTAGAATACGCCTGCTAGATGGAATTTTGTTCACTGAAGAAGATAGGTGTACTTGATATGTCTGTTTAGGGTTGGCAGCTACACTAGGGCTTCACGAGGCTGAAATTTGGTGTATACGGGTAGCTCGGATTGGGAAGTTACATAGGCCTGGTGGCGCTAGACTACCGTGTCCGGTTTCAGAGTTAAATTACTTTTGGTTCCAGGCACAACCCATGCAGCGCCGGGTAATCCACTAAAAATTATTATTAACAAAAACATAAGGGGGAAACCACACTGGAAAATATCCAGGAAACTTTCTGGGGATACCGAGGATGGTTGGAAAATATTAAACCTACAAATATATCGATGGTATCCATACTTACTTCTGCTTCGTCTAGTTGGGTTTCTGTTTCAGCTAAATCAGATTTTAATTTTTGGTTTTTAACTTGAAGTCTTTCATTCTCCATATTGACTTTATCTACCGTTGATTTCATACTGGAAGCCTGGACAAACAAAACAAAATCAGCGTGCATCATATTGCTTATCTCTCAATGTTCCCACAAAAGGTTTTAAGTCTTTATCCATGGCTTATTTAATCCACACTAAAAACGTACTCAAATTGATTTAATTTAATTAAAAAATATCAACAAAATCAAAGCTTGAATTCAAATGCATTGAAAAGAGGCCCATGAAAAGTTTTCAGCAATTGCGATTGTTTGACTATATCCTATATATCGTCTGCCAAATGTTGACATATTTTCAATTTATCATATCTTTGTAAATTGTGAATGGAATTGAACTGTTTTTGGATAGATAATCCTTTTAGAGATTTAACATTTACAATAGTTTGTTGCAGTGGTTTAATGGTTGAGAGCAAGACATTATGTAATATACTAATACTGCACGAGGACGTTAGTCCGTGTGTTGTATCAATATATTACGCAATATATTCAACATTTACAATACATGTAGTTTGTTGCAGTGGTTTAATGGTCGAAAGCAAGACATTAAGTAATATATTAATACTGCATGAAAACGTTAGTCCGTGTGTTGTATCAATATATTACGCAATGTCTTGTGATAGCCCAGTGATTCTCAGCCAGTGTGCAGCGAAATTTTGAACAGCACACTAAGAAAATTTCTCACTAAAGGAGTCGGCTATTTTAAATGAAATCGAAACACTGCAATAAAGTCTGATTGATGAAATTCGAAACACTGCAATAAAGTATGTTCATGGCTGTGTTTTCTTTTATTTAGTTTGAGTTATTCCATGTGTCTATCTATGACTAAGTCGTATACGGTTGTATGCCGTCTGACTTACCATGTTTTTATTTTCCAAAATTCAAATATTTGTCATATATATTTAGCCGGGTGTTTCGCTATTTTTTCATGTGTTCCAAGGTGTGCCGTTTGAGAACAACTGCTTTAGCCCATTGGACAACTTAAAATACAGATATGCTATCCTGCACCGACATTTCAGTGAAATCGTCTAATAATTTATTTAGTAAAAATAATGTACCATCGGGACGTGGACCGAATAATGATATGCCAACATCAAAGGATGTCATCATATCGAGATATTCTACAGACTTACTTCACTTTCTTTACTTCTGCTTTCATCTTCTAATACCCGTATTTTAGAACGTAAAGATATTAACTCCCCTTCTAACTTGGTTTTATCTTCAATTATTTTACGTATCTGTAAATCACTGGACGATCTGGCCGGACTTGGTGGACGATTCACATGAGCTCTCGGACCTACAAGAAACGTATGGTTCAATTTTATTTCAATAATTCACTTGCACATAGGGGTCTTTAGCAGTGGGAGGAAACCGGAGGACCCAGAGAAAATCAATGAGGTTGGACAGGCGACCCTACTCCTTGTCACGTACAACTGTGGAATCGAAACTCTCACCAGTTGACTCAATGAAAGACCTTATGATGCAGCGCGCACACGCTAACCATTCGGCCATCAAACCCCCCAACGATTAACAGACTTTTGATAATAATAGGTATCTTATGATAATGTATTAGCTTGGTCGTTATTTTTTTGCGTCTCGAAGATCAAACAGAAAGAGAAAAAAAACAGTTCTTTACAATGTTGGACAGACGACCTTACTCCTTGTCATGTACAAGTTGGGAAACAAGTCGACTCAATGACACGTACGCATAAAGCCATTCAGCCATCCACCCCCTCTATGGGAGAGAAAGAGAAAGAGAGAGAGAAATGAGGTTTAATGTCCACATGACACAAATTAAGTCATTTTGAGACTGACATGGTTTAATAGTTTGCTTATGCGTAGGGGTCTTTTAACAGTGGGAGGAAGCCAGAGGACCTGGAGAAAACCCACAAGGTTGGACAGGCGACCCTACTCCTTGTCACGTATGACCGGGGAAACAAAACCATGCCACTTGACTCAATGACACGTACACGTGTCAAAACATTTGGTCATCCACCCCCTCCCCTGTGGTAGATAATGAAATAAAGATCGTACTTACTATCTCTAGAACTACTACTATCATCTTTATCCTTGTCGTCTTTCTTTCTCTGTGATCTTTCTGTTTCTAATTCATCTTTTAATCTCTGTAACTCTGTCGTTAAATGTTGTACCTACGTTCAATAATACAGAAACAACGAATCAGAAATCATATCAAAACAGTAGTTAATTTTTCCATCTAACCATTATAATTGAAAATCTATACTAATAAATGTATTTGTGACTGTCGTTTGTCTGCCTGTCTGTCTGTTCAGGGTTGGTGGCTACACTAGAGCTGTCCCGAGTCTGAAATTTGGTGTATTGGAGTAGCTCGGACCAGGGAGTAACATAAGCCTGGTGGCGATGGACTACCTGTTCCGGTTTCAGAGTTATGCTTCTTTCGGTTCATGACTATACCTGTGCTATGCCGGGTCAATCGCTAGCTTAATATAATAGCAGGGGGATCAAACAACGAACAATAATATATTTTCAAATCTCAAATTTAACAGTTCATATTTGTTTTTTTCATTTTGCTTAAGAGCTGAACATTTGTCTTTCTAC